CAGCTTGCAAAATTCGGTGCTTAAAGGGCCTGTACAGCTACTTTGAAAAGCGATTTTCTCGGCTTGGATTGGTGTTATAAAACAGTGTTGTTTTGGCGGTGCTACACCATCCAACAACATTACTTTTCCTCCCAATAAAACTCATTATCTACCGTTTACCGCATGATTTCCAAAATTTTTTGATAAGAAGCCAACGTTTTTTGGAATTTACAACACACAGTTGACCGATTTCTTCGTGAAATCACCGTTCTTTTGCAGCAATTCGATAAAAGTGACGGACTGTCACATTAGCGCCCCTTTTTGAACAAGGAGATTTAAAGGTCAGTCGAGGGAATCGAACGGGCGGCGGAATGGAGGGGTTTGTATTTTTTTGGTACCTTATTCCGTTATAAACGCTCTTTGACTGAGCGCGACACTTTTTGAATTGAATTTCTATATATTATAATGTTTTTGTAATCTTAAGACTAAAAATTGTAATCTCTATTTGTCGTGCTTTTTCTATGATATTTTAACCCTCCGTATTTGCCAATTTTAAATCTATAAGTCGCGTTATTTCGCATCTCGCCCAACAATAAACAAAATAAGTCTTATTAATCCCCCCATTTTTCAGATTGCAAAGCCGAGGGCACGCCTATTTCGGGATGAATGTCCATTCCCACTTATGAGTCCCTTTTTATGCCGCGACGCTTATCCGGATGAAATTACGCCGCGAAGAAAATGATCCCCCGGACCGGCGAGTGTATTAGGGCTTCTGTCCACAACAGATTCATATCGGTGTTTATTGCCCTTCAAGGTCTGATGTTTGGCAGATAAATTACTCGCGCTTGGGGAGATTAGGGGTTGTTTGTTTCTCTATAAGAATCGCAACTTATTTTATAACTCCCAAATTATGCAAATTTTGGTAAAAAAAGCTTTAAAACAAATCTAATGAATTCTTCGACTCTCATCTTTTTCTAACAGTGTTTTAGATGTGACCCCCCTTTATCACACCCTCTAATTTACTCCAAATAGCCATTAAACTTCCTCTGATGTCTTTTTTATGACTTCTTTACCTCACTCTCCACTGTATAGTCCCCTCTTACCCCATCTCATCACCCACCCCCAAATTATGGTCTCGATGTCCTCGGAAATCCCGAAATCCCTCGACAAGTCGTTGATCGCCACCTTCCCCTTCACCAGCCGTCATCCAAAGCGTTATATCCCGTAATTAGGGACAAAAACATTATGTCTATTATTACGCGCGCACTTAATTATGCCCGTCATCATGATTATAATCCCCACCCCTAAAACAGATGGAATAATTACAGCCTACTCGAGCGAACAGAGTTTTTCCACCGCCGCCGCCGCTCTTAATTTGAATATTTTTGTGGCTTTTTGTCTTTTTTCTTCTGGACATTGTCATGGGAATGGGGATGAAGACCGCCCCGATTTTTGATGAGCATTCGGAGGGTTAATCGAGCGGCATTTTTGGCGGACGGGAAGTTTTTCAATTCAGGAGGAATAATCGATTTTTAGAAGCATCTTTTTACGGGTCTTTATTTTTCTAACACTTTTAGATTTTTCCGTTAAAAAAGTTTTGCAGAATGCATAGAGATCAAAAAAAAGATCAAGATCACAACAATCTAAGGCTTAGGGATTATGGTGTAATAGAAAGGCCAAATTCCGTTGCTATTATTATTTTCCACACTTTATTTTCACTAATCTCCCATTCTTACTGCTTTCACTCCGAAAACTTCAAATTTGTTGACAAGCCAACGCTCCAATCCTTCCCTCCGGCTAGACCTCCCAACCTTCTTGCCCACCCCCATATCCTCCCCGCATTGTATTTGCCATGTTTTTGTAGCCCCGCTGCACTTCTAGGCCCAAACAATATCTATCCCAAATATCCGCTCCAAAGATCCCATGCCCTGCGGGTGCAATTGAGTCAAATTAATTCCCCTCCGGCGCTCGTGTTGCGTAATCCTCAACCCCGCCCCGCTGTCGTCGCTCTATTTATATTTATCGGGCAGATATAACCGAGTCCGGTCATTGGCGCGACAGCAGCAAAAGGAGAGGAGGAGGAAGGAGAAGATGAATGGAGCAAGATGAAGATCTTCTTCGTCTTTTCCTGTCCTCCCATCCATCCACCCCCATCTCGTCCGTTTTTATGGAACACGCGCGCGGAAGGTCAAAGGCGCCCGATCTCGGGGATTAAATCGAAGCCGAGTTAATTTCGCTCGACTTGTCGGCAGGTGTACAAGGACCCTCCGAAAATTAATTCCCACGGCTCTATGAGTTGAGGATGCGATTCGACTTGATGGTTCAAGATGAATAGCCCGTTATGAGGATGAGTTAGAGAGTTTTTCCGACCTCTTTTTTGACTAGCCATATGCGAACATCAGCCGTTTTGATGAACTGCGGGGGATCTTTAGAGGTTTTAGCCAATTTTTCGTTGGGATCCGGAGCTCTCATTATCTTTTCCAATTTTTTGGCGCGCAAACAAGTCTGTTTAAATTTTCAACGAGCTGGCATCTTCACTGCTACTCTAGTTCCCCTTGTTGACTACATTTTGCAAATTTTCATCTTACTTTTTACCATTAAATCCCCATTCCTTAAAATTTCGAAAAACTAATCTCCCATTACTCATAATTACTTTCAAGACAGTTTCCATGAAAGTTTAAGCCATTTCGTCTCTTTTGAAACACGTGTTCTACATTTATCACATGTTTTTCCTTGTCTCATGATACCATTTTTATGCGCTCAAATATCGCACAATTTAAAGAACAGCTTGTAAACCACTCATGTAACACTCGAAATTGTAACTTAAGCCGCCCTTCTACTAAATTACACATCAAATAAGAGTGTGTGCGACAACTTGCCCACCATATTTTAGTTGTAATTGTACTCTAAATTGTAAGAGAATAGGTATTCTCTTTAGCCTATAAATTTTTGTAGCTATGATACTTTAAATTGTAAGTACCCTCGATTTACGGCAGGCCCTTGATATTAAGGGTTGTCAAGAATTGGCTTGCATCACTGAATTGTCGCTGCATCTAAATGTTACCCCATTTTTTCACACTTATACCAAGATTGCACTCAAAACGCAATCCCCCTAAACTTTATCTTTCGCCCGAGAGAACGACCCATTGAGTGTTGCATATGTCCTCTATTTCATCTTGGCCGCTTGTTACGTCATCTACCCCATAAACAGACCCTCCATAAACCCTTCTGTCAATGGCGCAATCTGAGTTGTTGCGTATTATTTTTTGGAGCTCAAGTTATTGTAAATTTTTAATACCGCGCTCTGCTGACGGTATAGCAAATGGTTAAAACTTGGGATAGACAAAGATTAGGGGTTCTAGATAATCTATGGAGTCTTAGATCGCAATTTGAGGAAATACTCAAAGAAATGAGATTTTTAAATCAAAAAATCTTTTTCAAGTATGACCCTGCTATTCCTGCAAAATACGATCTAAAATTATCCCTTTCACATAAGAAAATCCTAATCCATTTCAGTTCATCAAACACGGTAGCTTTAAAAAACTTTTCTGTCCTATAATATACTAGCTATGACGTCATCTTTCTCTAGGTGCAGTTCCTTTCGCAGAATCAACACCGCAAGTCAGATGCCTGCCGAACCGGCGATGCAATCCGTTTGACGACATTTAGCATTCTAATTTTATGGTGAATAACGACTCGAAGCCGCCCTTCACCATACAATTATCTGTGCGTTGCGCCGCTATTGTTAGTTGTTAAAGTTGGGTTGAAGTGGAATTTTTTCTATGATTTCGGGTTCGGCATGATCTCATATGACCCATTCTCGTCTTTAATGACTAGAGTCTTCGTGTGGCCATTATTAAACACGATATGATTATTGGCTTCGTACAAATTTTTGTTGTGGTTAAGAAATTTCCAGTGTAATATGTCATTTATTTCATCCCTTCACTTGTTATTTTACAGAGAAATACGCGGAGATTTCATGCAAAACCCACTTATTTCCCAACTCTCACCATATCTTATACGCGGACCTTATTTTAGGTCTCTATGACAAAATAATTTGCCGTTATCTCCCCGTAATTATGTCATTACCCCGTCATTTCGTGGCTCAAGGAAGACCTGGGCTCTAGCGTTTGTTTTCTCATCAATTCTCCCCGTCATGACAACATATTCACCCATTCCCGACGCATATCTTATTCATTCGGCCAGTATTCGAAAATCTCCCATAGACGGGATTGTTTTGCGTGTATTCCCCCATTGTTTGATTAGACCGAATGGACTTATAACGCAAGCATGCACTCCCTCACCGAACGGCCTTGTTTATTCACACCGCAATTAGCTCAAGCCCTCGTGTAATATGGCCATGTGTAATATGGCAAATTTCGCATTCGAAATAATCGCCGATTCGATTGAATTGCGGAGAATGTGGGTCATTTTGGCTGGGCGATAAGTCAACAAGGTCCAGATGGCCTAAAGATTTATGTTTTTGCCCCATTTCTCATGTTGTACATTAGCTTTTCGGCTATCAAAAAAAACCGATTATCTGTTTCACACCGCTTTTTCCACATTCCCCTCACTTGTTACGGCTAGGAATTAATCTCCAGATGTAACAATTAGTTATAGTCCCCAACGCATTGGCGTCGCCACCTGCAACGGAAAGAAAAGCACAAAATTCCCCAGAAATAGATTATTTTTGGCGAATGTTTACATATTTGATATCCGGAAGCCCCTCATTGCCAATTCCTCGGTTAAAAAGGCGAATAAAAAGTGCTGATCCACCTAATCCCGTTTATATCCCCCTAAATCCGCCCAATTTTACTCGTTTCTCGTCGCTTGCAACACGACGCCAAAAGTTCGTTCTCGTCTCAGCACGAAAACATTTGGCAGAAAATAATAAAATAAAATTTCGGCAAATATTCTCTGTATCTTCTTCTTGTATTCTCTAACATTTTTCTGTCGACTTCCGCGTTTTCCAATCCTTTCGCGGCTATTTTTACGTATGCCCCATCGCCTAAAATAATATTATGGTTAGAGGTGCCGCATACGACCCGGATATTGTCCGGCGCTCCATTCAACAGTCCAACAACTCGACAAACATGGGTCCAACCACTTTCTTCGACACCATCGAGCATATCAAGAAGGAATATCAGCAGCTTCAGCAACAGGTCCACAAGCTGCGAAGCGATGCCGAAAAGAAGGCGCAAGAGGTGAATATGCTCCAGAAACAGAATCAGGAAGCCTCCATGCAGAACCAGAACTTCCAATTGGAGGCTGCCAGACAAGCCGAGATTGCGAGAAGGATGCAACAGATCATTCAACAATACATGATGCATCTACCTCAAGAACAACAACAAAGTCTGATGAGAGGGCTAGAAAGCGCCACCAAAGTCACTACGCAAGTATGTATTATTTTTGTTCATGCGTTCTTTAGGTACTTGTACAGTTTTAGATTAGCACGTTTACTTTTTTCATCGAAAAATACAATTTTTTGACCAAAGACTTACTTATACAGTTTTTGCAAATTTCTTCGGGTTTTTGTCCAATTTCATCCTATTTTACACTAATCCTCTTGAAACTGGTGACTGCTTCATCTGAATCTCTTTCAATTTATCCCATAAAACACCAAAAATCCGGGAGTTGTAGGGGAAATCACCGCTAAATTCAGCTCATTCCTAAAACAGTCGGATTTGTTTCGTGTTTAATACGCATGGGACGTCGTCGGTTGTTTATGCCCTCGTTTCTGCCGCGAACCTGGTCCCAGCCGAAAATAAGTGGAAGGATTTGATCCATTAGGGGATAATCCGCTCGGAAGGGTTAAGAGAAGACGGATTATCTTCCTCAAGCCCCTTTGCCTTTGATTTCTACAAAAAAGGCGGGTAGCCGAATTGGTAATGAGAGATGACAGAGCGAGGGAAATCTGAGAATTTTGAGTGGAAAGAATTCGGGAATTTCGGAAAGATTATAGGCGATCTGATAAAAAAAATATGGCGGGAATGTCGAAGTAAAAGTTCAGGTAGATGAAAAATGCTAGTATATGCAAATAGAAGAAATTTAAAGAGGACTCAAGTAAACTTTTGAATAAAATCTCATTTAAAAGATTAAATATTTGATATTGTACCTAAAATAATGTCTTACAGTGGAGGACCTGGTCCAGTGGCAAAAAACTACCATTTTGCATCCGGGAAGTATCAAAAATGTGGCAAAATGCTTCCCTCTCCAAGTGAAAAAACTACGATTTCAAAAAGCCCTTCAAAACAAAGTTTTTTTTTTCACTTGGAGCGGGAAACATTTTGCCACGTTTTTGATGCTTCCCGGATGCAAAATGGTACGTTTTTTGACACTGGATCAGGTCCGTCTCTGTAAAGGCAAACGAAGCGGCTGTAATTGCTAAATCATAAATTTTTGCAGGACATCATGGCGATCCAACAGCAGCAACAACAGCTTCTGCACGCCATGTCCGGCCAGCTCCCTCCTCAATTTATGGCCATGATGGGGATGGACCTCAAACCCCAAGACGTGATGGCTCAAATCGCCGCGATGCAGAACGCCGCCTTCAGTCCGGCGATGCAGATGCAAGCCCAGGCGGCGATGGCTCAGGTGGCGCAGATGAACCAGCTCTTCTCGAACCCGGCGGCCGCCGCTCAGGCCGCTCAAATGATGGCCGCCGCGCTCCCGGCCAGCTCCATGGCCCAAATGGCCGCCATGCAACAACATGCTCAGCCCAAACAACCCCTGACTTCCACGCCGATCAGCAGCAGCGCTCAATTGCCCACCACACCCATGTCGTCGGCTACGATCGGCCAAGGTGCAGCTAGTCCACTTCAACGAGCTGCATCATCGAGAAGTGGATCAACCGCGGGCACTCCTTTGCCCAAAAAGTTCAAAATGGAAGAGCCGGTAAGTAGCTTTATTTATCTTGATCTAAGAGTGGGATTATGAAATTAGAGGGCGTATGGTTTTTATATTGTAGTAGCATCTAAAATAAGGTCCGAAATTTAATTTTAACCTAAAATAAGATTATAGTCTTCAAACTGGAGATGTTTTTGTTGTTGTAGTACAAGTAGTTACGAAATTTAAAAATTTCGGGGTATTTTGGATATTGTGGGTAATAAATGCCTACTCTAAAGTAAGGTGAATATTTTTGCCCTCGGCCTGAAATAAGTATGGTTGTTTTGATGGGTAAAACAAGGCTGAGTCTGTTTTTAAGCTGCTTAAAATTGTGTTTTTGTCTGCCATAAATCGTGTTTATCTTCCTGAACCTAAAATAAACCTCATGTTTTCAGCAATCGCGGCCAATTTCCACCTCGGCCAAGTCGGACAAATCGGATGAGGGCGGTCTGGTGATCGACGTCCAAAACGAAGACCAACAACAACAGAACAACTACCTGAACTCGAGTTCCATGCTCCCCTCCACGAACGGCATCAACGGCACATTGGCCGCCGTCTAGAGCGCTCCCCTCCCCTCCTTGTTTAATCCGCGTTTGTGTTTGTAATCTCCACTCAAAAATCTCTTTTAAAACTTAACCAATTTTTGTGTGTAATTACTCGTTAAAGGTCTCAAAAAATATTTTTTTTTTCTTACAAAAATGGGTGTCTCCATATGTTTCTATATCATTGTCCGCGTTTTCGACCAGATTTCCCGCCGAAATTTCGTTGAAATCCCGAAGGTTTAATTAGAGAATAAACTAATTTCTTATCAATCTGCAGTGTAATATTGCCAAAATGCTGTGGTGAAAGATGAAATTTAAATTTTGGACAAAGGAAAGATCCGATATTACACTTGGTATCACTGACCCAAAACCATCTATTTTCGCTACATTTCTCTTGAAAAGTTTACAAAAAACAATAGGATTGTCATCTCCTCTATTTCATACATACATATTATTCGAATATTCAATCGTTATTCATTTGAAAAATAAAAAAATGATAAAAACTCAAAGTTTACTTAAAGAATCACAAGTTTAACAACAAATAAGTTAGAAATCGGATTACTTGTACAACTTCAAATGTCCGAGGACTTCTTTGAGCGGCGAGCGGGGCTGTGGTTTGATGGCAATGCAGACGGGCATATCGTCTTCGATCCAGACCTTGTGTTGGACATTGGCGGCGTCCAGTTTGCCGGCAACGGCCTTGAGCATGTCCTCGTCTTCTACCTGCAAACCAACATGGTCAAACGCGTCCAATCGGTGATAAAATCCGAATTCATTACGGTGAAATCGTCGTTAATTTACCTGTAAAGTAATCTTGTGCATGTGATCCATGTCTTCCATATATTTTACAACTTCGGGGTCATCTTTATAAGTCCAAAGGCAAGCGGTGGCAGCATGGGCGACTTGAGTGCAAAGAGCGCCAATTGGCCATTTGAGGTAGGTCTGGAGGTCCTTTCGGAGGATGAGGTACATCACCCGCGTCCCCATTTCTTCGGTGGATTCCGTCATATGTCTGCAAAATACAGAGTATCATCAAGATTCTCCTTTTAACCGCGAAAAAAACAAAGTTGGCGTCGTCACAAAACGTTTCTTTTTTGACAACCAAAGATCGGAAAATATATCAAAGAGGTCTCAGTTTGATATCAAAAGGTATCACAAAAAGAGAAAAAAAAACTGTTAACGTTGAAAAAAAAGCTGTTATCGACCTTTTTGGTATCAAAAACGGCCCAGGAACATCTGCCAGGACACTTATTCAAAGTCAACAACTTTTTTACGTCCTTGTGATACTGTTTGATAAAAATTCGAGACTCCATTATATCTTACAGTGGGTATATTACATACAGTAATATATGTATAGAGAGATCTGATCCAGCGGCAAAAAGCGTACCATTTTGCATCCGGGAAGTATCAAAGATGTGGCAAAATGCTTCCCCCTCAAGTGAAAAAACTCCGATTTCAAAACCCCTTCAAAACGAAGTCTTCTCACTTGGAGAGGGAAGCATTTTGCCACATTTTTGATGCAAAATGGTACTTTTTTGCCACCGGATCTGTATTGACTTTTTTCGATCAAAACACGTATTCTACACACTGCGGACTGCATTGCCTCTTCCATTCTCAAAATAGAAGCCATACTTTCGCCAACGAACCGAATCAACAATCAAACTCTTCTTACTCTCATCTTTTCTGTCACTCATTTCGTACACACCGGACATTAAACTGTACTTTTCCCCGTAATTTTAGATTTTATCATGTTCTTCTTGATAGTTTCAAACCCTTTTCGCAATAGGCAAATAATTGTCAGTTTCCGGCGAGTTTAAAGTAAAATGCGTCGTTTTTACGAAAAAACCTTGACGACTTTTTGCGGAGTTTCAAATGCGAAAAACAGTAATAGGCAGACGTGTTACTGGATGATTGATCAAAAACACGGACTAAGAATGGAGTGTGATAGACCGTAAAGACCGACAGAATCAAAATCATTTCTACTCTGATCCCATAGACATTTATTAGATCTTTAGGAAGCGCTTTGCAAAAACATTCATGACTTTTTGGCCAGGAATTGTAAGATTTTTTTTAAAATTTTTCGAGATTTTACAGCTGGAACTTTTTTGTTTTTTTTTCTAAACAACCAAAACTTTCACTGCGACGCAACCAAAGGAACGTCTTGTTCGGCTATATTACAGTGGGGGACCTGATCCAGTGGCAAAAAATGTACCATTTTGCATCCGGGAAGTATCAAAAATGTGGCAAAATGCTTCCCTCTCCAAGTGAAAAAACAAAAAGAGCTGAGTTTTTTCACTTGGAGAGGGAGGTATTTAGCTACATTTTTAAAGCCTCCTGGATGCAAAATGGTACGTTTTTTGCCACTGGATCAGCTCCCCCACTGTACACTTGGAATAATCAAACATATTTTCCAAATTTCTTGGAAAATCCAGTTCTCTTTATTGTGCCCTCGCATAAACTACGCTTTCCAATGAGTCAAACCTCAATTCATTTGAATTGCCACTAAAATCACAGCCGGATACTTTTTCTTTCCGAAAAATACGACAAAAAATCTTCTTCGTGTTATCAACCACTTATTCCAGTACCCAAATCTACCCTAATCTGACTACATTATCCCTGATTCGCTCGGTTCAGAGGCTTACAAAGTCGGGGTCAATCCAATTCAGCCTTCGGCTTACGTAAACACTCCTTTTATACAAATCTGAAACCAGTTCTTGGGGCCGGCTTCAGGTCATAATATGAATACAAACATGTGTTTCAATGCGCGTTGGAATCGTCAATCATTTTCAGGGAATTTCGCACAAAATTTGACGTGTCTCGGTGGGCGGAGTTACTCATCAAAGACGATACTTTAAAAGGTAATTGGAAGAAAAATTGTCGGAACCATCTTAAGGGCCCACAGTGATACGAACACGGGTGAGTTTTCGCTTTTCCTTACTACTTTACTGTCCGTTCCCTTTCCCCGTCTTTTGGACGCTTACAGACTTCTAAGATCTCATATCAACAATTTCAAACCAACCTTTTACATTACACTTGATCAAAATCAAGCCAAGTGCCCTAAAACCTCCGATTTAATCTTATTTTCCAGACATGCAATCTCTAACTCAACTTCTCATCATCTCCACGCTATCCCTCTCGGTTTTCTGCCAATATGATGCGGCTCCGAAGCCGGCCGAGCCAGTGAAACAGGTCAGTAAGAGGTCGAGCTTTAAGATTCGGCACGAGGGTTATGTCGGGCGGGGGATACATGGGCTTTCAGTCGGGCCGCATCATCCGCCGTTTGGGAACAGCCGGCGGAAAGTTAGAGATATCAGCGTAAGTCGCAGGTAAAATTTCAACGCATTGTGCACGCACTCATAAAGGTAAACGCTTTACTATCCAACTTTTATTATGCATTGCTGATCTACACATTCGTTAAAGAGCTACTTATTGTGGTGGACCTGATCCAGTGGCAAAAAATGTACCATTTTGCATCCGGGAAGTATCAAAAATGTGGCAAAATGCTTCCCTCTCCAAGTGAAAAAACTCCGATTTTAGAAGCGCGTTCGCTCTTTTTGTGAGGGAAACGGCGCGCCAAACGAAGATTTTTCACTTGGAGAGGGAAGCATTTTGCCACATTTTTGATGCTTCCCGAGTGCAAAATGGTTTTTTGCCACTGGATCGGGCCCTTCACTGTAGACGCAAAAAACACAAGCACCTTCCTTAAATTTCAAACTCACTGCACCATACAACTTACACTGCACATTACCAACCACCAATAACTTTTCAATTTCACTATGAAATTGCCATCACAGAAGCCCACAAACTTTTAATCCACCATCACTTTCCTTCTCAATCCTTCCTACGTCAAATTTATATCCCCTTTACAGAGTTCCGACTATGCAGCAGCTCCAGAAGCACCTGCTCCCGCACCACCAGCGCCAGCCGCGGCTCCGACACCAGCTTCCCCTCCAACAACTACAAAGCCCAAGTTGGAAGTCCATCAAGCCATCTACGACGGACTAGGGGTGAGTTTTTTGCCGTTTACTCAAAAACTAGCTCTAAAACAATAAGATACAGTGGGGGCGTTGATCCAGTGGCAAAAAACGTACCATTTTGCATCCAGGAAGTATCAAAAATGTGGCAAAACGCTTCCCCTTCAAGTGAAAAAACTCCGATTTCAAAACCCCTTCAAAACGAAGTTTTTTCACTTCGAGAGGGAAGCATTTTGCCACATTTTTGATGCTTGCTGGATGCAAAATGGTACGTTTTTTGCCACTGGATCAGGTCCCTCACCGTAATTATACAGCAGTAAAGACTAGTCCTCTCAACTATTTTCAGGGAAACTTTGCCGAAGAACAGGCTGATCCCACCTCTCCCCACGTTGAAATCGCCGCAACGAACCCCAAGAAATCCGATGGAGGACAAAGTCAAGCGATTTATGCTGCCGGAAGTGTAAGTCTGCTTATAGAACCTCTCCAAATCCCCAAATATAAAGTCGTCTATACAGTAATTGCCAAATCAACCTTAAAAATCAATTTGCTCTTTGAAAACCCTCGCTGTTCCCACGTGAAAAAAAAGAGAAAAGGCGAATTCCTTTAGTGTAAAATCCTGGTTGTTTTTCTCTCTTGGAAATCAGGAAGTCCGTTCGGATCGAAAAAACAATCAGCACCCAAGACTGTATTAATTTTTACACAGTCTCTCCGTATTTTTATTAAACACATTTTTTGGCCAGCTCTTATAACCAAAGGTCCATTTAAACTTAATTTTTAGGCCGAAGCCGAGACCCCAGAGGCTGCCCCAGCCGCGGAAAAAGCCGCAGAACCCGCTCCAGCCCCAGAAAAGGCCGCAGAACCCGCCCCAGCCCCCAAGCCAGAAGCGAAAAAGGAGCCCGCTCCAAGCCAGGCCTATCGGCAAGCTCGGCTTCGATTCTAAGCTCTTTTCTCTAATCTATAATGACGATATCTCAATGTAAATACCACTATAAACATCTATGACATAAAAAACATATCAAATTCTTTGGTACCCAAAATTATAATAAAATTCTCCTTTACCCACAAGCCCCACAAAATTATCGAATAATCTTATGGTTATCAACCAAGCTTTTCATGCTTTCTCCAAATTCCATTTTTTCACTCCATAGAAGTTTATTTCTCAAAGAAAAAACAACAGACAATGTTAAACAAAAACGGGTGAAAAACAAATAAGTGAGGGAGAGAGGGGTCCCAAGGCAATTTGAGATGATAACCTACTAAAAAAGAAAGTAAACCTTACTAAAAAAAGTTACTATTTAATTTAGATCGAGGTACAAAAAAAGCCTGCGAAGGGGTCTCCTTGTAAGAAAAGGACGTTTTACGTCGTCAGAAAAACAATTTAACAAGTACCCGTAAGATACGAAAATGGAAGGAATGAGACAAAAAATGGGTGTAAGGGAAAATTGGGTTATCAAAAGAATCTTAGAGGAAATTTCCCAAAATTTATCAAAAATCTAGCAAAAATTTGTAGGGAATCCCAAAATTAAGGGGTTTTTATCACCTAGCAACGAAAACTATCCATAAAAAATTGGATAACTAATTTTGATAAAAATCTTTTAAGAAATAATTTATATCCGAACAACGTCCTCAAAAAAATCCAATGAAAGCCCATTTTCAACAAAAGAAATCCCAAAACAAGTGAGAAAACCACAGAGAGATCGAGAAAAATCTGAGATGCTGAGCAAAATAAATTGAGACCATTTCTTATCGAGATATTCTTAAACCCGGACTTGCTCCATGGCCTGACATAGCGGCTGTTGATATTGCTCTGGATGATAATATAATTGACCATGTTGGACCTGATTCAATCGAGGGATCTGAGAGTTTGGAGGTGTTTGAGCCAGAGAATAGGCTGAAGGCGGAGAATTGCCCAAGCTTGAGGAGTTTTGAGGAGATTGCGATATGGGGAATGAGGCATGTTGAGGTATAACATTTGGTGGATATTGGCAAGTCGGAAGATACTGAGGGGGAGGTTGATTTGGAGCAACGTTCTCATCATGATATGCTTGTTCATTTGAGGGATTGAACTGACCATAGTGAGGATACGGCGGCTGAGCATGACCGTTTTGATGGTAGTTGTGGTTGACGAATTTGGGATGAGAATGTGGATAGGGCTGTTGGTGCTGAGTCATTGGAGGCACTGAAAATAGGATCTTACACTTTTGCCCCTATAAAAATTCACAATTGGGCAAACGAAGAAAAAGAATAATACAGTTTCCGAAAAAAATTGTACAGTGAGGGACCGGATCCAATGGCAAAAAACGTCCCATTTTGCATCCCGGAAGGGACCAAAATGTCTCCAAACCTTTCCCTTGCTAAAAAACCCGCTTTGCAGAGCCCGCCTTGAAGGAAAGGGCGCGCTTTTCAAAGCGGAGTTTTTTAGCTTAGAGAAGGGAAGGGTTTGAAGTAATTTTGGTCCCTTCCGGGATGCAAAATGGGACGTTTTTTGCCATTGGATCAGGTCCCTCACTGTATTATTCTTCCTTCTACTACAACATCCCACAACTTACCCTTGCCAAGCTCCTGTTGAGGCAGATATTGCGGTGGAGTACCCGAGCTAGATCCACCGTTGTATGGTGACGCCCGTGTAGTCTGTTCTTCACTCGGTTGGCGAGGAAGTTGTTGTTGAACAAAGCCGTTTCCTTGAACATGTTGATGATGTCTTGGGACAAATTCCGGGACTTGAGGTTGTCCCTGGTTCTGTGGCACAAAGTTCATGTTATGGGGAGGCTGTGGGTGTCCTTGCGGAGCGAATTCCTGCACTTGAACGGGGATTGGTCCGGCTTGAATCTGTGGAGGCACAAATTGGTGATTTGGGGCCAAGTTTGGGTGCTGAGTGAACTGCTGAGGTCCTAGGTCGGGGATGAGCTGAGGAATCGGCTGGAATTGCTGAGGCATTGCAAACTGCTGTATTTGGGATGGATGGACATAAGTCTGCATTCTGGGACGTCGAGTGTTCAAGCCTAAAGAAGGCAGGAAATGATTGGCGAAGAAGTGCGGAGTTGGCGGTGGGATGTATGGGAGTTCATCGGCAACCATGATGGGGAAGAGACGGTGGTAGAAGATGACCGGCTTCTTCTGAAAACAAATCAAATATTTATAATCACCGTACTAGGCGGTCCAAAAAGTCTTGACATGCTGCACAGTGCGCCGTCGTGCATGAAATAAGCAAAATTCACGGTGCACTGTGATACTGCACAGTGCAAAAAAATTGTTTTGAAAAGGAATCCTTCGATTGCGACCCAAAATGGGGTAAAGCGACCCCGGGGTGAAAATTCTTTGATTTTTTTCGGGAAAGACTTGCGTTAGGGGTTTTCGAGGGTGCAGATTTCGAATTTCGGGTTCATTTTTTCTGAACTTTACTACTTTTCCTTAAGCAGTAGTGTTAAGTGATAACTTTCTGAATTTTTTTAAAAAATACTGGATTTAGGGGTTTTCGAGGGTGCTGATTTCGAATAACGGGTTCATTTTTTCTGAACTTTACTACTTTTCCTTAAGCAGTTTTACTAGTTTTCCATAAGCAGACAAACAAAACTCACCACATTCTCGGAATCATCCATTTTCGCGAATTCTTGGCAGTTTCTGGCCAGCCCAATAGTTCTGGTATGCTGAACCAGTTCGTCGTAAATCTGCGCGGCTCTCCAGTAAACGACCAACTGCAGATCGTTGGTGTTCTTCACATGGTAGGGGTTGGTGATGCGATGCAAAGTGGCAATGTTGGCATGCATGTTGTTGTACATGTCCTTGAGGTGGGCCATTGGCAGCTCGGCGTTGACTTGCGCGGCTGGCAAGAACTTGGTCGGTTGGATTGGTGCTGTGTTCAGAGGCCATCCAGGGAACTGAAATCAAACATAAATAACCAAAAGAGTGCAATTCAGAAAAGAAAAATTATTTGGTGGCTATTTTAATCTACAATAAAAGTTTCAGAACCTTACGTGATCATGAATCTGTGGGTTATAGAAGAGAGAAACACCTTCCATAAACGCGTTCTGATGGAGAGCATTGTTAATGCATTTGGGGAGATAAAACACAGTCTTCATCTCATATCCGATGCTGGCTGCGAAGCAGCGAAGATTGAATACCCATTGCTTCACTAGAACATTATAAATAAAAGCCTTGTTTCACCGTAAATACCTAAATCTTTAAAAAACAAAGTATCAAGACTCACTGTAGGCACCGTAGTAAAGAGTGGGAACATTCACAAGTTGATCCAAATTACGTTGGTTCGAGCTGTTGAAGGAGTTGCTATAGTACGCAGGTGGTCTAAAATATAGTCCAATTAGCAGTTGCCCATCACTAAATTTCAATAACAAACAATCAAAGCTAACTTACGGTCTGTTCTCGCTCTGACCTCCATTTTGAAGCTCTTCAGGCTGTTCACAGGAAGTTTCCCGATTGGCATCGGTGTGTTCTCCGTTTCTGGCTCCATCCGACCGTTGCCAACGGTTCTGTTGAGGAATGAAACCGGAAGGTTTAGTGTTCTCCGCACTTGAGATCATGGTTAAGTTTGAATAAAAACTGAAATAAAAAAATTTGAATTCAAGTCGAAATCTTGACAGTAAAATCACGAACACACGCATTAAGGTAAAAAAAATAAAAATATTTTATTCGAGCTGGGACTACTCGTCAGTGGGTAAAACCTACAAAATTAAATACATATACATTTATTTGGGAAAAAATCTTTAAAAGTCACCTGGAAACATCAAAAAGACACGGAAATTTATATTACACATGAGACCAAAAAAGAAAAATTTCTCAAAAATGACGCGAGAAAACCGCAACTTCCACTTTTTGAAAAACTCGAGTAGTCTGTTTTAGCCTGCAATACACCCCAGTATTTTTCTTTGAGATACCGTAAATATTATCCAATATTAACCATAAGATTAAAATCTCGAAATACCCCCTGAATTTTATCTGAATTTCAGTGTTCAACACCTGAATAGATAATAGAAAGGGTCAAATTTAAATAATGAGCCATGTCATTGAAATCGAATGTTGTTTTAGGAGGTATAGGTTTGATCTTGTTGATGTAGAAGCAATTTCTATCATTGCATGTCGTGTAGCACTTGTCGAACTCTCTCAATCTGGAAAATGTAGTATTTTAAGTGCCAAACAAAATTTTAGGGCATTTTTTCAACCATAGAGATAATATTTTAGCTATATTACACTTCATCTCATTCCCAAAACTAATTCGACACAAAACAAACGCTTACTAACCTCGCCAGGTATGTCATATTAACGCAACTAGTGTTTTCTTGCCTCAGTAATTGAAATATAAGCCATGTCGGCCACATAGACATCAAAATAAATAATAGAGTTATAGTAAGCAGGTACCTACGAACAGAAATAGAGCTCATATTTGCAAACGACAACGTCTGCAGAAGCGAAAAAGCCTCTTCCAAAAAAATTGGCAGTATACTGGTCTTGCTTGTGACAGACATTCCAGCAGATCAGATAATCTTCTCGACAGACAAAAATTGGACGCGATACAAAAAACTGGTATTCTTTGTTCGTTACGCAAGGCTGAAGTCATAAGGACAATATTTTCCGACAGAGAAAATTCTAACTCTTTTAGCGAATGCAGAAATTTTATGGAATTACCTAAAGATCAACGACAAAATCGCAAACACTTACCTTCTTCATGCCAACTGACACTTGCGAACTCAAATATCGTCCCTGAAGCGTCAACGCGGCCCAAATGTGATTCAAATGTTGCGCTTCAAAAATCACTGACCCAAGTTGCTCCTTCCGATCAAAAAATTTATCCACAACGTACTCTGGACCAGCTTCTCCCAACAGTTTCTCTATCGCCATCTGACAGAAAGCCGAAAACTCTCTCTGGTTGTCGATCCGAGATTCGTCTTTGGAAAACTCTCTATAAAACAGAATAAAATCACAACAAACACCTTGATCTAGCTCCAAATAGGGAAAAGGTCAAGAAATAGTGAATTTCTAAAGGGTAAGATAAAACAAAAAGTGTAACCCACAGCTGAATGGTAAGCTTCAATAACTGAGTATCATTCTTGAAGGCCATATTGACTTTAACACAGAGAAATCACTAAAACTTGCATATCTCTGTCAAACATCCTACGAGAAAAATACTTCGCGCATTTTTTGATACCGCAGCGTGCGCCCAACCATCGTGCAGAGTGCGGGGATATTTTATACGCTGGGGTGCAAAATCATTGTAGTGCCGGTAAAAAAAGGAAATTTGAAGTCGCAATCCAGCCAGAAGACCATTAGATTGTGTATATTTTTTTCACGGTCATATTTTTCGCCATGATGCATCAAATTTCTCAAAATTTTATTCTGGTTGACCTTCTGGCCCAGCTACTCAAACAAAGGAACATCGAATGCGGCGAAACAATAAAACCCCGTGGTATTGATGCGACACAAAATTAGCAACGACATTTATCCACCTTTTCGAGTATACAATTCACGCTACAAAAAAATTTCTCATATTTGTCAAGTGTAACATGTCCAAGACGTCATTGAAAGTTATTCGTGCTAACAATGAGACTGGAGCTCATATTTTTATTGACAGGAGTGTAGACGCCACTATTGACGTATACGTTAATCCTCGGGAGGCAGTCATGGCTACAGTTACAGTGGATTTAAGTTTGAAGCTGGAGAAGGAAGATCTAAAATAAGGTCGTCTGGAGGTAATAAATCTGCTACAAACGTCAATAGAGCCCCTAAAATTCTATCTAATTAATTCTACAACAAATTATGTTCAAAAATAGTAAGTCCAAATCACAAACTTAATCACGATTTCTTTATTTTTCAGCACGGTAACAACATGGAATGAGGTGTAACAATCATGTATGATATAAAAATTAACTGTTAATAAATAAACTATCTATAAATGGCAAGACAAGGCCAAACTTTGGTAAAAAAATGAAAAATACATTATTCATGATAAAAAGAGCTGTTAAATTTGAATAAATACTTTTCTACAGTAAGATTCTGCTATAAAATTCAATTGCAAGTGATGAAAAGGTTAGTAGGTTAAAACAGTGACGTATATACATTGAAATTCCTAGATGAAATTGATTTGATCGGCTTCAGCGATAGATTTATGAGGTACCACATAGTCCGGGTCTGCTTCGCACTTCTTTCGCAAAATCCGGCGCCAATTCGCTTCGAATTCGTCGAATCCATTGTTGAGGGTGTCTTCTATGAATTGTGGGACTGGCTGGTTGCATTGGAGGAGATGCTGAAGAAAACTTTATTATTTTTTTTTAATTTTTTTTTGAATGGCTGGAAGTTTGGAAACGCGATTTAGAACATGTCGTCAAACTCAGAGCTTCTTTCCCTCCCCACTCTCACCCATTCCCCAATCTCTCACCTTTTTCAAGAACCCGGCGATATCTTTATCCTTTTCTCTGTCAAAGAACGAGATTGCAGCTCCGGCATTTCCCATTCGTCCCGTTCTCCCAAGTCGATGGATATATTCCGTTGGATAGACCAAACCCGCCTGAGGCAAGTTATAATTTATGACCAGCGACACGTTTGGAAGGTTGATTCCTCTGGCCAGGACATTGGTGCATACAATAATATCGATCTCTCCTTTTTTGAAACTTTCAATCTGAAAAGACCATTTTTGATGTCAAAAAGACTCTTATCTACAAATTCATAAGCTTATCTTATAATTGCTTGCAAAAAACTCTTTTACAGTAACCTACCGTTTCATTTCTGACATTCATTGGGATCGATCCATTAGTCGAGATGGCCAAATATCCATTCTGCATGAGATTTATAGCCAATGCATCGGCTTGCCTTCTCTTGGATACAAATACCAAAGTTTTGTCGACCCTCGGGACACCATCAACAAGTTTCGATCGGCGTCTTAAGATTGCATGGAGCAAGTCTCTGGGATGATACAGCTCCGGTTTCCGATTGATAAACTCCTCCTCTGCGTATCTGAAGCCGGATTTTCGCTGAAACCAATAAAAAAAATATTATTTTAGACACATCTGGTGTAAAATTTCCCAAGAAATCAAAGTTCCCGCTTACAACTTCAACGAATTTCTGGACAACACTAAGAACAGGCATGGTGGCATCTCCCACTTCCAGAATAACGGCATTTGGAGCCAAAACTTCGTCTCTTTCTTCTTCTGACGTTGCACTGAACATGAATAATCTCGACTTTCCGTGTGTAGCTTTCAAAATCTCTCTTCTGAAGCGGACAACAATGGATCTGAATGTGTATTCTCCCGCGAGTCGGTCGGCTTCATCAGCAATAAAGTAGGCTGTTTTGGATAAAGAGAACCTTCCCTAAAATCATATTACTTTAGGTACAGTGGGGGACCTGATCCATTGGCCACAAACGTGCCATTTTGCATCCGGGAAGGATCAAAAATGTAGCAAAATACCTCCCTCCCAAATGAAAAAACCTCCGATTTCACAAGCTGTTTTTGTGAGAGAAAGGGCGCGCAATTCAAAATGGAGTTTTTTCACTTGGAGAGGGAAGCATTTTGCCACATTTTTGATACTTCCCGGATGAAAAATGATACGTTTTTCCCACTGGATCAGGCCCCACTGTAGGTGCTTTTAGGCAAAAAAAAATTTTTAAACCGAAAAAGCCCAATTAGCCAATCAAAGATATCAACTTACACCATTTCTATCCTGGAAGAAGGTCCTTTCCAATTTTCCAGGCGTCCCAATGATGATGTCCGCTCCAACCTTGGCCTCTCTATCCCTCAGGTCTTCCATAACCTCTCCGATCAAAAAAGTAATTCCAACTGGAGTCCCACGGGTGAAAATTGCCGCATCTTTGGCCAATTGCAGAGCCAGCTCTCGCGTATGACACAAAATAATCGCATACGGATTCTGATAATTGGTAATCGTTCCATCTTTCTTTTTGATCTCGATTATCGACTGAATCAAAGGGATCAAAAAGGCGGCCGTCTTGCCACTTCCAGTCGGAGCGCGACAGATCAAATTGCGGTCAGTCTCTCGGATCAACGGATATGCGTAGCGTTGAATTGTCGATGGTGCTTTGTAGCGTTTTTTGACGTTGTCGTCCAGTTTCTTATCCAGCTCCATGTCATTGAAACTGCTAAAAATATGAGCAAAATTGTGCTATCCACAATGAATTTTCTTACAAGGAAAGTAACTTCTATTGGGTATGGAGTCAAATTTGATTACAATGAAGGACCTGATCCAGTGGCAAAAACGTACCATTTTGCATCCGGGAAGCATCAAAAATGTGGCAAAATGCTCTCCAAGTGAAAAAACTTCGTTTTGAAGGGCTTTTTGAAATCGGAGTTTTCTCACTTGGAAAGGGAAGCATTTTGAAACATTTTTGATACTTCCCGGATGCAAAATGGTACGTTTTTTGCCACTGGATCAGGTCCCCTCACTGTAAGACATTATTTTAGGTACAATATCAAACATTTAATTTTTTAAGGGAGACTTTTTCGCCCTTACAAACCAAAATTAGGCAGCTAACTTTTACATATCCTGAATCAGAAAAATTTTACGATTTTTTTGATATATGACTCGACCTACAACTCCACACCACATAGAAGTACTCTCGTTAAAAAAAATTTGCTGACAATCCAAATTCTTACTCGATAAGATTAAACTGCCCGTTAAAGTTCTTGACAACCACATTTTTGTCGTCAATCATCTTCATGTCATGATACAACTCGCCAGCTTCGATGACGTCATCCGCATTGTCCAGTTCATGGTCTTCGAAGCGGGATTTCTTGATCACGCCACGGCGTCGCTCTACAATAAATTTGGATTATTCTGTTTTACTTTGACATCTATGCCAGTAGAATGACAATGCCACAATATTAAATAAAAAACCTACACTTATCTGTAGGTCAAAGTAGTGTAATCTCACTTACGTTCTAGATTTTTCTTATTTGCATGAGAAGTGGCGTAGAAAAGGTCCTTCCGTTGGCCTCCGACCATCCTGATTGCATTTTCTTCCCGAATATCAAACTCATCATGAGCCGTGCCTTCTTCTGGAGCTTCCAGTTGCTGCATTCTGAACTTAACGTAAGGATCAAGCTCATCATTTTCTTCGTCGGACATCTTATGGTGAGTGGAAGACTGTGGCCTTAAAAACGATATGAAAAGTAAAAAGTTGTCTTCTAAACCACGCAAAAAACTTCTAAACACTGTAGAAAAAATTATAAATTCAGTTCTTCAATATACCTCGGTCTAAACCGGATAAAATATGCCATCAAAATATATGGTCATCAAAAATACAAATTTATAACCGTCCTAACAAAACAGAAACAAAACAAAATTCAAACATAGTTATAAGCCAGATCTGATTCTTGTTCAACAAATTGGAATTCGAGTTTGACTGGCTGCTTCAGGACTTGGGAGAGGAATTCTTCGACGAAGCCCCAGAGCCAATAAATCCTTCGAATATCCAGACGACGGCCGTATTTTAGAAAGCCGGAAACGAATACGGCATTCCCTCGGCGCTTTATTACAATCTGAAAAGGATTTCTGTCAGTTCTAAAACAATTTCGATTGCATTTCAGACAAAAAATATATTATCCATGGAAGAAATCGTTTATTCGCTTGTTTCTTTGGTTTTAAATCGATTATTTCAATTAAATTCGGCCTCAAACTTCTTGTCTCACTTGTTGCTGACTATCTTTTATACTGTACTTTTACTCTCTACTGAATAATCGCTCAGAATTTCCCATCATTTTTTCGATTTCCGCCCGCACTTTTTACCCGCCTCGGAATTGCAAATTGAATTCGGGGGGATCTGTGTAAAATGTCACCGAATTCTGATCAGCTTCTGATAAGGACCACACACGCTCATTCCCACTCCTCCCCGCTAAAAGGGCGGATGGCCTTCGAATTGCGGCCAAAGTCGGAGAAATCATCGCCATTCCAAGGCGAGTGGCCAACGTGTTGTATTGTCCACTATTGTCTAGACAAGGCGCCGTTTCGGTCTCATTGCAAAAGACTAAACTTTGGCCAAAGATTTCAAGGGTCGTTAGACCTATTTTCTAACTGAAACGCCATGGTTAATGTACCTTCTAGATGGAAGAATTCCATGTGGTTTTCATGCCTTTGTATTCATACTTGGTTCAATAGGGTTATGAATACAAATTCATGAATTCCAATCGGAATGATCGGACCTGGCTTCTGACCTATCCATCATTACACTTGACAAAGTAGAAGGTCGAAAAAATATCTTTACCTAAAGGGTAAGCTTTGAAATATGTTCAACGCTACCCTTTTGCCATCTAAACCCAAAAACACTAACAAAAACACAATACCTACCTCGCTTCCATCAATAACTCGGTAATCATATAAGATGCCCCGGATGAATCGCCTAATCACTTCGTCTTGAGCCACAGTCAACCCTTGCTTCAGTTTAAACTCCTCCAAATTCTGAGTGTGCCATGTCAACCAAGACTTTCTGATTCCAATGTGATATGGACGCTGGGCCATCTCATAGGTCAACATTTGAGATCGGTCAATGGTCGACTGAAAGGATAACATAAAAACTGCAAATAATGAATCCAGCTGAACAGGTCGGCGGCATACTGAAAATTAGGAGAAAGAACAAACATTCTAAAAGTTCTAAAAGAAAGCAACAAAACTTAACTTACTCGATACTTTCCTGATCTTCTGTTTCCTTCCACAACCGACGTCATGGATAACATCCTAATACCAAAGTCCGTGGATCGACAAGGCAATACAAGTCTTGAACTTGTTGCCGGCAACATCTTTGGCCTTCTAAATACAAGAACAATTCAAGACCCTGTCCAAAAAAAAATTTTTTTCTTTTTGATATTTCGTTTGTTGCGAAGTGTCAAAATTGATTTTTGGGCGAACAACTTTAGGTGAATAAATTTCGCACCCGTTTTAAAGGTGCGAAGGTTATCTTCAGTATACAAATAAAAGAAAACTTTTTATTAATTTTATTCGACATCATCAAAAAATTCTTAATAAAAATAAAATGGGCTAAAGGATAAGGTGCCAAGAACTTTCATCGATGCTTATGCAATTTTCTCACTGTAGTACCGGAAAATATAATACTCAAAGCTTGATGGGGGTTGTGGTTATACAGTAGGGCCCTTATCATTTATACAATCTTTCGATTCATTGAAAAAAAACAGAGGTGGGATTAGACCTGTAGTAAACTTCATTTGACGAAGAAAATTACAAATAATTCAAGATAGATCTTCATAAAAAGGGGGCGTTGGATACAAAATTACGTTAGGTATAAGGTATAATTGAGAGTTATTCGATGAAGACACTGGTTGGCGAAGCTTCGACCTTGTACATGACATTTGATGACCTCTTCTTAGCGCTGTTTGTGATGCTGAGACGTTGCGGGCGCGGTGGCATTGGCGAGTTGATGAAGTTGTCCGGCGACTCCGACGGCGCTTCCGACGTGTTGTGAGAGCACATTTTCCCAGACCCATGTGACAGATTGATCGATGCCTCCGGCAATGTCACGGATGTTGCCAGAGTATCGGGAGTAGACCCAGGTGCCCAGGGCGACGATGATCAAGGTGAGGAGGAGAGAGAAGATCGAGGCTAGACCGTCCAATCCGATGAGTTGAAGGATTTCTTGACAAAAGTAATTGAAGATCATGAATGAGACCAAAACAGCTGGGGTTCGCATTGATTTGAACAAGTTCTTGGATTGATTCTGCTTGACGAAGGACTCGAAAGCTTCCTAAAGGCAAAAACATTACTATCCAACACCAAGATACACTCTATTTATATTACTTTACAATTCACACCTTATTTTAGGCAATATTTTATCACTCAACCTACCGTAATATCCTGTTCCAGCCTTTCCAAAAACTGAAGAGCCAATTCGGTTCCTCCCATCTTTTTGGCATTCTTGAAGAACCTGATCGCTTCATTCCGACACCTCAAATGTTCGTCTTCCAATTCGGCGCTCGATATGTACGGTGAGTCTCCGCCACAAACTTCCTCCATTTTCTTTACATACAAAGCCTTGGCCGATGAGGTGGCGGCCAAATTGTTGGCTTCGGCTGTCGCTGAGAGGACGGTCTTTGGTTCGGGCATGTCTTCGCCCGAGAAAATCTCAATATAAGCTTTGAGGTAGACCATCAATTCTCTGCAGGTGACGGGCTGACCATTGATGGACTTGGGGATCAAGGTTTTTGGGTCGAGGATGCGGGGAATGAATTGCCGAAGGTAGGACTTGAAGTCATTATGGATGGCCTGAATTAATAAAATCATTAAATTGGTCAGTAGCTCGTGAATACTATTAATAAAAACGCCGGGTAATTATGCATCAACCTAATCAAAGAATATTTTCATATCAAAATCATCAAAATATTAAAATTTTCCTTTCTAAAGCTTACATCAAGACCTCCCTTCCATCCTGGAGGGCTGTTTGCGACTTCCAGACCGGGATGTGGCATCAAGAAGCATTTAATTTCCTCAAAAGACTCCTTGATGTGTTTCCGTATCTGTTGGAGTTCATTGTGTTGTCTGTCGTTGACCTGAAGTCTTGTTTCCAAGAGCCGGTGTCCTCCTTGGAATCCGTATTCCATGTCGTAGGGAGAAGGCCAATCACGCACCAAGAACACAAGAGACTGGAAAGGCTTGGACTGGTTTTCATTTTCCTCCATGGCTAATCGACCATACTCTGTAAACAGCTGCAGATGCTGCAGATCATCCTCGTGGATATTGTTTTGTAGATTATAGATCTGAAATCAGTTCATCAGCGGTATTCCTAAACTTTAGACAATGGTTTATGCCAAGATTTACCTGAATAGACGAAATCATGGTTGATAAGGCAAAAACTGTTGCACAATCCTTAACAGTGCTCTGAGAATCAAAAGCACCTTGAGTATCCATCAATAATACCACCACATCTTCACCATCTTGGTTCTAAAACCAAGAATAATGTCACTCCATCTAATACAGTAAAAAAATTCAAATCAAAAAGCAATATAATCGACCCACCTTCAATAAAAATGGCTCAGACCACCAGAGGATACCATCAGTATCCCTTTCCGACCCTCCTCGCCATGAGAATCCGACCAAACTTGATTCGGTTTCCAACCAATCATTTTCCGGATTACCTCCTTCACTGAGGAACTTGAGATATCTCAAAAAGAAATTCAGGAGGAACGATTTGCCTTTTCTGAACTTCCCGGCGACACCGATCACACAAACCTGCAAAATAATTCATATTACACCAGAAGGGTACTATAATATTCGAGTTCACAAAAAGCCGTTCCAAGACAACGGCGAAATCAGGCATGTTAAACCTCATTTAACCTAAAATCCAATGAAAAAACAAAAACACTCACCTTTTTCTCCGCATACTTTGGATCAGCCAAGATTTTGTGAAGAAAGTTTTCGTTCAACAAGAAACTGTGGTCCTCCTCGACCGGCTGCAGAATCTTGACGGCAGCCGGCTCGGTGGGGAAAGGTTCATCGAGAAGGCGAACGTTATGTACTTGGCCGGCTTCCGCACTCATGTTTGCAGTCTGAAAAGACGTCACAAAGGTTTTGGTTTCGATCACAACTGACGCGAGAAAAAAGATTCTCTCCCGACTTGAAAAATATGAGATTAGAACTGAAAATTTGCAAGAAATGCGAAAGCAGGTGAGTAATTTTATGACTCGTTAAATTTTCCAAAGAAAACAACGGATAAAATCACAGGATTTTATGATACACTAGCCCTCAGAATTCGAGTTGTTTTGAAAGACACATTATTCGAAAACTTCCGACTGTATGTTTATAAAAACATTCCGTATTCGAGCTAGACAAAAAAAAAAGAACCAAAGTGATTGATTAAAGTCATGATTTTAAAATTATATTACACTAGAGGTCCAAGTGTAACAAAAACATCAGAAATCAACGGTTAGCAACTTTTAAGTGGAAAGATAAAATCAAAACATTCTGTAATTTGGGCTGACGCGTTTGCGAGCCGCAAGAATTTTGCGCCGCTCGTTTTTTTTGTTCGGAGGGATTTTGCGCCGCTCGAAAAAAGGTCCGCAGAATTTTGCGCCGCTCTAAAATCGCGAAAAAAAGACGCGAAACGCGCGAATAAAGCGAAAGACGTAACTGATAAATCAAATTTCGGTTTAGGTTGGCTAAAGTTTCTTAAATTTTTTACGATTTCTTCTTTATGCCAAAACTGTTTCGAGATTGACAAACAATAACTGATATATCCATGATTAGTAACCGTCACATAGCCCTTACAAGCAATACCAATTCTGAACGATGACTTCAGCAGGCATATCAAAGGAGTTAGGCTTAAAAGATCTTTTGGATGTTCAGATATATTAAAGTTTCTGCCCTGAAGACAGTGCGCCGGATTATGGGACTGGTGTCTGTTACACTCGTCAATGCTAAAGCTGTGAAACTGTCGGGGAAGTGGATCCTATTCGAAATGTTTGGCAACTGTTTACTAACATCTTTGTGTCGCCTGGCTTGACGCGTCGTCCCGGTATCTGGCAACAACAACAACAAAGGCGCCGTCCCGGCGCCTTTGTTTCGCGTCTTTTTCTTGGTATTGTAAGGGCTATGTGACGGTTACTAATCATGGATATATCAGTTATTGTTTGTCAATCTCGAAACAGTTTTGGCATAAAGAAGAAATCGTAAAAAAGTTAAGAAACTTTAGCCAACCTAAACCGAAATTTGATTTATCTACGTCTTGATGTTACGTCTTTCGCTTTATTCGCGCGTTTCGCGTCTTTTTTTCGCGATTTTAGAGCGGCGTCAAATTCTGCGGACCTTTTTTCGAGCGGCGCAAAATCCCTCCGAACAAAAAAAACGAGCGGCGCAAAATTCTTGCGGCTCGCAAACGCGTCAGCCGTAATTTGCAGTTCGGTTACAAAAACAAATCACCACGATTGAATTTTTTCACCAGTTATATTGTACTAGACAATTTCTACCGGAGAATTGCGAAACGATCCCTAAAGTTGACTTCGAACAAAGATACTCTCTAACCGCTTCATTCTTTGTTCCCCCCAATTTTTTCAAGGTCTATAGTCCACAAATCACGCCATGGAATCAGTTTATTATATTATCCATGGCTGGTGTTTTCCAAGTGTCGCGTTTCAATAACCCGACCCCATTTCCACTCCAACAGCTGCAGGGCAAAAACCCGATTAAAAATACTTCGGAACAACCCCTTGGACACACATTAAAATTGATTTCGTTCGAAAAAAGAAGCAATGTCTAGGGTAATATCTAAAATAATTTTCCTACTGCCAGCAAAACTGAAAATCCATAAAGTAAGTACCGTATATCATTTTAAAATATTTTTAAGCAACCGGACAACTGTTGAAGGCTCCATTTATCACTAATTCGCCCGATAACAAGGAGTACAAGAGGGTAGAGACGGGAAAAATTCGCAAAATTATGAAAATTGATAATGGACTGAAAAATTATTTAAAACGAGCCATGATCACATGAAAAACATCGAGAGATGAGTAGACGGCGCGTGTCTCGTGAGAGTACTAGTCCGAAAACACATTTCTGCCATGAAATAAAAAAAGAAAAAGATTTTCGTATAAAATTGCCCTCCACATTTGCATAACCATTGGGCGCAAGTTGCGGAGTCTAAAACAATGGGAAAATCAGAAAAAAATTGAAAACCTCGCGAGATCGGGATTGTGGACGTCAGAAAGCAATTCAGCACTATCGTTCGTACCCTTCTTATGTAGAATGCCGGATAAAAAACTGCCCTTGGAAATCTTCAAATACGACTGGCCTTTCCCCCAGAATCCCTCAACGTTTTATCGATGGAAGTCTCGGGCAGCAATGTGTTTGGCCTATTTTACGTCCAAGCTTATGTTTCCAGGTATGGCTTCAGTTGGTTAGCATTTGATTTTTAGTGCTGAATAAGATCGATTATAAAAATCGCGAGGTCTTTATGGATGCTTTGTCGGATACGAGTAGGCCTCTGTTGACAGTATCTAATCATCGTTGTAACATTGATGATCCTCTTATGTGGAGTGAGTTTATAACTTTGAAGATGCGCAAGCGTCAATTTTCAATTATTTCTCACCGAGTCTGATGTAACCAGTAATCTCAATTTGAGCTGCCCTGAAGCCCTCCGAATTTTGGCAACACATTGACCGTTGGAGATACATCCTTACTGCCCATAATATCTGCTTCACCAAACAATGGCACACTACGTAAGCTCTGATCTTCACCGTGCTCATTTTGATACAGAATCTTTTCTTTAGGACGATGTGTTCCTTGTGTCCGCGGCGCTGGAGTGTTCCAAGCGGGAGTTGACGAGTGTATAGATCAGATGAATAGTAATGGCTGGATTCACGTCTTTCCAGAGGGTCGGGTTACCGAAGTTCCGATTCGAATTAAATGGGGGATTGCGAGGATGATCTCGGAGGCAAAAACAGCTCCGGTCTTGCTGCCCATGTGGATTGAAGGAATGAGTGACGTATGGCCGAAACAGAAACCTTATTATCCAAGGTTTGGGAAGGTAATGACTTTTTTCTTTGTTTTTCTACTTTTAGGTTTTGGCCAATATTATGATAGACATTGAGATTTTGAAAAATATATATAGAAAATAATGATCGATTGTGGCTGATGAACCGAAGGTCCTGAAAAAATTTTTTGTTCATTTTAGAAGGTAACAGTAACAATTGGCGAGCCTATTGACACCACATTTCTTCGAGAAAAGCATAAAAACGATGACGAATTGACTCGACGAAAGGCGATTGCCGACTTTGTGCAAGAAAAGCTGTTCTCCCTTGGTGGCGTTACTCCACAGCCATCTGTAAAGTCTATTCCACCTCCTGACGAAGGAGAATCAGCGACATGAAAGAATTATTAGTTGTTTTAGGACTTGTTGTACATCTTGTTACTCGTTTTGTGCATGTTTTTCAACCTGATTTTGCATGATTTATTTTTGCAAAATGACGAAAAATAAAAGAAGTAAAAAAGGGAAATTGAGTTGATATGTGGAATTGGCAGTCATTTCCGATGCATGATAAACGGAGGCATCCGTGGAGATATTGAAAAGATCGTGGAGTTCGTTGAGGTCCAGCCGGTTGCAATAATCACTCTCGCAGCAGCAGAATTGCGTGTGGAGGAGCCTAAAAGCATGTTCTACTGTTATCTTGGGGAATTCAACAAAAAAATTGTATTAATTTTGGTCATGAAGCACATTTCATGTCTAATATAATATATTTTTATATTTAATTTTAAGTTCCCTTGCCGATTCCAGCCGTCTTTGATATGATGTTCGAGCTTTTTTCGGAAGGTTCTCCTCACAACCTTGTCCAGCTCGTTTACTGTCACGCAATCCGGCCCAATTCCTCTCATCAAACATTGCTGACGGTACACACAGAATCTGTCGACATACCATTCACTGATGTGAGGAGAGTCTTCATGTTTGGAGAGGGCATAGAATTCGGAGAAACAGACCTGCAATCGGTAGAAAATTAAAATTATAGTGACGGACCCGATCCAGCGGCAAAAAACGTACCATTTTGCATCCGGGAAGCATCAAAAATGTGGCAAAATGCTTCCCTTTCCATGTGAAAAAACTGCGTTTTGAAGGGCCCATCACAAAAAGAGCGGGCGCGCTTTTGAAATCGGAGTTTTTTCACTTGGAGAGTGAAGCATTTTGCCACATTTTTGATACTTCCCGGATGCTAAATGGTACGTTTTTTGCCACTGGATCAGGTCCCCTACTGTAACTAATTTTTCAAATTTTGATGACTCAAAACACTGTTGCCAAAGTGAAAACTTTTTTTGAGGCACTTTAGAAAACTTTCTGTCCATCGTTATCCTCACCTGGTCCTCTCCACAACTGGCAGTTTGAGTCGGGTCGCCTCTCATAAACGAGTCATAGCATTGGATGGCATGACAAACATGCTGAGGAAAAGAAAATGAGATCAAGAAGAGAAGGCTTCGAAGTGAGTTTTTTACATGCCTTGAGGTCGAAACAAGGGCAGTGCCTGTCATACAGGCAGAAACAAGGGAGGAATCAACCTGATCAAGTGATTTTTCCCACTGAAAATTATTCGCGAAAGATAAGATATGGTATTTTACATTTATAATACGAAAGCGCAGTTATCCCGTAAGCTTTCAAATTTAAAGGAAAAGAGTTGTCATGACCCTTTTGATGACTTTTTAAAGTTTTAAAAATACAAAAGGAAATAATATAGTGAGAGACCTGATCCAGTGGAAAAAAGTGCCATTTTGCATCCGGGAAGTAGCAAAAATGTGGCAAAATGCTTCCTTCTCCAAGTGAAAAAACTCCGATTTCAAAAGCGCGCCCGTTCTTTTTGTGAGGGAGCCCTTCAAAACGAAGTTTTTTTCACTTGGAGAAGGATGCATTTTGCCACATTTTTGATGCTTCCCGGATGCAAAATGGTACGTTTTTTTGCCGCTGGATCGGGTCCGTCACCGTAGTTCAAAAAAAAACTAATAATAAAGTAAACTTGGTTTGATGACATCAATGCCGGTTATATATCTCGCAGTCTTTCTAATTACATATAATATTAACTTTACTGTTTCGCAAAAACAACTCGCTAAACTGCTGTTTGCACTGTCGAAATGACATGTTCAAAAAATGTTCCGTTTTGGTCCTATTCAAAGGACACTTTTTATGCAGCGAGCAGACAGAAATTCATGAAGGAAGCAATCAAAGCACGAAGTACAAAAAAAAGATCCAAAAGAATTAAGCAATTATTCCCAGATTGTGCAAATTGTCACGGAAATGTAGATCGTATATCAATCCCTGAAAGTTCACAACGCATTTGACATATTTTGCAATTTGCCAAGTTATCGAAACCCCTTCCAAATCCCTCCTTGATCACTCTTTTTTTCCTACGTACGTGTTTGTTTATCCTTGCATGTCTAAACAAGACATAAAAAATGGGATAAACGGCTTTATGAATAAATAATAAAAGGGCTGTTTGACTTCCATTTTTTCCCAAAAAAGGTGCCAAAAAACAAGCCTTTCTTTGGAAATTCATCGAAACCAACTTTGCCAAACACTATGGGGATTAGAAAGAACTAAACGCTTATAGAAGAACTATTAAGCCCTTCAGCTCGAAAATAAATTGTTTTTACTCGGAGAAAGCGTTTTGTAAAAGTGTAAAATTGTGAAATAAGTGTGACCTCTGGCACAGCAAGCACAATAAGAGTAAGCTCAAATATTCGCAGAACCTACAACAATGTAATTTTTACAATCTAAAAATTCTATTGTAGTAGATGCATGGCCAAAGAAACCGTCGAAAAATGAGGTCAGACGGCGGAATTTTCCCGCACAAGCGTGTCCCACAAAAAAGTACAGCATCACACATCATTCTACAATATTTTTAGGCCATTACATGGTCGGCTATTTTCGTAATTGCATAATCTTACACATGATGACTAATGGCAAAAAACACCGAACGGCTGTCTAATATACTATTTGTAACAGCACCGGAAATGTGCATGACAACTCAAAATGTTATAAAAAGCAAAATAAATGGCAACTTTTATAGTCCAAACATCAAAAATGTACTATAAAAGGTGTAATATACGTGTTCTGTAATTCTCATCCCCAATCATCTTCCCGATTTCTTGCAAGCCTCTTTCAGTCGAGTTTAGCGATAACGCCGCATACAAAGGCGGATGTAAACATTTGCCAGACGAAAACAAAATTTTGGCCAAGTAAAGATAATATTCGATATCTCCAAATGGGAAATGGGCCTGGCTTATGTACCGGAAATCTGGGAGAACTCGAAAAAAATAAAATATTGACCTTTGGAACGCTATAAAAACTATGTGCCAAGCAAAGTGCAAGGTGATGATTTGAAAGTGAAAATATTCGCCAATTTTGGCATTGTGTTGCAATGATTAAAACAGATGTAAAAGTAGAAAAAATGAGAAAAGACTGCGTAGTATTCTTTAAAAACCATAGTACAATAATTAATCAGGCTATTAATTATTGTAATCACATAAATTTATATTATCCATAAGGTTATATGTGTTAGAAGCAGCTTACAGTCAAATTTGGCATTTCAAATCCTCTAATTAATCCTAAAATAAAGTGAGCAAACACTAAAACATTAAAATTATGTATGTAATCACGTATTTGGCAACTACAAATACCCAGAATTTCAGCATTAGATCTTCTAGTCCTCAGAAAATCGCCGAATAAATGAGTACTCTTCGATACCCTTAATCCCCATGTATTATCCATGCCACAAAATTAAGGGATTAGGAAGGCAGCAAAAAATATTTACGTAATTACTCGTTTGCCATGCTCTTCCGTGTGATGCAACTCTAGAAAACACATTTAAAATTAACCTTAATACAATATAAGACAACATTTTGAATGTTGAGAAGAATATCAGAGAGCTAAAGAAGAAAAATAGCTCAAAATAAGAGTTGTCAACTTCAACTTTTATCTTTTTCCACTTACTCAACACCATTAGTGAATAATGGCCAAAGTTTTAAATAACCCCATAAACAAGGGTAATTTGAATCCGCGGCGGAAAAAGTTAACAAACTCCTCCCCAACGTGCCAGAATTTTTACGAAAAACAGTCGGGCGACACACGTAACAACGGGCCGCTAGATGCAAAATGAAACTTTGTATCTAATATATCCGGTTTTTGTTTCCGTCGCCCGGGGAAACATCTCATGCGGAAAGGGCCTCACAAATTATACGGCCAAGGTGCAATTGTATATTAAACACATCCTTTCCGACGCGAAAGTCATCGCCATTACATTTTTGTATGCAAATCTGACGTCCTATTTTGGGCGGATTGTTGAGTCCCACCACGAAAACGCTTGTCCGCAAAAGCGCGATTTAAAATTCTTGGCATTCCGTTTTATGTCGGAATTTCTCGAGTTTTTCTCGAGAATTTTGTCGGTCTCGAATGCCGGCAATGTCGTCGTTTATAGATTATCAATCGACTGGCACTAACACACCTTTGACATGTGTTTTGGACAAGTAAGTAAAAGCTTTGTATTGTAGAATTAAATTTTTAGAATTTCAAAGATTTTGGAGCGTAGACTGATTGAGACTCGAAATAAAGTTGACAAACTGAATGATGTTTATGTAGCTGAGCGTTCCAATCGATTTGTGCAAGAAGATGTTCATGATCTTGAAGTAACTTTTAATGTTTTGTTGGTCTTTAGGTTTAATTTGTTGGGAATGCTCGACTTATCTTGAAATTTTGGGTATCAAAATTCCCCTATGGACTTGGCTTTCTCGTGTTTTACTGTGTTTATTACAGGGATCAGGTCATGACTACTTATTCAACAAAGTTTTGGAAAGTCGACAGTTGGCCTTGGAACGACGGAATTCCGATTTAGAACGACGGCTAATTGTGAATGAAACTGTTAACAAACACTTTGAAGACGTTATTCATGAAGTAAGCTTTCTGTCCATTGTCTTAATTTAGATTACTTTAGTTTGAACGAGATCTTCTGAAGATCCTCGCTGATGCCAAGTCCACGGAGGTTGAACGAGTGGCCTATTGCCTGAAGTTCAAGAGTGAAAACTCTGAATTGAAGCGAAAAATCGACGAGGAGGAGAGGTATTCGTTAGGTTTGGTACAAGAAAAAGAGAAGATTGAAGGAACAGCTATTGAACTTCAAGAGGTAAGTTGAAACTGCTGATTAAGTTATTCCTCGACATTTAGAAAGTGAATTCTCTCAATGACAAGATTAAAGAGATGGATGAAAAGTTGACCGCAGTGGAAATTGAGAACAAAAGTGAGTAATGATTATTTTTTCAAAAACTTTTTCTTATCTTTAGAGCTCACTATGGACTCAGCTAGTATGATAAACCGTCTAAAATCAGATGCCGATGAGTTCAAGAAGCTCCAGGACACGCTTGAAGAAACCAAGGACAATAACCAAGCCTTGCTAGAGAAGATCAAAGCGCTTGAGAACCATTTGGAAGTCGAAAAGCGTCGAGTCAAAGCGATTTCCGCTGAATATGAAGATCGAATTGACAAGGAGAAGGAGCTTCTAAAAGAAGAATTATCGATAAAACATGAGAATCTCCTACTTGAGCAAAGGAACGGGCATAATCTACTTGCTCAACGGATGAAAGAAAGCTTCGAAAAACAGATGAAGCTGGCCGCGGAATATAATGATGAATGTGTGGCCAAATTAAAGAAATATCAGCAGAGGTATTCAGACTTGGAGAAGAACTTTGAGAAGAGGGTACTACAGGAGGTGACCAAGAAATGCCAAGAGTTGGAAAAGAGGTATATGAAGATCGCGTCGGTCCCAATTACTGTTGGAAAAGGTAGTGATTTTGGTATATGATTGGTAGTTTTTATAGGGAATTTAGAGTTTACATTATATTATCCATGATAATATTAGGTAATTTGGAGATTTTCTTGAGCTCTCTTACCCTGACTCCTTTCAGTAACCCCAGAAAAAGAAGTCGATACTGATATCGAGAACATCCCCAGAAGGCTCCTCCGTGAATGGCAACAGAGCGACGCGGACTCCAGGTCCTCAGTTTCGTCGCTTGGGTCAAGGTCAAATTATGTAAGCTTTGCTTTTTTCTGTTATGTTGTATACAATATAATTTTTTTCTTCATAATCAATCGCTGATTTCAGTCCCGAGACAAACGATGAAGACAATTTTTACTAATATCATTGTTGTTTGTACAGTAACGTTTTAACTATAATACCTCGTTTAATCGGATGTAAACCGAGTTATATTGGAAATGAAATAAACGAATTTTGAAATTTTTAAAGTTATTCCCTTGGTTGAGACCTAATTAGTATTGGTAATGTCTTATATTTTGATCATGAATTGGATTTTTGCCTGGACACGCGTGAGCTTTGGAAAACAAGGACGTTTTTAATTCTAGTGCGCAATAAAACCCAGAAAAGTCGTTGGTATTTTACGGATGGTAATTGTCTTTAAAATTACGTTGTTTTCAGTTTCAAGTGTTGAGTATAATGGATGAGTCCATGGAGCCCGGGCCATCGCGCTGTGACCCAAACATTGATTCTGCAGCTATGGACGTGTCTTCAGAAAAGGTAAGATTTCGCTTTGGTCCTAAGGTATAGGGATTAATCGCCATGTGTTGTTGTGTGAGACGTCCTAGCGGACGTTGTAAAAAAGAAATCTGGAAATCTGACAGTTGAAAAAGGGCACTTGTCGGTTCATTATTGTTTCGTTTTACAGGAACTGATGGAGAAACGCAAGAAAGGACTGGAGAAAGCGCGAGAAAAGCTGAACCAGAGGAAGCAAATGAAGATAAAGTTGGCTGGGAGCAGGAGGAACATCGCAAGACAGCCATCTGAAGTTGAAGTCCTCAAGAATCAACTTGTCCAACTTACGCAGGAAAATACGCAGTTGCGTCTGCGGAACAGCGAGATGGAGAAACAGTTGGAGAAGGCTGAAAGGGCGTTGGCCTTGAGCTCGCCCAGGAAAAGAAGGAAGATAGACGAGCTAGGCGTGAAGCAGAAGGCAGAAAGAATTGGCAGATTGGAAAAGCACATTGGAGATGCAGTGGAAATCCGACCGAAGACCCCTGAAAATGACGTGGAACTGGCACTCTTCTTAAAGAACGCCTATCGGTTGACCGAATTCCAGTACCAGGGGCTACAGAAATTCGCCGTCAACTGGTCTCCCCTTCATCACGTAAAGCAACGGGAGAAGGATCTCATAGAGGCGGCTGGCGGGTTGGACACTACGGAAGCGTCGGTGGGATGGACAAATCCGTCGATGGCATTTGGACTGTATGTTCAACGTCTTGTGGAGACGGCCTGGTCGACCAGAATGCCTGACGCGGTGGATGTGGTAATCGTGGCCGATGGTGGTGGAGATGGAGCAGCGAACCTGGTCAAAATGGGTCTGTTCATACCCACTGGAGTCCCAGCTCCTCAGATCCCCTACAATGTACTCCTGCTGAGCGCGTACACGGGTAAGGAAAGTCGGGAGAACTTGATCACATTCTGTGAAAAAGGGCTCGACTTCCTGAACAGGTTGTGCAAGGACAAGAGGTTTGAGGTTGATGGCCGCCAAATTGCATGCCGGGTCTTGCTTTGCAGTAATTTGAATGTGGTACCTGTCATCCTGGGTATAAAGGCGGCAACCCAATTCTGTCCCAACTGTACCGTGGAGCGTGCAGAGCATAAGAGGGCGATGACGACGGACGCTGGGAAGAGGACTTACAGAGATTCGCTGATAAGTCTTCTGCAGGAAGATGTAGTATGTCCCCCACTACATTGCCTCCAGGGTTTGACGAATACATTGGCAGAGGAGATGAAGAAAAATAATCCGGATGAATGGAATGCCGTTTGCGACGACCTGAACATAGAACCCTCCCATCTTTCCAAATCGATGCTGAACGGCAGAGATGGAAGAAGATTGGTGAAGAGCTTAGCTGAAAATGGCAACCCACAATTTGCCATTTTCAGCGATGTTTTTTCATCTTTGGACAGGATTTATGGATGGGCAACAGTTGGTGTCCATGGTCAAGATGATCCCACGAAGGCTAGCATTGAACGGGACATTTTTCTGCTGTCAAACGCGTGGAGACACAGTGGGCTTCCTGCGATAAACAAGTTGCACCTCCTTGAAGCCCACGTTGCCGACTTCGTCACATCCCATGGCTCGTGGGGGCTCTACGGGGAACAAGGCCTGGAAAGTTTGCACCACGTTGGCAACGTCGCCTCAGCTCGAGGTTTCGGAAAGAATTCCGACGTCAAGGCCAAGTTCTTCTTTAAATCCCAATTTTTTTCGATGCTTTCCCGGCGTTTTGACACATAAATTGCTTTTTATTCGAACTTTGGAATCATTTTTTGTTTTTATTTGTAGGGGTCTCAGCGTATAGAATGTCGAAAACATTATCGCGCGAATTTCTCTGTTTCCTCTTTTTTCGTGACGTGCGGTTGGCCGAGTGGGTAGAGCGTCCGCTCGATATTCTTTTGAGGGTTGGTTCGATTCCGGGGCAGCGCGAGTGGCTTTGGTGACCGAGATAAACTCTTGTGGACCAAAAAAATTATTTTGTAATTTTTTAGATCCTCTTTTTTCGAGGCAAGAGAAAGAGGCAATTTTTTCGGAATTTTTGGTCGATTTTTCTTGCCGGCCGTACTTATTTTGCATCTGGAAAATGCCTTTTTGTACTAAAGTCGGCCTGCTCTATCCACCTGCACTACTCATTTTCCGGAACGCTGGGGGAATTTGAGACCATTCCCTCGTCAGCACAATTTTCGCACCGTGCGTTCTTCTTTCATTTTCATCCGCACGGTGCATCTTTTTGAATTTCTCGCCGCAATTCCCCGTTTTCCATTAGCGATATGCACCTTTGCGCGCGACAAATCCGAATTTGCCGGCGCGGCGTCCAAAACCCGAACATTCGCACTGTGCGAAAATTGTTAGGACTTTTGAGCGCGGGTAGTACTATAAAATTTAAAAAATTAGGAGGTCATTCTCAAACGATGAAAATTCGAGATTTTTTCATAAAAATCAAAAATTTTTATTTTTCGTTAGGAATTTCAATGGTTAAAAACAACTGAAGGTCGAGTTGTCTTTATAAACATTTATTAATCGATAATTAGGGATAAAAACGAAAAAATGGCAGGTTTCATGTTAAAAAAGCTAAAATGGCAAGAGTCTGGCAGCTGAAAATTTAGGGAAAAATGGTCGAAATTACTAGAAAAATACAATTTAAATACTAGGAACTTTCATGAACTGTAGAATGCAAATAGACGGTAACCTTTTTTCCCAGTTTTTTCTCTCAAATCCGACCTAAAATACAATTTTTTCCCGGAAAGTTTTTCTGGTTAGTGTTGTATTTTAGGTCGTATTTTGGCAAAAAAGCTGAAATTAAAAGTTTACAGTGCTAGTTGCAATGTTCTACGAGCATCGTTGAGTTGGTTAAGACAGTAAATAACTGGTTAATTCGTAATAATAGTAACTTTTTAACAGCGCTCTTGGATTTCTCCTTCCTTGAGGCCGAGGCATTTTCCCCATTCCTTGATGGTAATAGAACCGTCCTTATCGGCATCACACTTCTCCAAGAAGGGCTTAATACAGCTCTCCATGGGAATGACTGGGGCGGTAATTGGGATCAGCTCGTGGTGACTGACATGCTTGTCGTGGGGCTTGATATCAAGGTCACAGAACTTCCAGATGACGGGGTAGATGTGACGCTTCTCATCGTCGTTTTCGGCTTCAGACACAAGCTCTTCCCATTCGAGGTTGTGGAGCTCACGACGCTTCTTCAACTCCTTCATGACCTGAAAATGAAAGGAGGATTTATTTTGTTATAGTGGGTAAAATACGATGATTTTTGGTGTTGTGTTGGTATGTTGTGTTGTGTGCAGTGTTGCTCATAGTGGCTTAGGATGAAATCTCGCGAAATTATCGGCATTTTTCTCGCCCGAAATAATTGCTTTTTCTCGAAAAGGAAAGAAAAGAAAATGAGTTTTATCGGATAGTGACATTTCGTTTTGAACGAATCACCAAAAAAGGGCGGGAAATGTTTTCTTCCGTTTTTGATTGACGTGCCCCCCACCACTAGTGATATTTGAGCTAACTTTATGTTACCCTACCCACCTGGAACAGCCAATCGGCCATGCGTTCGGGGAACTGAGCCATCAGCTCATCAGTGCACTCGTCCAATTGCTTGCAAGCTCCCAAGTACTCCAAGTGGATCTTGGCGTTGGCTGGAGAGTCACATCCCTCCTTGCTTCCCTTCTTCTTGCACAAACAACGCTGACGGTAGAGTTCGCACAACGAGCTGAAGGTCTGGTTGTTGTTGGCACAGACCATGTCATTCGGGTCGTTGTCGAATTCGGGGCACTTGGCAATGCACTCACAGACGGGGCGGTTCTTCTTGTCCACAACACACTCCTTTCCCCAACCGCAAACATGGTCATCACAGGGGTTGGCGGTGACTAAAATATAGGGGAATTAGTGCTAAGGTACTTGAAAATTCTTGAGTTTGACTAGTTGGATGGCTTCATTGTAATTATGTTTTTTTATACGGAGACGGACCTGATCCCTTGACAAAAACCGTACCATTTTGCATCCGGGAAGTATCAAAAATGTGGCAAAATGCTTCCCTCTCAAAGTGAAAAGCGCCCTTTTTCCTTACAAAAAAAGCGGGCGCGAGTTTTTTCGCTTGGAGAGGGAAGCATTTTGCCACATTTTTGATACTTGCAAAATGGTACGTTTTTTGTCACTGGATCAGGGCCCCTACTGTAAGTAACGCCACAAAGAGGTTTTTCCTGATCTGTTCGAGCCAGTCAATTTCCCATTAGGCAACTTTTAATAGCCTTAAGCCTGGATTATATAGATATTAGTCAGGGCCTTTCTTTGAAGCTCCATGCAGAAAAGTGTTTGTTCCTTGGGTCCATTAATTTTACCCACGAAAGAACTGAACGGAACACCTGTTCCAGAGCTATCTTAAAACTTGAAGTTCTCACAAGCAATGCGAGATATTGGTTAACTGGTCAATTTCGTCTAGTGGTAACATAGTAAAAGCAGAAATTTCCAACATAGAACGTGGTGTATTACCTTGAACTTGAGCCTTTCCGTCGTCAATATCCTCTAGAATGCTGTCCAAATCGTCGGCGAAAACGGCGGAAATGGCCAAAAAGGCCAGCCCGCAGACTAACCAAGTCTTCATTTCGATTCGAATAACCTGTAGCAAGATGAAAGTAATTTTTTCAAATCGGGTTTTAATCGTAATTAGCGCTCGAGAATGATATTTCTTGACTAAAAAAAAAAGAATAGGCAAAAGCTATATTAAAATAGCAAGGTCAAAATTAGAAAAATACGTAGGTCAAGATGTCGGCGTGATTCGCGGTATTTGACTTTAGATTTCGGATAACAAAATACAGAATAAAGCGATAAAAAAGAATAAAAATCGACCTTGTTAAAAAATGTTGTTGAAATAAAGTCGATTAAAAAAATATCTTAAAATAAGCTGCAACAGTATAATAGATACTTGATAGACGCTAGGTATGCATTTTATTTTAGTGAGGTTGATTTTAACCACCGTTTTTATCAAAAAAGCTCAGAAAATCAAAGTTTAACCCCACTTTTCCGCCGCTAAACACCCTTAGGACCAAAAATTGTGGCCTAAGAATGGAAATCGGATCGTGGGCCGAAAACTAAAGTCTTCCAAAAAAACGGAGAGAGAATCCAGGAACAACTGACCCCCCTTTTCGAAGAGAGATTTGTTGGATCAAGAGCCTCAGGGCATCGAGACTAAAGACCCTCTTAAAACAACTGACATTTGACTCATTATTCCAAGGCGCCTTTAAACAAATTAAGGCCCTAAAATGGGGAGGGTTTAGTTCGGAAAGTTCGCTAGTTGTCCCTAGGCTGTTTAGGATTAGTTGACCAAAAATGGAGACTCCAAATTGGTCATTATAACCTAAGCTCCATCAGATTCTAGACAGTTGTCTAGCGGCAAAAAAATTTTGCAATTTTATGGGTGAAAAATTTGTTTATGTAAAAGAAAGGGAAGTCAAAAGAAAAATAGAGAATTCAAAGATCGCGCTAAGAAATCAAAAGCAAATGGGAAGATCAACGAAGTAAAGGGAATTCACAGATGTTTTTTTGAGGTTTTTTGATGTTTTTCTGAGGTCGTATCGGTTGTTTTGGCAAAACGGACAGCTTTGTTTTTGAGAAATCGCCTTATTTTAGGTGATTATTATGGGGACTTCTAGCATTTGAAGGAGGGCAAAAAGTAAAGCAGATGACAAAAATTTGGTTATATAGTTTGAAGAGGTTCATGGATGACTCTGTAAATGGGATTTGAGCAAATATTATTTCACGGCAAAGCTAAAATCAGCGATAATTTCCCTTCTTCGGGATAAAATTAAAAAAAGATTATGTTGCTTTTTTTGATGACTTCCGAGCGTAGCATAGGCACTAGATCGTTTTTATAGAAATCTTTGGATAGCCAAGAATCTCTAAACCCCAGATTTCGATTGATCCAGTATTCCCGTTGCATGCTTTTAACCCCACTTTCACTTCGAATCCATTCGAATCTCACCTTCCCAAAACATAAAACCCGAAAACAACCGCTGCCAAATTTTTATGGCCAATTCAAGGTCCGGCCGAAGCAAAGACGAGTAAATTTCGAGGAGGCGCTTTTGGCTTGTTTTGTAGCGCCGCCGGACTAAAGAGTAACAGATGACTGATTGGCCGGTTGACAAGCCATTTGATCGCTTAATATCGGATGGCCGCGAAAATGACCCGTCGTCTCGGATTTGACGAATGGGCCCGGATGTCCGCCGGAATGTAAACGTAATGTTCTGGAAGGCGCGTAGTGAGTTATGGACGGAGAGATTGATGAGGGAAGTGTAGATTAGTTAGGTTGAATGGGCATTGTTTTGATTGGAATGGGATTGGTTTCAAAAAAGATGCTAGTACTTATAATTTTTATATACAGTGACGGACCTGATCCAGTGGCAAGAAACGTACCGTTTTGTATCCGGGAAGTATCATAAATGTGGCAAAATGCTTCCCTCTCCAAGTGAAAAAACTTCGTTTTGAAGGGCCCTTTCCCTCACAAAAAGAGAGATTTTGAAATCTGAGTTTTTTCACTTGGAGAGGGAGGTATTTTGCCATATTTTTTGATACTTCCTGGATGCAAAATGGTACGTTTTTTGCCACTGGATCAGGCCCCCCACTGTAATATCGGATGCGGGAAAAGTGCGGGCCATATCACTGCAATAAGTGATATGGGGGATTATGGAAGTAAAACTTGAAGAAAATCTACACCGCAGATGTAAAAAAGCCCTGCGGTTCAAAAGTCATCGTGTTTGATATAAAAAAATCACAGCCACCCAAACCTTAATGAATCGTCCATCTCTTGACTATTCAAAACGAATTCCCACTGGCCATCCAACCCTTCGTACAGACAAAAGCCCCCTACTGATTCCCATGGAACTCGCATGCCCAACGTTGTATGAGTAATCCTTTGTTCTGAAAGGCTGTGCATCCCCAAAGAGCAGCTGTTTTGGATAAAAGTTATAATTCCCTGTTTTATATTAGGCCACACGTGGTCATAATATTCGAAATGGATTTGGCTCCAGCTGCTTTGATCCGTCATTCGAAATGGCTGATCGAAAGCCAAACGAGTTATGATTAATTCGAGTTTAAAGTATCGAAAATAGAAAAGATTAGCGATATTATTCAATGATATAAGAGAAGTCGCAAAATAATGCAAGAATCAAGATAAGTTTCTGAAATTTCGGATCCTTCGGATGTAGGGCAGTGAGACCGATCCAATGTAGAGGTCCTTCCCGTCATCCACAACATTGGTGACGTAGCTTAGACGACCTTCAGGGTCATGAAGACTTGAGACAATTTTACCATCAAAATCCATCTCAATGATGACTTTTTCCTTTGAAGAAAATAGAGTTGCCGAGATATAACGGAAGTGTTCGGGGAGCTGAAAAATAACCGTAAATAGAGGGGAATATGTCATAGGTGCTACATTGAGATCATTATGACGAGTGCAAGTTTCGAGAAAATCCTTCTACAGTGGGGGACCTGATCCAGTGGCAAAAAGTGTACCTTCTTGTATCCAGGAAGCATCAAAAATGTGGCGAAATACCTCCCTCGCCAAGTGAAAAAATTCAGATTTCAAAAGCGCACTCGCTCTTTTTGTGAGGAGTTTTTTTACTTGGAGAGGGAAGCATTTTGCCACATTTTTGATAATTCCCGGATACAAAATGATACGTTTTTTGCCACTGGATCGGGTGCCCCACTGTAAAAACAACAACTTGTGTAAATTCTGGAAGCCTGTGCTTGGCGGCACTTACCATAGCCAAAAGTTTCCTCAGTTTTGGATATTCACTCCATCTCTGATACAACGGGCGTTCGCCGTTCACGGACGACTCATAAAACGCAATCCAAAAGCTCTTTCCGCTCGAGCTTTGACGGATATTGTCTGGGATGCCGGGCAAACCATCTGCAAACACTTCCACCTGACCCTTCTTAGGGCCTTTGTAAAATATCCGGAGAATTTGGGAGGCCGAGGTTGATGAAACGAGGGCTGACTGTTTATCTGGATGAGCAACTACTCCATTCGGGGTTAGGAGATCCTTAGCGATGACTTCCCAAGCTCCGGTGTTGAGATTGAGCGTGATTACGCTGAAATGGGGCAAAGTTGACAAAACAAAAATTGATTTTTCGGTATTTGGGGGAGGGGGCTGATTCAGTGGGAATAAACCGTTTTGCATCCGGGAAGTATCAAAAATGTTCCAAAATGCTTCGCAAAATGGTACGTTTTTTGCCACTGGATCAGGTCCCCCTCTGTAACATGGGAAAACGCAACTTACCGTCCATCTTTGATATACTCAAAGAAGCACACGATATGCCTTTCAAAACCGCATTTTGGATTCATATCGGTGAAGATGATCGTCTCTTCATCGATGAAATCAAAGTCATCGGGGAACAGGTGGGTCCATCCACCAATGTACGTTCGTGAAGTGAACACTTGTTTTATTTCGCCTGGATAAATTACATTAGTTTTTGAAGGGGCATCAGTATTTCTCACCAGTTTTGAAGTCGGCCACAAAAATTCCCAGCATTGCGTCCGCATAAACCACCTTTTCGTCCTTCCAATATCGCATTCCAAGAGGGACGGAGCACAAGTTGTATTCTGAAACGAAGTTTTAGCATGCTTTTGGGTGATTAATTGCTCCCAAAATCTGAAATTATAAGCTTACTACACTTTGGATTGTCCTTGGAAACGTCGATCACCTTCACGATCTTGTCGTTCACTATTTTATAGAGATGACCAGTCACGCTCCCAGTGTAGATTGCTCCATTATGTATGACTTGGCATTCTGGGTTGACGATCTCGCCTTTTAGTACATATTCTATGTTATTGATTGTATTCTTTGCTGTTCTCGCCAATTTTCCTTCGCTAGGTCGGACTGGGGCGAGTCTGAGTTTCGTAATCGGTTGCAGTTGGACCACTTACCTCACGACATACTCTTCAAAATCTTTGAGATCAATGAAGACGTAGATTACAAACGCTAGGGATGCGATGAAGATACTCCTGCAATTATCGTACAAAAAATTCTAGGTATTTTTTTTGCTTTTGGGGTTGTACTGCGGCGGACCTGTTCCAGTGGCAAAAAACGTACCGTTTTGCATCCAGGAAGTATCAAAAAATGTGGCAAATTGCTTCCCTCTCCAGCTAAGCGCCCTTTCCTCACAAAAGGAGCGGTTTTTAGTTGGAGAGGGAGGTATTTTGCTGCATTTTTGATGCTTCCCGGCTGCAAAATAGTACGTTTTTTTATCATTGGAACCGGTCCGCCACCGTACAACCTTTGCGGCCGCTGCGTAACTCTGCAACGTCTAGAAAGCCCCAGCTAAAATTTTCAGCAATTGAAATGCAACGTAGTGAGAGCGCGACTGCAAAATTTGATGGGCAATTTTTTGGGAAAAAGAAATTAGTTTCGTCAAAATCAAATATGAACTTTGCTTTCGTCCCGCAAAACGACAAAACGTAAACCAAAAGACTTCATTTTTTGTTCGTTCAACAACCTGGCGTCGACTTACCAACTAAGCATTCCCATTCTGACAATTACAATATTGCATTTTCCCTAGGCTGCATAGCTTTTAAAGCAAAACTTCAGCGATAAGGTTCGGCTGTAAACAATTTGATATATTGCCATACGTTTCGCACGTTGTGTGTTCGAGCTGTCTTTGAAGGGTTCGGAGTCGTTTCGGGAACAAATTATACGAATGATACGATAGCGAAGAATGTGATTAACGAGATAATAAAACGTGGCAGAAAATCAAATGAGGAGAGCACAGTTGTGAGAGTTGTAGTTCGTTTTTTGGTGATATTTATTTTGTGATATTAGAGAAGAGTATAATCGATGGTATTTGTCAAAAAAAAAAACGGTTTCTTTCGCTATGCGAAACTTCCAATGTACAGTGGGGACCTGATCCAGTGGCAAGAAACGTACCTTGCATCCGGGAAGTGTCAAAAATGTGGCAAAATGCTTCCCTCTCCAAGTGAAAAAAACTCGGATTTCAAAACCGCGCCCGCTCTTTAAGTTTTTTTCACTTCGAGAGGGAAGCATTTTGCCACATTTTTTATGCTTCCCGGATGCAAAATGGTACGTTTTTTGCCACTGGATCGAGTCCGTCAGTGTAATTTTATACTGTTCTAAGCATCTTCTCTGGAATGTCCAGGCATTGGTGTTGGCGCCAATAGCGATGTCAAGGTCTGAAAGTTCATGTGGCCAGCGGAACTGGAACTTCTTTCTCCTTTCTCTTTGGTGAATCCTTTGAGTCGGCGTTTCAGTAGCTGTTTCTTCTCCAGGCGTTTTTCGTTTTCCATCGTTTCCTTCAGAATTCTCTCTGTTTCGTTCATTGCGTTAAACTGAAAAAAATATTTTTATATAAGTTTCAGTGCCGTATTTTACAGTGGGGGGACCTGATCCAGTGGCAAAAAACGTACCATCTTGTATCCAGGAAGTATAAAAAAATGTGGCAAAATACCTCCCTCTCCAAGTGAAAAACTCCGATTTCAAAAGCGCACCCGCTCTTTTTGTGAGAGAAAAGACGCGCAGTTCAAGACGGAGTTTTTTTTTGGTTGGAGAGGGAGGCATTTTGCCACATTTTTAATACTTCCCGGAGGCAAAATGATACGCTTTTTGCCACTGGATCAGGTCCTTCACTGTACAATCTCCCCTCGAATTTACCTTTCTGTTCACCACGAACGCTCTTCTCCTCTTATCCGTCCCAATTGGTCTTGAATATTTTAACAATGCCATGAGACGCTCGGCTGGTTGCAACGACAGCTCCAGCATCAAAATAACCTGAGCCCATTGTCTCTTCCATTCCTTTTGCGTCCGGTAGATCAATTCGTAGGTCCGTGTCATCATAGCGATCAGCAGATTAAACTGCATAAGACTTACGAACATTTCGAAGATGACGAACAAAATTTTCCCCAAAACGGCCATCTCTTTGGCGGCGCAATTGTTGAGTTCGCGATAAAATACGGTGAATTCGCCGATGGTGGTGATAAACAGGCGAAGCATGCTCTCAGCGGGATGATCGAGAATGTTGGTGCGGTTGGGATGATGGGCTAAAAAAATAAAGATTTTTGGATTAGAAATGAGTCTCGGCACGAAAAATTTGTAAAGTTTGGTCTTCTGTAAACTCACGCCCATAGAGTGAATCCGCCTCTCGTTGACAGGCCAAAAAGATGACATAAAAACCTTGCGAAAACCCAAGCAGGAAGATAAAGTAGATCAAGAAGAAACGGATCATATCTCGAGTGATGATCGTATACACCATCAACACGAATGGTCCAACGAATTTCACAGCTCGACAGTAAAAAAGAAAGTGAACTGTTGTCATCAGCACAGCCAGCAAAGAAAACGAGTTGTCCAATACGAGGAAATCAGGGCTAATTCCGCACATAAAGCGCAGGGGGATCACAAATAAGGTGAAAAGAAGTGAGATTTTGTAGAGAATTTTGGCCGGGAAGGATTTCTGAAATTCAATTTTTGTGATTGATATTAGTTTCCTCAAATTTAGAGCAAAATTTACGCTGCATTTCGAGGACTTGGCTTTCAAGATTTGGTCTCGGAAAAGGTCCAAAAACTACAGTGAAGGACATGGTCCAGTGGCAAAAAAATGTATCTTTTTGCATCCGGGAAGTATAAAAAATGTGGCAAAATGCCTCCCTCTCCAAGTGAAAATACTTTGTTTCGACGCGCGCCCTTTCCCTCGGAAAAAGAGCGGACAAGCCTTTCCGTAGTTTTTCGCTTGGAGAAGGAAGCATTTTGCCACATTTTTGATACTTCCCGGGAGCAAAATGGTACGTTTTTTGCCACTGGATCAGGTCCTCCACTGTAATGAAATTCAATTTTTTATTATAATATTAATTTCCCCAAGCTTAGAGCAAAATTTACGATGCATTTCGAGCACTTGGCTTTCGACATTTGGTCTCGAAACAGGTCCAAAAACTCACCAAAACTTGCCACCATCTTTTCCTCCCGATATTTCGAATATCGCGGATCTCTAGGAACAACTGAGCTAGCACCATGATAGACACCATTAGCTCGCATACCATTCGAATCTAAACTAGTTGATTTTATAGCTGTTGATGTCTTTAAGCTCACAAAAGTTGCGCAAAACAACTCAAAATCTCCGCAACCTACGTATCCCTCCACTCCATACGCTCTGTACTGCCATAAATGGCAACTGTCTTTGGACATCCACGAGTTATCGGCCCAAGACGAAAAGACATCCGCGAATTTGTTCGAGACTTTAACGATGAATCCCGATTTCTCAGAGACTGAAGTGGTGTTGTCGCCCGACAAGTCACGGTTGTCTTCCAATGGGCGACTCATAAACGCGACAAAATAGAAGACATAGTAGACAGTGAAAGCGCAGAGCGACTCGATCCAGCGCCGCCGGCCAAAAGCCCTCCATTTGGACTCGAGAACTTCCTCAAGCAGACCGTCAAGTAGATCGAGATGTTCTTTGGAGTCCTGAAATAAGCGATTAACGTACAGTGGGGGAATCTGATCCAGTGGCAAAAAACGTACTATTTTGCATCCAGGAGGCATTAAAAATGTGGCAAAATGCTTCCCTCTCCAAGTGAAAAAACTCCAATTTCAAAAGCGCGCCCGCTTTTTTTGTGAGGGAGCCCTTCAAAACGAAGCTTTTTCACTTGGAAGGGGAAGCATTTTGCCACATTTTTGATAGTTCCCGGATGCAAAATGGTGCGTTTTTAGCCACTGGATCCGGTCCCCCACGAAGGCGCTTCTACAACGAATAGAACATCGATTTTGTTCATTTGAAGACAGAAAGTAAATTTACAAAATGCTATTTGCTTACTCCATAGACGATCAGCGACAACGCAGAATCCTCGTTGAGCTCGCCAGTCTCTTGATTTATGGTGTCGATCTTGGCCAGTGGGAACGCAGTGCTAGCGGCGTCTCCATAATTCCAAACTACACTGCTTTCGAGTTGAAGAATTTGCTCGAACATCTGCAATGGCCACAAAATTGTGTTTATAATACGGTGACAAAATGGCGTTGTGAACTTGAGCAATGTCTTGTGGTTTTCCTTTGTTTTAGCGCACCGCTATGTGGGCCGAGATGAATATGTAATATAGACTTTTGCTGAACCCCTGCTACGGCAATTACTCACCCTTTTCTTGGCCAACTTGGCTGCTAGAGTCAGTGGGGTGAGTTTCTGCTTGTTCATGACCTGAAGTTTGGCTCCAGTTGCGTGAGCCAGTCGGAACATGTCCTGAAAATCAATGATAGGCACGGCAAAACGTTTTCCTTTTTATATCACTTACAGTGGGGGACCTGATCCAGTGGCAAGAAATGTACCATTTTGCATCCAGGCAGTATCAAAAAATGTGGCAAAATACTTCCCTCTCCAAGTGAAAAATTTCAAAAGCGCGCCCGCTCTTTTGTGAGAAAAATGGCGCGCCTCAAAACGAAGTTTCTTTACTTTGAGAGGGAAACATTTTGCCAGATTTTTGATACTTCCCGGATGCAAAATGGTACGTTTTTTGCCACCAGATCAATTGCGACAAATTCAAAATGTGGACGGGAGACATTTTTCTTTTGTGTTGGGTTGCATTTTGCATCTAGAAGGTACCAAAAAATGTGGCAAAATCCCTCCTTCTCCAAGAGAAAAAACTCAGATTTCAAAAGCGCCCCCGCTTTTTTTGTGAGGACAAAGGGCGCGCCCTTCAAAACGAAATTTTTTCACTTGGAGAGGGAAGCATTTTACCACATTTTTTATACCTCCGGATGCAAAATGGTACGCTTTTTGCCATTGAATCAGGTCCCCCACTGTACAAGGTCCACTTTCTTCCTAGTCACTTACCAAATTCTCATGAATCACTGTCATGTGCAACACGGTATTCCCATTCGTATCCTGCGAATTTGGATCAGCCCTACAGGCCCTCAAAATCCGATAGCAATCTTGTTGGCCAGTACTTGCCGCAAATGCAAGTGGATACTCGCCAAAATACATTCTCCTGAATTTAAAAAAATTCCATTTGGTGTTCCACCAACTCACCCTACATAATTCGTATTAGACAAATTCACCTCCACATATTCATGTTCCAGAGAGTCGGTTCTGCTGCTGACTTGATCATCCGGGCAGAAAAGCGCGCCATAGCAACGCTGATTAATGTCAGCGCCTTTTCGCAGCAAGAAACACATCATCCAGGGGTCTTCGTTGACGATCGCTTGATGCAGTGGGGAAAGGCCATAATAATCTTCAGAAATGAAGATATCATTGACAAGTTTGGGGTAGTGCTCCAACATGTAGACGGCTAATTTGTTGTGGATAACGCTGCCCTGCATCAAGCAACAGCCGACGAGGTTTTCTCCCATCGAACCTGAAAAATAAAAAAATTTTGTAAAAAGTTCTAATAGCGGAAGATACCGGGAGTATGACTCAAATATCCCATCAGAAACATCATGATTTTTTTGCGACGTTTCTGAATGGGATAATTTTGCTTACCTCTCTCCTCCATTTTCCAAACCACTTCTCTATATTTGGCATCTCCTTTTCCTCCTTTACCACCATCGAGAAGTTTTAGAGCTGAAACAAAGCTTTATTTTATGTATATACCAAGTAAAAATGCAATACGGAGAACGCGGTTTAGTCCATAATACCGAGGAGTATAGCGTACAGTGAGGGACCTGACCCAGTGGCAAAAAAACATACCATTTTGCATCCGGGAAGCATCAAAAATGTGGCAAAATGCTTCCCTCTCCAGGTGAAAAAACTTAGTTAAGGGCGGGCGCGCGTTTGAAATCGGAGTTTTTTCACTTGGAAATGGAAGCATTTTGCCGTCTTTTTGATACTTCCCGGATGCAAAATGATACATTTTTTGCCACTGGATCAGGTCCCCTACTGTATTTAAAACCTCTATTTTCGGGGTTGAATTTTTACCTTTCTTCAAGTCTCCTTGGTTTTGCTCCTGATTGAAGTCATCCAAAATGTTGGGGCCACTTTTTCCCTTTCCTTTCTTTCGACTGAACGCTCCCAATCTCTCATTTCTCTCCTTATTTCGGCGTTTTACCAATTCGGCCACACTTTCCAATTTGCCTTTTCCACCATTGTACATCATGTCCTGGAAAATTTAAAGGATCGATGGCATACATTTTACACCCAAAAATTTGTTTTGAAGATTAGAAAAATTTGCATATTTTTGAGCATCAAATTTTTGAAATTCAAAATTTTTGAAAAAATTTCTTACCATGACCTTCGTCTCCATGTAGCCATCAATCAGCGAGAAATCACCGCTGTTCATTCCATACCGCATCCATGGGATCAGCTCCCCGCCTCCATGCATGTCCACCAAATTGTAAAGCCGATACTTTTTGTCGTTGGCACCGGCGGGCTGATCTATTCCCACTTTTCCGGATTTGTTTTTACTTTCCGCGGAGCCCATTGGGTTCTGAAAAGAGGGCAGAGAAAAAGTTGGGCCAATTAGATTATCTGTGACATTTCTTCAACGGATTTTTGAGGTAAGGCTGGCAAAGAGTGAAAAAAATATTAGGTTGTATAATAAGTTATGACCATAATTTTCTAAAATTCCTAAAACTTTAATGATGCTTTTTTCAGAGTTGAATAGCATACCGCTGGGTAGGGTGGAGACAGTAGATTACAGGAACCAGTAGCACATCGGCCTCCGGCTAAAACATCGGAGAAAAGAAATTAAGAAATGAGGGCATCCCAAGGTGCTAAAACAAAAATACGCCTTAAATCTGAGAATTCTGAGAGGCTAGTAATGACAATGCTTATACAACCTAATATACAGGCCCTAAAAAATTATTTGACCGACAAAATGCGGCTTGAAAATCATACAGTGCCGGATATGATCCAGTGGCAAAAAACGTACCATTTTGCATCCAGGAAGCATCATGTGGTAAAATACCTCCCCTCCACGTGAAAAATTCCGATTTCAAAAGCGCGCCCGCTCTTTTTGTGAGGGAGCCCTTCAAAACGAAGTTTTTTCGCTTGGAGATGGAAGCATTTTGCCACATTTTTTTTGCTTCCTTGATGCAAAATGGTACGTTTTTTGCCACTGGATCAGGTCCCCCACTGCACGAGACAAAAACTACGGTAAATTTGAAGTATAAAATTTTCAAAAATAATGAAAAGCAAATCAAAAAAATTAAAAAAAATCAAGTCTCAAATACAATTTGAATACTGCAGAAATTGCATAAAATCACTTCTTTAATAATTTTTTTTAATTTTATTACTCATTTGAGCAGCCGAAAGCAGGACAACATTAATTCATCATAATTTTCACCCCGACTATCCAGGTGTGAATATCGCGCAAAGCGAAGGCATAGTCTAGTAAAACAATTAATCTCGAACTCTATTAATTAGTTATACTAATGAATTTACGTACAATATCGGTCATTTTGCCGGATGTTTTTTGAGGTTTTTTCAAAATTTTGGGTTGAAAAAGCATTAATTCTAATTATTTTCGGGAAAATAATAGAAAAAGGTACATGTTTATAGTCATATATACCAAGTTTTTCTCTTACTATGTAATACTGTAAAAACGTGTACTAAACAATCACATCAAAAATTGCGTCTGAAAAATCCCGTCAAAACATTCGAAAGTAATCGAAAGTAGTGGGAAAACGAGCCCCGAAGACGGCGGTTATAAACTGACTTGCGGGAATTTATTTACTGGAAATCTCATTAATTTGTAATGGCCGTGAGGCCAGGTAAGGAAGGGTGCTTACCGCATTCGACGAGCATGGCTGTTGAGGCGGCTCTGGAGGCGTCGGGGTGTCTCGGTGGAGGAATCGTAGGTGCAGGTTTCTCAGCATTCAATTGGGGCTTGTCTAGAAGTGATAGGATTTGGCTAGCGTTTATAAAAGGAACTGTTTGTGGCGTGGCGCATAGGATATGATATGACATGGTGAAAATAATTGATATATGTATTTTGAGAGACAAATGTGAGCATCAAATATGGGGTTTGCTAGAAAAAACTAAGATGTTATGCTCCAAAGAGACAAACTCTTTGCGTTGGGACACAACGGGATCTATTTTTTGCCCCATAATCCAATCTACGACTATACTAGACGCTATTAATCTAGTGAGTTCGGAAACTCGCTGGAGTAATTTTTGCGACATGCACTGTGAGAAAACAAGAGCGCACCTTGCACTGTGCAATACTAACAAGGGAAGTACCCCAAGTGCGAAGTTCAGATTTCCTTTAAATTTTTCACACATTTCGGGCATATACTAAATATCAATTCCTAAAAGTTTTAGCTCGCGCTTTGCAAGCGCCACGGGGATATAAAGGTGGTCACCGAAGTTCTCGACCTTTATTTTTTCTGTTGCGTCGAATTTCAGTGCAAAAATGGGTTGACATTGATTTTGGAAAATCAGTGCCAAAAAAGCTCGGAAATTTGGAAATAACCAGTGTAGATTTTGAGAAATCGCTGCAGGACGAAAATTGAAGCGTGCACTGATTTTTCAAAATCAATGTCAACTCATTTTTGCACCGAAATTCGACTCAACAGCAAAAATAAAAGACGAGAACATCTGTGACAACCTTTATATTGAACCATCTTTGCCGCCGAGGGAGTACGCTAAACGTGGAGAGCGGTCAGAGAGAAAAACGTTTTTGGCTATAGCTTTGCCAGTTTCGTGCGGAAAAAATTTATTTTTTTGTGTAAACACTACCCTTTACGGTAGAAATAACCATGAAACTTTTCGTGCCGAAATTCGACAAAAAATCTCAAATTTTCGCCGACTTTTGATCTAAAAATCTCGGTTGTTTCTGCAAAGCGCGAGCTAAGTTTTTCGTATTCATTTTAGAAAAAAAATGTTCTAAATTTGTGAAGGTTCATCCAAATCTGAACGTCAAACTTGGGGTACTTCCCCTGTAAGTTTCATCAAAAGACAAAATTTTCAGTTTCCAAAATTCAAAATCCCCAAAACTGTAAAAACAAAACTGCCCAATTTACCCCTAGAATTTAATTAATTTTACCGACATGCAATGGCTTTGACTCGCTAAGACTGGCGACCAAAAATAGTCAACAACGCCGGCAAACAGCGCTGCCACGAGATGTCGCGTGACAAAAAATTAAGTGCCGAGTAATTGGTGACATTTATTCAAAATATCTTAATTTTCGTAGAACTCAATCTTGGGCATGTCCGTTTTGCAATACATGAAGAATTTGGCGTTGATTGGGGTGCCAGATTCATCGAGTTTTTGGGTCCATAAGGGGGAATTGTCGGAGAGTTTGAGGACTCGCGGCCGATTGTGCGAGACGGCTTTCAATGGGATTAATCCGACTCTAAAATAGGAAAAAATACAAATTAACATTATATACTATTTTTTAGTTAAAAAATTGCAACTTTTGTATATGGCATATTGTAACAAAAAAAATAAATTTTAATGCCGAAAAAATCCTACTTTTTCCAAGTTTCAGCGCAAATCTTCCATTCCACAGCACTGCCAATCCCCTTTCGACGATGAGGATGGCGGGTGAATTGGGAAGTGATGGCGCCAGTTACGTCCAAAAATTCATAAGAGACAAGTTCATTCGTATCTTCAGTGAAAACGCCGACGGATGGCAGAAGTGAGAGGGTTCGTCTGAAAAAAGTCCTTTTTTGATTTTGTGAGGACCTCAAGCTTGGCAAACTGTAGCTACATACTATTTTAATAAACTTTCTTGTTAATTTTTTTGAAAATTTTACTGTATGATGGGTTACTGTAACATGACTCGCTTTTTTCATAACTCGGGAATCAGATGTCGTAACGAGATGGGGACTTCGTAAGTGTGTTCAGCGTGCAGAAAAACGTCTTTTCGTTAGCTACACCAAGTTTCGACAACCCCGGGAAGTGACCAGAAATTTGAATATTTAAGCAAAAATTCAAAAAAATGCAAACTTGATCATCAAGATGAGATCTTTGAAGATGTTGCAGTAACAGTCAAAATTAACTACTTCTACCTCAATTTTTTTGTAAAAATCCAACTCACTCATAAGGTTTGGGAGAGGTGATTTTCCCGTACAATTGATCTGCCAGAATTTCCGCGGCATGCTGCGGTTTTAGCCTTTCGAATCTGTAGCCCTCGGGCAGCTCGGGCTCCTTTTCTTCCACCAGTTTTCTTCCGTCTTCACAAAGGTGATAAAGATTAACTCGATCCTCCAAAATTTTGAATGGATGGGATCGGCGGATGCCCAAATCGAGAATGTTTCTTTCGAACTGCAAAATTTTGCTACACTCAAATAACATGTCAAAGTGTACTCATTTTATCTTCGACTTACGAGATCAACCAATGGCTCTAGGATTCCGAACCCAAAAACATAGTCACCATTCTTCACAGTGTCGTATAAAGCGTCGGCGAAAAGTTTGGCAATTTGCATGCAAAATTCAGGATCATAGCAATTGGACTCGAGGAAAACTAGAGATCTAAAACGTAATTTATATATTTTACAGGGGAAGTACTCCAAGTGCGACGCTCAGATTTTCTTTAAATTTTGCACACACGTCGGGTATGGACTAAATATCAATTCCTGAAAGTTTTAGCTCGCGCTTTGCCGGCGCCGCCGAGATATCGAACAATTTTTGCCGCCGAGAGAGCACGCTAAACGTGGAGAGCGGTCAGAGAGAAAACACCTTTTTGGCCATTACTTTGGCAGTTTCGAGCGGAAAAATTTGATTTTTTATAGAAAAATTATCCTTTACGGTTGAAATAGGCACAAAACTTTTCGAGCCGAAATTCGGCAAAAAGTCCAAAATTTTGGCCGACTTTTGTTTTAAAAATCTCGGTTTTTTCTGCAAAGCGCGAGCTAGAATTCTCGCATATATCTTAGAAAAAATTATTCTAAATTTGTGCCAAGTTTCATCAAAATCTGAGCGTCGCACTTGGAGTACTTCCCCTGTTAGTAGGAATTGAAATTTGAACGATCAGCATGGCCAAATCAGACCGGCCAGGTTAACGGCTATGAATAGATCATCTTCTGAACATAATTGAGCCTAATTGTAAGTTTCAATTCCTTCTATATAAGGAAATGATTCGAAATCAGCACTTTCGATTACTTCGACAATTGCAGCGAAGAAAAATAATACTTTTCGATTTCCACAATCGTCTTTTTCCCCCAATCGTCCAACTCCGGATAAAAACAAAGTAAAAATCAAAGCATAGGGTGCATACAAGACCGTTTCTGCTTTAAAACATAAATCATACATTAAGAAATGTCTAGTTTATACTCCCGGACACAAATTTGGACAAATTCTTTTTCATTGACAGTCCCAAAATGATTTGTCCAACTTACTTATGACTGTTATGTTTGACCACCGCATACGCCAATCTGTCCCCATCCCTGATTCTCCACAAATCCAACTCCAAATCCTCTTCCATAATCCCCTCCAAATGGAACTTTATATGCGCAGAAACAAATAGGAAGTATGGGTCTAGTCGGACTTCGTCCAAAATTCTCCGAAATTCCGAGCTTTCGACCTTCTCCACTCTCATTATCAATCGGAAACAAGGGCAGATCAAAAAAATACTTTTAAGCAGGGCTCTTTTTTCTGTGCGCTGGAAAAAAATAAATAAATTGGAATGGGGCGAAAAAGCGGTTCTCTTACAGTGACAAATAAAAAATGAAACTTTTTTTTGATGGGTCCTGCCGCGAAAATGTTTAGGGGTAGCAAAATGCTTTTTTTACCATTAAATTCTCCGTGTTTTTCTGTCCTAGTCCTTTGATTTTCACGCCCATATCGAGTGGCTATCATCTTTGCTTCGAGCGTCAAACAGAGGGACTCCAATTTTGAACGTTAAAAATTTGAACAGAAACTGCAGAAAAAAGCGAAAAATAATATAATAGAGGAAGATGTGGGACAAAAAGTGATAATGTCGCCTTTATTATAAAGCTTTAGTTTTCATAAAATTCAAACTTGGGCATATCCTGCTTATGGTACATGAAGAATTTGGCGCGTCTTGGGCTCCCAGATTCATCAAGTTTTTGAGTCCATAATGGGGAATTGTCGGAGAGTTTGAGGACTCGAGGCCGATTGTGCGAGACGGCTTTGTATGGGATTAACCCGACTCTAAAATACGTAAAAACATTTATAATTCGCATCCATGCCATTAACGTTATCAAAAAAAGACATATTTTTCAGAGACTCGAATTTTAGGAAAAAATGTCTTCCAACTTATGAAAATATTGCCTTTTCCAAGTTTCCGCACAAATCTTCCATTCCACGGCACTTCCAAGCCCTTTTCGACGATGAGGAAGCCGGGTAAATTGGGCAGTGATTGCGCCGATTACGTCCAGAAATTCATAAGAGACAAGTTCATTCGTCTCTTCAGTGAAAACGCCGACGGATGGCAGAAGTGAGAGGGTTCGTCTGAAAAGAGTTCTTTTTTGATTTTGTGAGGACTTCAGACTTGGCAAACTGTAGCTACATACTATTCTAATAAACTATATCGTTAATTTTTTTTCGAAATTTTACTGTATGATAGGTTACTGTAAAATGACTCGTTTTTTCATAACTCGGGAACCAGAGGTCGTAGCGAGATGGGGTCTTCGTAAATGTGTTCAGCTGGCAGAAGAACGTTTTTTCGTTAGCTACACCAAGTTTCGACAACTCCAGTAATTGACCAAAACATTGAATATTTAAGGAAAAATTCAAAAAAATGCAAACTTGATCATCAACATGAAATCTTTGAAGATGTTTGCAAATTGGCTTGGTAATAAACGTTTTTTGGTCAAAGAGTTGAAAATTTTTGTAGCCTGTTACAAAATACAAGTAGTAGTCGGCTTCAAACCGGCTTCAAGCGTTCCCTTGTGACCTTAAAATCAGCTTTGCTATTGGAACATGGCTTCTACAGTGGTGGACCTGATCCAGTGGCAAAAGACGTACCATTTTGCATCCGGGAAGCATAAAAAATGTGGCAAAATGCTTCCCTCTCCAAGTGAAAAAACTTTGTTTTGAAGGGCGCGCTTTTGAAATCTGAGTTTTTTTCACTTGGAGAGGGAGGTATTTTGCCACATTTTTTGATGCCTCCTGGATGTAAAATGGTACGTTTTTTGACAATGGATCAGTTGACCCACTGTATAGCCAAAGCAGCATTCTTGAATCTTTAAAAAGTAAAATATTTGATGATAAAAGAATCAAATCTTTGAAGATGCTTCCTCGTTGCAGTAACAGTCAACATTAACCAGTTCGACCTTCGTTTTTTTGTAAAAATCCAACTTACTCATAAGGCTTGGGCGAAATAGTTTTTCCGTACACTTGATCAGCCAAGATTTCCGCTGCATGTTCTGGCTTCAGCGATCCAAACCTATAGCCTTCGGGGAGTTGGGGCTCTTTTTCCTCCAACAATTTCAGCCCTTCTTCACTGACATGATAAACATTATCGCGGTCTTCTAAAGTTTTGAACGGATGAGACTCCGAGAGTCCCAGGTCGCACAGATTTCCCTCGAACTAAAAAAATGCTTGTTAACAACGTAGAAAACTCCTGTTTGCAACGTAAAAACATGAACTTACGATATCAACCAATGGCTCCAAGATTGCAAATGCAATGACATAATCGCTCCCTTTTATCGTTCCGTATAAAGCTGCAGCAAAAAGTTTGGCAACTTCGTTGCAAAACTGCTCGTTAAAGCAATTGTATTCCATGAAAATTTGACACCTAAAAATAATGATTACAGATGCCGGGGAGAGAGTGCAGAACTGCGGAGAACGGCCAGAGAAAAAATGCATTTCTGGCCATATCTCCGCAGATTCCGAATAAAAACTACAGTGAGGGCCTGATCCAGTGGCAAAAAACGCACCATTTTGCATCCGGGAAGCATCAAAAATGTGGCAAAATGCTTCCCTCTCCAAGTGAAAAAATTCGTTTTGAAGGGAGCGGCTTTTTTCCTCTTATTTAAAAAGCGCGTGCAATCACTCACTGCATCACTGTATTGTTTGCTTTCGCTTAGCATCCACCAACCATCATTTCATTGCAAAAAAACTGAAAATCGATTTTTTTTCCATGCTCATGGCTGACACACTGACTCTAATCTGGCAAAATGCCTCCCTCTCCAACTAAAAAAACTCCATTTTGAATTTCCCTCACTAGGGAAGTGTACAAACGAACCTTCACCAAATGGCAAGTGATATACACCATTGGAAAGCCCTTGAAAAATAGTGCAAGATACCATTTTCATTTTTTTGCAGAATGCCTTTCCGCGACGACATACTGTAAATTTCATTATTTTTAGGTCATTTCGCAATAAAAACCTTTCTTTCTCTTGAGCGGATAAAAATTCTCGAAGAGAGTTGCTTCGATAGTGTAGTGGTTGCTGAGCAGGCTGATAAGCCAAACCAAGCTAGGTTCGATTCCCAGCTCCGTTTTGCGTTCTTACTGGTATACTCCGCGCATTTAATTTGGATCAACCTGGATCTCAAAAACTAAGCAAGGCCTGGACTTGATTATTTTTGTATAATAATCTATTGTCATAAAGAACATGTTTGAGCAACAAACAATCACATTTCAGGTAAGTGTAAAATTTTAAATTGCAATTTAAGATTTCGGGTGCGCAGAAAATTTGGATCAACCTTGCAAAAAATTATTTTGCTCGCTGAGGTGGTCGATTTTATTGTTGTAAATGGTGAATACGGATACTACGGAGAAATAATATTCTGAGGGTATCAATTTTGTGCAATATTTCTTATGACATGGCCCATTTAGGGAGATACCAAGGAATACGGTAAGAAAACTCAAACAAAGCCCAAAAACTTATAATTGTAACTCCTCAAATTGCTTGCAAAGTGTACTAATATTTACTTGTAAGCCATGCAAAGTATTTTAGCAAGGCATCCAGTGGAGTTCACGGCATCTACGACTTCTACGAGACATAAATCAGAATTTTTCTGAAAACAGTTTCTAACGGAAAGTTTACGGTACTTTTTAAAAATTTTCTAGTGCCTGTTTTGAGGGTTCAGTATATACAGGACATGATGTGGCAGCTTTTGATTTAATTAGTTCATACGATTCGTTGGTATCAATTCCGTAGGGCACAAAACTTTAGCAATATTTTGAATCCGCGAAAATTCAAAATATGGAAGACTCGTTGAGAAGCTACAGTGCATCGGAGAATTTCATCTTTTGTTGCTTATTAAATATGCACCCTGTAGACTGCTATAAAAGCAAATACAACGGTTGCTTTAGTTTAGGGAGCGAATTTCCAACCGAACGCGTGTGATGCACGGTGTAATTTTACCTGAAATGTGATTGTTTGTTGCTCAAACATGTTCTTTATGACAATAGGTTATTATACAAAAATAATCAAGTCCAGGCGTTGCTTAGTTTTTGAGATCCAGGTTGATCCAAATTAAATGCGCGGAGTATAGGATAATATTTGAGTTAAAACGCGTTTTATTACAAATCGTAGTTTGGCCCGGACATTGTTAAAATCGATGTCTCAGAATTGAACGAAAATTGGTCAACTTAATCACTGACAGCCACAAAACATTCGCTTTCTTTATTTTTGCCCAAAATTACCATATGACGGCATACTGTAACATTTTTTTTAAAAAAAGATATGCCTTAAACGAGAAAACAAAGCGCTATTTTAGCACAAATCGAGTTTAAGTGTATGTTTTCGACCATGCTGAATATTTTTGTAATTGTCACCGAAAACTAAAAATTACATCTAAGCTATGTTACACATGAGGCAACATACCATTTCGGGCATAAAAAATGCAGTTTGGACGAGGCGCAGATTTTGAAACCGGAATAATAAACTTCAAGCCTTGTCTAATAAACCGTAAAAATTTCAGAAAAATCAAATATATAGTTTTTGAGATATTGGATATTAAATGTCTCATGTGCGAGATCACCTTGACCCCGAAAAAATTTGGCATTCTTGGGTTTTTGGCAAGGCGCAGATTTTGAAGACTTCCAATACATTCTTATCGCATTTTAGGAGGATACAGGAAGTTTCAGGGGGAAAAAATGAATAGTTTTTGAGATATCGACCAAAATACCTTGTTTTAGGTCATCAGATGCCCGAAAAAAACTGGCATTCTTGGATTTTTGGCTAGGCGCAGATTGTGAAAGTTTCCAATACATTCTTACCACATTTTAGGAGGATTCAGAAAGTTTTAGGGGAAAAAAATGAATAGTTTTTGAGAAATCGACCAAAATACCTTGTTTTAGGTCATCAGATGCCCGAAAAAAACTGGCATTCTTGGGTTTTTGGCTAGGCGCAGATTTTGAAAGTTTTCAATACATTCTTATCGCATTTTAGGAGGACTCAGAAAGTTTCAGGGGAAAAAAATGAATAGTTTTTGAGAAATCGGCCAAAATACCTTGCTTTAGGTCATCAGATGCCCGAAAAAAACTGGCATTCTTGGGTTTTTGGCTAGGCGCAGATTTTGAAAGTTTTCAATACATTCTTATCGCATTTTAGGAGGATTCAGAAAGTTTCAGGGGAAAAAAATGAATAGTTTTTGAGAAATCGGCCAAAATACCTTGTTTTAGGTCATCAGATGCCCGAAAAAAACTGGCATTCTTGGGTTTTTGGCTAGGCGCAGATTTTGAAAGTTTTCAATACATTCTTATCGCATTTTAGGACGATTCAGAAAGTTTCAGGGGAAAAAAATGAATAGTTTTTGAGAAATCGGCCAAAATACCTTGTTTTAGGTCATCAGATGCCCAAAAAAAACTGGCATTCTTGGGTTTAAAAACGACCACAGAAAACAGCGAGGCCAATGAAAATCTAAGGATGAAAAGAGATGTAGTGGATGATCAAGACAGAGCTGAAATTCTTTTCACTTTGAATGCCATGGAGGGCGAAGACGAAACTCTGTACAAGACTGAGCCATACCTCGACAACGAGTTTGACGAATTGTTCGAACGCGTCTCTGCCGATAAGGACATCTGCATCACCTTCACCTCTCAAGACTGCGAGACTTTCCCCGACCCTAACAAAAAAGAATAAAATCTTGTAATGTATTTCTCAACAGAGAATAAAAGTTTTTCCCTCTGTATTGCGTCTCGGCCATCTGATGACCTAAAACAAGGTATTTTGGTCGATATCTCAAAAACTATTCATTTTTTTCCCCTGAAACTTTCTGAATCCTCATAAAATGCGATAAGAATGTATTGAAAACTTTCAAAATCTGCGCCTAGCCAAAAACCCAAGAATGCCAGTTTTTTTCGGGCATCTGATGACCTAAAACAAGGTATTTTGGTCGATATCTCAAAAACTATTCATTTTTTTCCCCTGAAACTTTCTGAATCCTCCTAAAATGCGATAAGAATGTATTGAAAACTTTCAAAATCTGCGCCTAGCCAAAAACCCAAGAATGCCAGTTTTTTTCGGGCATCTGATGACCTAAAACAAGGTATTTTGGCCGATTTCTCAAAAACTATTCATTTTTTTCCCCTGAAACTTTCTGAATCCTCCTAAAATGTGGTAAGAATGTATTGGAAACTTTCAAAATCTGCGCCTAGCCAAAAATCCAAGAATGCCAGTTTTTTTCGGGCATCTGATGACCTAAAACAAGGTATTTTGGTCGATATCTCAAAAACTATTCATTTTTTCCTCCTGAAACTTCCTGTATCCTCCTAAAATGCGATAAGAATGTATTGGAAGTCTTCAAAATCTGCGCCTTGCCAAAAACCCAAGAATGCCAAATTTTTTCGGGGTCAAGGTGATCTTGCACATGAGACATTTAATATCCAATATCTCAAAAACTATATATTTGATTTTTCTGAAATTTTTACGGTTTATTAGACAAGGCTTGAAGTTTATTATTCCGGTTTCAAAATCTGCGCCTCGTCCAAACTGCATTTTTTATGCCCGAAATGGTATGTTGCCTCATGTGTAACATAGCTTAGATGTAATTTTTAGTTTTCGGTGACAATTACAAAAATATTCTGCATGGTCGAAAACATACACCTAAACTCGATTTGTGCTAAAATAGCGCTTTGTTTTCTCGTTTAGGGCATATCTTTTTTTTAAAAAAATGTTACAGTATGCCATCATACGGTAATTTTGGGAAAAAACAAAGGAAGCGAATGTTTTGTGGCTATCAGTGATTAAGTTGACCAACTTTCGTTCAATTCTGAGACATCGATTTTAACAATGTCCGCCCTCTGTTAGGCTAAGCTCCAAAGTGTGGCAAAACGCGTTTTAAACTTTTACAAACGCTTTAATTTTTCTAGAAAACGGTCGATTACGGTTAAAACCATCAAACTTACATGTTTTTCAAAATTAAAAAAAGTGAAAAGTGTTTTTTCACGTTATGGGTGTTTACCAGTAAATGTCATATGTAAAATGGTTTTACTGGCAATCGCCAAACTTCATAATGATTCTTAGGCCAACCTAGTGGCAATATTTACCATTTAGCGTTTTGAAATAAGATTTATTTTGCCCCACAGCAGATATTGTAATTAGTTAAGGGACAAATCAACCGTTTATAATTTTTTGCCCTGAGGCATTTTGCAAAAAATGAAAATGGTACCTTTCATCATTTTTCAAAGGCTTTCAATGATGTATAACACTTGCCATTTGGTGAGGGTTCGTTTGTACACTTCCCTAGTCAGAAAAAGACCGGGCGCGCTTTTGAAATCGAAGTTTTTTCACTTGGAGAGGGAAGCATTTTGCCACATTTTGATACTTCCCGGATGCAAAATGGAACGTTTTTTGCCACTGGATCAGGCCCCCCACTGTATTAAATTTTGGAGGGTTGGAAGACTGAAACATCTCCCTATCACTTGCCTATGACTATTATGTTTGACCACCGCATATGCCAATCCATCACCATCTTTGATTTTCCACACATCCAGTGTAATATCCTCTTCCAGAATCCCTTCCAAATAGAATTTCAGATGCGCGTAGACGAATAAAAAATAGGGATCTAACCTAGTCTCTTCTAGAATACGAGGAAATTCAACAGCTTCAACTTTTTCCGCCTTCATTATCAATCGGAAAACAATAAATAAAATTGTTTTATAGACCAAGACTGCGCGTTGAAAAAATCGGGGAGATGAAAAAACAACACCTTCAGAGGATTTTGAGTAGAAAACAGAGCGATGACTACAAACTACAGAGTAAAATAAGAAGAAAAAAGGCGATAAATGTCATCATTTTTGCAAACCAGTGGGGGACCTAATTCAGTGGCAAAAATGTACCATTTTGCATTCGGGAACATCAAAAATGTGGTAAAATGCTTCCTTCTCCAAGTGAAAAAAACTTCGTTTTGAAGGGCTCCCTCACAAAAAGAGCTGGCGCGCTTTCGAAATCGGAGTTTTTTCACTCGCAGATGGAAGCATTTTGCCACATTCTTAATGCTTCCTGGATGCAAAATGGTGCTTTTTTGCCACTGGATCAGGTCCTGCACTGTAAGTGGGCTTGAAAACGCAAACATCAAAAAAATGAAAATACAATTGCCAAAGTGTACTTTTTGAGATCACCAAGTTTATTTTCACGGATTAAAGAACAATTTTTGGGATAAAAAAACTTAATACTATCTGAATTTCAAAAAAAAATGAAATAATGTAAAAACATCTAACAATCAAATACTGCTACAGTATTAAAGTTACGGAGGATATGGATGTGATTGCACTCGTGTTCAGACCAAATTCCAGGGCATTGCCAAGTGCCCAAAGTCAATCGCAATACTTAAAAAACTATTAGATACAGTTTCACAATGGCAAAGACTATTCCTTTAATGGGCAGAGGATATAATTGTGGAGTGCGATGGCCGAGAAGCCGGCCAAGACAATTCCAACGGCGTCCGCCAGCGACGCAACGGCCAGGTTGAATTCGCGGAAACGGGGGTCCGACTGGAACTTAAATTTATTCGTTTTTTCAACCTACATCTTTATGAATTCGATGGAAAGTGTTCACATAACTGGCGCCTCCAAAGAACCCTTCAAACAGAATGACCACAAAGGTGACCCAAATATGCGGAATGAAGTAAAAAATGGCCTCGAAGAAGAAGAAAATCGTATTCGAAAATTGAAGCACCGGAAGCACCAGCAATCCCCAATACGGAAGCTCGATAATGTTGACAGAGGAGCGGGAAATGAAGACTCCCAGTTGGTACAGGACCTGATACCAGCGGTACTGACCCTTGGGTGAGATATCAAAGCCTTTCGAGCATTCAAAAACCATGTGTTGTGTCTGAAAAATTTGCAATAAATTGAAGAAAAAAGTATAAACATTTTTTGAGGGACCTGATCCAGTGTCAAAAACGTACCATTTTGCATCCGGGAAGCATCAAAAATGTGGCAAAATGCTTCCCTCTCAAAGTGAAAAACTTCGTTTTGAAGAACGCGCCTTTTTGAAATCGGAGTTTTTTCACTTGGAGAGGGAAGCATTTTGCCACATTTTTGATACTTCCCGGATGCAAAATGGTTCGTTCGGGCCCCCCACTGTAGTAGAGTCTAAATTCAATTAAAAAAAATGGCGGAATGAATGAAATCTTTGCCCCAAAAAAGGTCGTTTTTTTAGCAAGTTTTTGATATTATCCATGCTTACAATGCCCATTAAAAAGCAGTACCAAGCAAGCTTCAGGTGCAAGATTGGACATTTTTTGAAACAAAAAACTGTCTTTTTGGCTTTCCATTATTTTAAGATTCCATTTTTCAATTTCATCAAGTCTTGTTTTGAGTCCCACCACGAAAACTTTCAAGTTCAAATTTTGCCTAGAAACCACTTTTCCCTTACAGGTCACGACTTATTTTATATCTATTAACCTATTCTAACGCCATTTTCAACTCACCAATCCCTGGTTGATCAGATATTCCGCATAATAAACCAATGCCACCGGGATCATGTACTTCAACAGGGGAACAACCAATTTCATCCGTTGCACTGTAGTCAACGACCCAATCGTTGAACTGTACACCTGATCATCGTCCTTATTATTGATGCTCTCATCACTCGAAGTCCACGCCGGCTTCCCGATCGTGTCCTTGTCATCTATTGTTGATGCCGAAATGACATGTTTTTTGGGGGTTGAAGGGACAATCCAAGTGTTGGGCTGGGTAATGTTCGCTCGGTATACGGTGGGAGAGGGGACTAGGACTGTGTAGTGTCTAAAATGAAAGCTCTACTACTTTTTGTCATCAAAATTTTACGGTAGAAATTTAAGAATTTACGGGGAAAAATATTTTCGACCGCTGGAAAAATCTCAAAACTCACGTCAAATAGAAAAGAATTGGGATGACAAGCATGATGAGTAAGGTTGTTCGAGGAGATAACCCGAGGAAATGTTGCTCAGTCAGCGCTGCATAAGCCAGAGATCCGAAAATTCCAGCGCCACCTGTACCAGAGGACCATGCGGATATTGCGTTGCTAAAAATGTAAAAAAATTATTTTCTATACATGGCTAAAGTGTTAATTTATAAATTTAAAAGTGTTTTTCTACATACTTTAACCTTAAAAATTTTAAAATTCAAATTCCCGCCATTTTTGGCATTCTGTTGCAAACGTTAAAATTGATGACAAAACTCTTAAAAAAGTAAAAAAAAACTTCTGTAGCACTCTAAAATAAAAATTTAGAAGCATTAAACCTAATTTGAATCATCCTCGCTATCAAAATTATATTATTCATGAGAAATTGGCCTCTTTTCAAAAAAGTCCGTGAAAGATCCCGTAATATTTTTTTCGACTTACCCTGTATAATGCGACGTCAATGCGAGGTATGCGTTCTCTCCGATCCCCGACCCAAGCGCAGCGCATACCACTCCAAACAAACTTAGTGTCAAATTTGGAGAGAAGGCTACAATAATATAACTTGTGGCTTGAAGCAGGCACACAATCAAATGGCGGACTCTGAAAGTGATTTATTAATTTATTTTTAAATTTTGGAGCTTTTGCCTTCCCAAAAATCAGCGTTTACGCTCATTTTGCCTACTATTATAATACCCCAAACATCTTACCCATGCGGTAGTCGATGCATGAAGAATGGTAACGCCAATTTCGCGAACAAACTTGGCAAAATGTCGGCCAATAGGACTGCTCCCACCGTCGCTGTTGTGCATTCTCTAGTGGGTATCACTTCTTGGCAGGGGGGATCAGAACTTGTTTCATTTGCCCCTCCTTCGTGATGCCCATTGTCTTTTTCGATTATATCTGAGGCAGCGCTGAGCATAATCACATAGGCAAAGTTGTTGCATAACCCAAAAATCCTGGAAAAAAATTTTTTTACAAAAATTAAAAAAATTTTTTGATACAGCGAGGACCTGATCCAGTGGCAAAAAAAGTACCATTTTGCATCCAGGAAGTATCAAAAAATGTGGCAAAATGCCTCCCTCTCCAAGTGAAAAAACCTTATTTTAAAAGCCCGCTCTTTTTGCGAGCGAGCGCCCTTCAAAACGAAGTTTTTTACCCTTGGAGAGGGAAGCATTTTGCCGCATTTTTGATACTTCCCGGATGCAAAATGGTACGTTTTTTGCCACTGGATCAGCCACTGTATAAAAATTTCCAAAAAATTTTAAAAATCCCATAAATTAGCATATTCAAAACATACCAAAATGCGATGAAATTCCGCACATTATCTGAGATTTCGACCATTTTTTTGAGCTCCGGCTGAAAGCGAACAAATTTAGCGGAATCGAAGTGAAAATCAAAAAAATATGACCAAGTCGGATATAAAAACACGCACCCAAATCTGTTTGAACTCGAGGCGAAAACACAATAATGGGTTCACATGTGGGGCTTTTGGAAATACAATTGAAATTATTGCGAAAAAATATGTTTGAGGGGATCAGTAACACAACAAAAATATTGGGGGGAGATTGCTCATAAATGAAGAGCCATGTGATTTTGGAAAAACTTGAAAAAAATCTTGCCTAGAATCTGCTAAAAAATGAATTTTTGCTCGCGTTTTGCAGAAACAATGAAGATTTTTTAGTCTAATAACTCCGAATTTTTTCGAAAATTCCATAGCAAAAAGATTGCCCATATTTTGGAGCTCCAAAATATTCAGATGCGTGGTGATTTCAGTGGGGGACCTGATCCAGTGGCAAAAAACGTACCATTTTGCATCCGGAAAGTATCAAAAATGTGGCAAAACACTTCCCTCACCAAGTGAAAAAACCTCGATTTCAAAAAAATTTTTGTGCGCGCCTTTCAAAACGAAGTTTTTTCACTTGGAGAGGGAAGCGTTTTTTGATACTTCCTGGGTGCAAATGGTACTTTTCTTGTCACTGGATCAGATCCCTCACTGTACATGGTAAAATCTGAGAAAATATTTTATCAATTTTCACATTGCCAAATGTCAAAAATAGAAACTTACAACCGACCACCGAAAAGAGATAAAAAACGAGAAATAGAAAAAATTGCCAAAAGGTCATGAAAGCAAAAGACAATTGGGTGTAAAAATTTGAATTGCGGTATCTCGAAATTAAAAAATTGGATGTAAAAATTTGAATTTCAATATCTTGAAATAAAAAAATCGGACACGAAAATTTGAATTTCGATATCTCGAAATTAGAAAATTGGATGTAAAAATTTGAATTTCGATATCTTGAAATAAAGAAATGGATGTAAAAATTTGAATTTCTATATCATGAAATAAAAAAATCGGACGCGAAAATTTGAATTTCGATATCTTGCAAGCTCAAAAATTGAAATTAAGAAAATTCTTGACACTTAAAAGGCCTCAAGTTTTCAACCCCCACAAGGCGTCTAAATTAAATTTTGAACATGATGACTATTTGTACCGCCATTGTCTAGAGTTTAAACTCCTTTCTTGATCACTCTTTAAAGTCACGTGGGCGACAATCAATCAAAAACCATTGTAATAAAAATTAAGGAAAAATATCAAAGAAGAGTCTGAAGCAAACCAAAGAAAGCATTTTCAACGACGCAATTACAATAAAATTAATCGACAAACCTTTATAAACGTTATTTATAGCAGTTGCACAAACTGTATAGAAAATAGTAATGACTCAGCGAAAGTTATTAACACTTTTCTCAAGTTTACAGTAAGATTTCTGGAGTTTGCTGACTAAAGATCGCAAAGTCATAGGTTCAAATATAATATATAAAAGATGATGGGGTTAAATTGAATTATTCATTTTTTTGAATGAATCGAAATGTCTATCATGTAATATATACATATGCTTGAGAGACATACGTACAACAGCGCTCTGTAATTGCTGAATTTCGGAATTTTTGCCAGCTATAGTAAACATAAGAAACTATTCAAAAAGCAAATTAAGATAGCATAGTTTTAATAAACGCAATTTCGATTTTTCGCATATTCGCTGTAATGCTACACTACGCATACTTATAGGGCACTCTAACGGTTTGATGAACCAAGAAGACCACATATATAGCTTACAAAAGAGCTAAATTCACAGTGAAAAAAGAGGCTAATAAAGGCAGTACACGCAATTAAACACTTCTACTGCAAACGTAGAAAAATGTTTCTACAGGAATTTCACGGAGCTTGTTTTTAAAATCATGATTCAAATTGAAGTCTTTATGATGCTTCTCACGATCTTTGGACACAAAATTCATCACTTCAAATTAAGCAATGACACATCAGACAAACTAATTAACGCGATCACATCAATTTAGTAATTACCGTCAAAAAACTGCTGTTCTATACATATTTTATAATGTCAAAACTGCTGTTCTATACATATTTATAAAGTGTATATCTGAGGTCAGTTCAAGTGCATAATAATATAAAAAAACGATAATGATTGAGACTATACGAATGTTTGGAACGAATTCGTAAAAATCGAAAGCAAAAAAACTAGTAAACAGAAATCTGTGGGATTCACGTGAAACAAAACAAGGCCTTGATCAGCAAGACCATCTTTAGAAAAGTTTCCTCAATCGGGTATTGCCTCTGGCTTTGTCATAAAAACGGGGTGATATTCAGGACTTCTGTCCCCATACTGTTTTTGTCATCTACGGCGCTTCCGATCAACCAAAATAGCAAATATTAATTGCTATTTTGCCGCCCTGTCCCGTCTTTTTCTCGGCTGTAGGTTGGCAAAGTTCACAGGTTTTGTTGTCAGGCTATTCAGGATCTTATAAAAGCTCCATTGTAGTCCCGGATGACAGGCATGGCCTTTGTCGGCGATTGGAGCCTTGCCTAGTCCTTCATTGCTTCCATGGATCAGCTTTGCTAACCTGCGGCTTAGAGATGCTTGGGAGAAAGACACATTTTTTCGTTGGGGATAAAAGCGGTGTGATAAAAAAAGTCTAAAATTGTGAGGAACAAAGTAGCACTCTACATATATTGCTTGCTTTCTTCAGCGTAAAATAAAGGAGTTTAGTGGGCAGAAGTCCCGTCAAATCCGCCTAGAAAAATTCTCATTAAGTTCTAGTCCCAATATGGAGTGCGCCTGCGAATGGAATGGTCGCATGGTTCGTATCGTTGATGGAAATTTCCCCTTGCTTCGCGAGAGTTCTCCCACTTTCCCCGAGCCGATTATTGTGACCCCAGAGAACGCAATCATTTGTTTCTAACGAACGGCCTTTTCTTAAACTGAAGAAGATCTTCGCGTGGGGTCAAAGTGGGTTTATATCTGATAAAAAATATGCGTATGAACCAAGGAAAATCAGCGCCATATCATGCAAATATCATGTGAAAATGCATAGCCATGGACTGGTAATTTTGTGTAAAAGAAACTTTCAAAAGTAAGTTGCGACGGAAGTAAAATATGATCATTAAAAGAAAAAGCAAAAGGAAGCAGAAATGAACTATTGAGCGATGACTTTTACACTGTAATATAATCAGACCATCAAAAATAATGGGGTCGAAAAAGTGCAAAATGGCGGGACTTTCACGACGATGCTTGTGGGCTACAAAAGCAAAACTAAAAAATATTTTGAATAAACTTTAGACTTTCAATCGACATTTTCCAATTAGAATTACTATTCTTTCTACCGTGATCTACGTAGTATCAGATAAATTTTGCATTGACAACTACTGATGAGTACATGAAAAGGCTCGGCAGAGACTTGGCGAAGACTTGTAATATGCCCAGTTTTTCTAATTATTTACTAACGTTAGTTTTCTTTACCCTGAGTTACTGTGTCATATAAAAGACCAAAATTTGTTGCAAAAAACGAACAGCCTACAAAAAACGAACTCTTTCCTAGATATTATTAATGTGAATACAAGTAAAATACCTCAAAATATACCCATAGGTGATAGGCTATCCTAGGACCCTATCAATCTCATTATTTCTGCTAAAGAAGCCTCCTCCTAGCTTCCCATATGCATCCAACGACAAACCTACGCGATCCATAGTATCGTTAACCCCAACTGTCAACGAGTAGCGCCAAAAGTTTTATCCTGCGCAATGCGGGAACCCGATATACTCAACAATTTTTGGTACTCTAAGCTAGCTCTCAAATTTGAGTTAAGGTTGGCAAAAAGTGACAAAAAGTATGCAGGCCCTAAAAAATTAATTGAGCGGCTTGAAAGTCATACAGTGGACCTGTACGTTTTTTTTGCCAGTGGCAAAAAACGTACCATTTTGCATCCAGGAAGCATCAAAAAATGTGGTAAAATACCTCCCCTCCACGTGAAAACTCCGATTTCAAAAGCGCGCCCGCTCCTTTTGTGACGAAAACTTTCAAAACAAAGTTTTTTTTTCACTTGAAGAGGGAAGCATTTTGTCACATTTTTGATACTTCCCGGATGCAAAATGGTAGTTTTTTGCCACTGGATCAAATGCTCCACTGTAATTAAAATTTTCCTTGAGCTCTCCTTTATTACATAATACCTCTTTTTTTTACTAAAGGCTGTCCATTTACTCCCGGAAAAGGACCAGGCGAAGCGTTTTGATAAAATGATTACATTTTTTCTTAACTAACAAGGGAAGTACTTGAAGTGTGACGCTCAGATTTTGATGAAACTTGGCACAAATTTAGAATATTTTTTTCTAAGATATATGCGGGAATCCTAGCTCGCGCTTTGCAGAAACAACCGAGATTTTTAGATCGAAAGTCGGCGAAAATTTGGGACTTTTTGCCGAATTTCGGCACGAAAAGTTTCATGCCTATTTCAACCGTAAAGAATAATGTTTCTACAAAAAATCAAATTTTTCCGCACAAAACTGCCAAAGTTATGGCCAAAAAGCGGTTTTCTCTCTGACCGCTCTCCACGTTGAGCGTGCTCTCTCGGCGGCAAAAATCGTTCAATATCTCGGCGGCGCCCGCAAAGCGCGAGCTAAAACTTTCAGGAATTGATATTTAGTCCATACCCGATGTGTGTGCAAAATTTAAAGAAAATCTGAGCGTCACACTTGAAGTACTTCCCCTGTAAATAGTTACAATCAATTTCCGCCTCCGGTTCACATCCAACTAAAAGAATCTCTTTCAAACAGAACAACGAAATATATTCAGACCACAAAAAATTACATATTGTTATCAATCCCCTTTTCTTTTTTTGACTGACAAATGCCAATGGTCCACTGGTCGAGGAGTGTTATTACTTTGAAGAGAAGCGGCAGTAAAGATTGTGATGATAGCGTCGAAAATGTGCTCAACGAATTTGAAATGGGAATAACAATCAAGCTGTTGAAAACAAGAAAATTATTTTTTTCGTGGGAAAAAAATAATTTTCTTGTAATTCTGATAATGTTTGCAGGGAAAGTGCTTGCAAGAGGACGCATCAAATATATATGTATAAAAGGGAAGGCTTCAGATTTTCTTGAAATTTTATAAACACTTCGGGAATGGACTAAATATCAATTCCTAAAAGTTTTAGCTCGCGCTTTGCAGGCGCAGCCGAGAAATAGAACGATTTTTGCCGCCGAGAGAGTACACTAATAGTGGAGAGCGGTCAGAGAACGCTTATTGGCCATAACTTTGCTAGTTTCGCGCGAAAAAAATTGATTTTTTGTGGAAACGTTACCCTCTACAGTAGAAATAAGTATGAAACTTTTCGTGTCGAAATTCGGCAAAAATTGTCAAATCTTCGCCAGTTTTCGATCTAAAAATCGGTGATAAAAGAGTGAGAAAAAACACTTTTTAGCCGTATTTTCGGCAGCTCCAAATATAAAAAAAAAACTTTTTATGGAAACATAATCACAGTAGAAATGGATATCAAACTTTTTATGCCAATGCTCGCAAAACGATCCATTTTATTCAGCGATCTTTGCTGGCCAGAGAGTTCGCCGAATGCGGAAATCGGCCAGACAGGACACCACTTTTTAACCACTATATTTCTTCCAATTTTTCACACCATAAAATACACACTTCCCCCAACACTATTCACTTGAAAATTCCAACTGCAAAATTTCCAAAAATTCGAGCTGTATTTTGTCGCCAACCACCGTTTATCCTTTCGAACCCTTTCGCCACGCCGAAACCCCGCCTCCTTTTTTTTGTTTTCTACTTTGTCTTCCCGCTGAATGTCGAGGAAAAAGGGGGAAACAGCGCTGCGAGAAAAGACAAATTATTGAAAAATGGCGGTAAAAATAGTTTGTAAAACCGACTTTTAAAAGAACCGTCAAGGAAAGGGAGGGCGATTTCAACAGCTGCGGAGAGGGGGATGATTTTTGAGGGCTCAGAAAGTTTGTGTTGTTGCAGTAAAGCTCTAGTATAATGATGAATCAAAAAATGGAAAGTGTTTTGCCAGAGGCGTTTTTGGTTTTCCAGGGGCTGTTAATAAGACTTGGAGAAAATTATTTTACGGTCAAGCCTCTGTACAACTAATCGCAAAAAAAATAAATTATCTTTTTTATTTTTCCCTGAATTTTATTTACAGGGGACGTACTCCAAGTGCGACGCTCAGATTTTCTTAAAATTTTGCATACGCGTCGGGCATGGACTTAACATCAATTCCTGAAAGTTTAAGCTCGCGTTTTGCGGGCGCCGCCGAGATATCGAACGATTTTTGCCGCCGAGAGAGCACGCTAAACGTGGAGAGCGGTCAGAGAGAAAAGCGCTTTTTGGCCATAACTTTGGCAGTTTCGTGCGGAAAAGTTCGATTTTTTGTAGGAACATTATCCTTTACAGTTGAAATAGGCATGAAACTTTTCGAGCCGAAATTCGGCAAAAAGTCTAAAATTTTGGCCGACTTTCCGATCTAAAAATCTCGGTTGTTTCTGCAAAGCGCGAGCTAGGATTCTCGCATATAATCTTAGAAAAAAATACTCTAAATTTGTGCCAAGTTTCATCAAAATCTGAGCGTCGCACTTGGAGTACTTCCCCTGTTATTAGCAGAAATTTGTAAAGCAAAAAAGATGACAAAAACTTGCTTGCTATACCAAGGTTTACCTCCGCAATAAACTATTTTTCTCTCGAAAACATGACTAAAAATTTTTTACCATTGTTTCTAACCACCGCCACTGCCACGAGGTCTTGAATCCTCGTTGGCTTGGTCATCAAAAATTCCTACGTTTTTTCTTTTCTTCTCCTTCCTTATCAGCAAAAAAGAGCAATGTTTTAGACAGTGCCAATTAATAAATTAGCTTGCCCTACACGACCGAATTCGTTGTACTGATAAGAAAAGAACAAGGATTAAACAAATAAAAAGTAAAAAGTAAAAAATCAAAAATGATTTTTTGTGTTCAAAGATTTGTGTAAATTTATTCTGTTCTATAAAATAAGAGTTATTTAGTAAACCGAAAAAAAGTTGCGATCACAATTTGAACCCCAGACTTTGACGAACCCACCAGATCACGACGAACCCCGTTTTCAACCCGATACCTAGGGAAAATGACCAGAGAACCGGACAATGTTTGTCGTTAGTCTTTTATCCTTGGCCGAGTAATGACCACTAAATGCGTTGGCCAAAAAGAGGCTATTTATTTTACAAACAATGCATTTTTTTTGTGGACATTCAAATCGAAAAAAACATTTTTTTAACCGAGCCTGAAGTCGATGCAAAATCAAAAATATTTACAGGGGAAGCACCCCAAATGCGACGCTCAGATTTTGATGAAACTTTGCACAAATTTAGAATAATTTTCTCTAAGATATAAGCGAGAATCCTAGCTCGCGCGTTGCAGAAACAACCGAGATTTTTAGATCGAAAGTCGGCCAAAATTTAGGACTTTTTGCCGAATATCGGCACGAAAAGCTTCATGCCTATTTCAACCGTAAAGGATAATGTTTCTACAAAAAATCAAATTTTTCCGCACGAAACTGCCCAAGTTATGGCCAAAAAGCGCTTTTCTCTCTGACCGCTCTCCACGTTTAGCGTGCTCTTTTCAAAAATCGTTCGATATTTCGGCGGCGCCCGCAAACCGCGAGCTAAAACTTTCAGGAATTGCTATTTGGGACATACCCGACGTGCGTGCAAAATTTAAAGAAAATCTGAGCGTCGCACTTGGAGTACTTCCCCTGTTAGTTTAAAAAAGGGTATTATTTTAAGTTTAGCGTCACATGATCCCTATGTATACCCCTTCTTAAAAGCTTGTTCTAAAAATTTTTCTACCGTATCTTTTGAAAGATGGCTTTCCGGCCCGCCTCTTCAAGAGCTTAATACTTTTTTTTCACCACAAACCAGACTACTTTTCTATATTTCGAAACGCGATTGATCAACAGACAAGTGAATGTCAAGGGTACCACTCAATCCTTTGTCATTTTTTCAACTAGCTCATGCATGTCAAAGCCTCTCAGATTTACATAGAATTAAATAGAATTTGGTCTATTATAAGCGCCTCAGCTTCGTTGACAAAAGCGTTTTACAAAAATCCTCTTTTCTAATACGAAACTTCCTTGTCATAGCTATAGATTACGTTCAGATTAAAGTGCGATTCTTAGTTGCAATATATGTTCTCAATATCCCGAAGTATTGCCCTGATACAGCGTAAACATTGTTACAAATATTGCATTTTCAAAGAACCAGCCCGCTTACTTATCACTTGACATTTCCATAACCGCCAATTCAGCGGATTGGTCAAACGGAAATCAGCAGTAGGAATTTCCCCGGAAGGAACGGAACCACGAAAAATGAGGCGGCGAACAATGGAGGGTTTACGCTACTCAGTCGAATTGTTTATTGAGAAAATATTTACAATACTGATTACAATTCATTGAACGAATGGCTCGTCAAACATCGAGTGCAGCCGATTTTTAGTAGTTGTTTTATAGCTTTTAGGGATAAAATTAATTATTTATTTACTTTTATTTACCTGCCCTAAGCTGGCTATTTTTGATTACAGATCTAACAACAACTTTACTATGAAAAAAATTGGATACGTTGTCCTTCAATCCCTGCCAGATGGCGTTTAAATGCAGAAAACCTTCTTCTGTGGTTGGGTCGTTGTCGTAAGGCCAAACAACCTCTTCGTCGAGCAGCCTGTTTAGTGGAAAATGGCCGGCGGTAGAACGGGTATCTTTTGTCGCGCTTGTGACCTCAACAGCATCGTTCCTGTCGAATTTGAGGCCAGCCGTAGAAGAGAGAGGCCTGGAGATTCCAAGATGGCAATAGATGAGAATAGTTAGAAAGACCAATACGGACCTCATAGTGAAGGGTTATACTAAACTAATGGATGAAACGTTGCTTATAATTCCTTCAAATTTCTGTCAATAAAGAATTGGATTGGCAGAGAAAATCAAGGCAGACAAAAATAAACCTATTGTCATCACGTATCGCTATTATAAGGTTCTTTTTCAGGGGGGTATCAGTCTGTCGGGAAACTCTGCATCGAAAAATTGCCCGTTGAGAAAATGAATATTGAAAAATCAAATTTTGGCGCAGCGACACTGCTCATTATTTTCCCGACAGCCTGATAGTCACACTACTTATGTCCTGTCATAAAAAATCTCTCGGTAATTTGCCTCGCTAGAATCAGTCCCCCTTTTATTATTATACCTTCTTTTTTTCTTGGTACTTTGGAGAGGAGGGTGCCCCCAGTGATCGAAAAATTTCCAGCAAATCGTATATGAATATACTTTATCACAATGAAATCGACATTTATGTACAATACCTGAATTTCAGACCATACCATAGAAGGAATAAATATTTGTTGCATATTAGATTTCGAACTGGCAATCTCCATTGTCCATTTTTCGTATTCTGTCTTTCGTTAAAGTTGAGCGCGCGATTCCAACCCGCATTCTTTCAAAGTCATGGACGATGCATCTTTCACGGAAAAATGGCATCCCTATAATACAAAATTCACTTTGCTAAATAGAAGTAATATTAAAAATTTCTAATAAAACTAACAAGGGAAGCACCATAAGTGCGATGCTCAGATTTTCTTTAAATTTTGCACACACGTCGGTCATGAATTAAGTATCAATTCCTAAAAGTTTTAGCTCGCGATTTTCGAGCGCCGTCGAGATATTCATCGATTTTTGCCGCCGAGAGAGTACACAAATCGCGGATAGCGGTCAGAGAAAAAAACAGTTTTGGCCATAACTTCGCTAGTTTCGCACAAAAAAATTTATTTTTTGTGGAAACATTACCCTCTATGGTAGAAACAGGCATCAAATTTTCGTGCCGAAATTCAGCAAAAAGTGTCAATTTTTTGCCAACTTTCGATCTAAAAATCTCGGCTGTTTTTGCAAAGCGCTAACTAGGATTCCCGCATATTTTTTAGCAAAAAATATTCTAAGTTTGTGCCAAGTTTCATCAAAATCTGAGCGTCACACTTGGGGTACCTCCCCTGTAAATTTTAAAAAAACAGGACTACTTTTGAAACCCACCCAATAGCCAGTCGGGCTCGTCCAAATACTGTCCTTTGTCACACTGCTTAAACAAGATCTCTCTCTTCCGGTTTCCCCCGCTCATTCCATCGATTAAGCTGTTGCTGTCAATGCAGTGCTCCTTCCCACCGATGTGTAAACAAAAGTCGGTGAAATTACTGTCCACATCATCGTAGTAGTAAGCATTCAGAGAGGCGTTGTAGAACGTCCTCATTTCTCGCATAATCCTCGGCGAAGTGCAAGAGGGAATGTGAATATGCATTGCATTCAGTTGGAGGATCGCCTGGAAAACTACGGTCAATTTTTAATCATATTTTTTGGGTGACAAAACTTTGTCTTGATTGTGTGACGGACAATACAGTGGGGACCTGATTCAGTGGCAAAAACGCGGCAAAAATTATGGAGCCTTTTATACTGGAATACTGAGAGAAATGGGAATTTTACGCAGTTTTTGAATTGCAAAATGAAAAGTTAATGTTTTTCAGGGTTTCACACCTACTACAGCTTGCTTCCCTGTCCGAGTGAAAAACCCCCCGATTTCAAAAGCGCGTCCGCTCTTTTTATGAGGGAAAGGGCGCGCCCTTCAAAACGGAGTGTTTTTAGTTGGAGAGGGAAGCATTTTGCCACATTTTTGATACCTCCCGGATGCGAAATCGTACGTTCTTTGCCACTGGATCATATTCAATTAGTCCCGTTCATAAGCTTAATTCTTTTCGTCGACTATGAAGAGCATGATTCTGTAGCTTACCCTGTGTTGGACCGGAAAGGACTGCCCGTTCAGCGTTACGCCGTTGACTGGAACAATCCAGGCATTGTCGGTCATGCTGTCATACCAAGTGATTGGCTCGGTGCAAGTGCTCTCCCCGAATGACAACAGTCCTTGGTCATAAGCTGAAAATGTGAACGGTGAGGGTTGCTCAAAAAAATTGGGATTCAAAAACAAGACAATGTGTGCGTTGTATGTCAAAAAAATAGCATACAAATGCAGTGACGGATCCAGTGGCAAAAAACGTACCATTTTGCATCCGGGAAGTATCAAAAAATATGGCAAAATACCTCCCTCTCCAACTAAAAAAGCTCCGTTTTGAATTTCCCTCGCAAAAAGAAGGGGCGGGCATTTGGAACCGGAGTTTTTTCACTTGGAGATGCAGGTATTTTGCCACATTTTTAATGCTTCCCGGATGCAAAATGTTACGTTTTTTGCCACTGGATCAAGTCCGCCATTGTATGTGACTAGTGCGTGCAAAACATCATGAAGGAAAGGTTATTATATGCTCTTACCTTTATAGCGTTTTACTGTATGCATGCTAAACACTGGCTCTCTCAAAAAGCCCTCCTCAAAAGCACGTTGAAACCACGCTGGCCGAGTTGTCGACACCCCCAAGCCCATTTCTCCATTAGCGAAAACTTGCACAATCATATCCGAGTTGGCGTATCGCACAAGGCCGAAAACATGATCGACCAATGTGTTGTCGCAAAAGGAAAGGTTCCCCCGAAGATAGACTCCTTGGGCCAGTCCTCCGCCCGTTTTGTGGACGTTGAATTTCTCCAAATTCTCTTCATTCAACGAGTAATCAGAGGCGTTGAAAGCGTTCTTCCAATAAGAGTCCTGATCGTCGTGGATTAGCGGGATTCCTGTGCAGCACTTGAGATCACAGAACATACTGCAAAATTGGGCTGAAAAAGGTTGCTGCGATACTATCCAAACTGTATTAATCAATGGTAATGATATTGCAATATATGGTATGTATAACTATCTCATTACAAGTTTATTTTTAGCCCTTTTAGAGCAGGGATTAGGCCGCAAACAAAAAGGGAAAACCCCTGCTGATAAAAAATTCTGTATGTTATTGAGGTGTGTTCAGAGAGCAGGCAGACTTTGTAGCCTTGAAAAACGGTTTTGTAGAGTGTGCACAGAGGTGCGCGAGGAAAAGTTTAAAGGCAACGCCCGGCAGCCTCGGCTAAGCCGAAAATTTAAGCACGGCAACCGGGCTTCAAAGATTTCAAGTCTCAACGGGCGGCTTCAAAAATTCTGGCCTACCTTTCAAATATAGCTTTTGATGACTCTGCTAACAAGGAAAGTACCTCAAGTGCGACGCTCAGATTTAGATGAAACTTGGCGCAAAATTTAGAATATTTTTTTCTAAAATATGTGCGAGAACCTAGCACGCGCTTTGCAGAAACCACCGAAATTTTTAGATCGAAAGTTGACAAAAATTTCAGACTTTTTGTCGAATTTCGGAACGAAAAGTTTCATGCTTATACTGCCCGACAATTAAAAGTGAAGTCTCGATTCTGAGCCCGATATTGCCCTGAGGCACAAGGTGTTCCCCCAGGCCTCTTCGGTACCCTACGCCGATACAGAGTGCCAATTTTCAGACATGTGCACTTTAAACGCACTGTGCAACGGGCGATTGAAAAATTTTTGGGCGACAATTAAAAGTGAAGTTTTTAATTTTTGGACTTACCTGACCTTTTGAGGGATCTGTTGGGACGGAAACCGTGCAGAGACATAGTCAAGGTTACAGTGAAGAGCCCTAGACACAATTTACGAAAATTGTCCAAATTTTATGGTACCATTTCCCGGCATCAAGGCGCGGGGTTTAGGTGCCACAAAACGGGGCCTTTAGGCACTATTTGTTGTAAGACTGGTAATTTTATGATGCTGAATACATTTTCTGACTATCTTCATACAAATAATGCTGCGAGTTTGTCAAATTTTGGCCCGCTTCAAAGCGTGCTTATCGACAACGGTACTAGTCAAGGAGAATATCGATGCAATTTCGAAAGATGAGATGCAGAATCAGCGCAAATTTTGTCTTGTACTTTTCGATCACCCTCTTAGCAGCTAAAAACAGCGTTGTTTACTTGGAGGTGCGTACTTACCCCGTTTTTACCATACACTTTACTTAACTTGGTATATAAGAATTTTTCGCATAACTCGATGCAGCAAAATTGAAATTAATGATGTTGTTTTTGACTAATTTATATCCAGAAAAATCATGTGAAGGGGTTTTGGGCCATTAAAACCAAAACCATGGCGTTACACTTCGGTTATGGACGGTAAATTTCAGCAACTTTAGGAAACCGTCGTGATACCCGCTACTCTTGGCTCTAAAAGGAGCGATAACATAAAAAGTAAAATTTTTAGGAAAGAAGGATGTCTATCCACCCCGATCCTACTATCAAACCGAGAGGGGTACTGGTTCCTGCTACGTTATAAGTCGAAATAGGCACCTAGCCGTTATCCATATCAACAAGAACGCTTCGAAGCGCACCAAAACTTGACATACTCGCAGCATTATTTGGACAAACAATGTCACAAGATGCACTCAGCATCATAAAATTACCAGTCTTACAACAAATAGTGCCTAAAGGCCCCGTTTTGTGGCACCTAAACCCCGCGCCTTGATGCCGGGAAATGGTACCATAAAATTTGGACAATTTTCGTAAATTGTGTCTAGGGCTCTTCACTGTAACCTTGACTATGTCTCTGCACGGTTTCCGTCCCAACAGATCCCTCAAAAGGTCAGGTAAGTCCAAAAATTAAAAACTTCACTTTTAATTGTCGCCCAAAAATTTTTCAATCGCCCGTTGCACAGTGCGTTTAAAGTGCACATGTCTGAAAATTGGCACTCTGTATCGGCGTAGGGTACCGAAGAGGCCTGGGGGAACACCTTGTGCCTCAGGGCAATATCGGGCTCAGAATCGAGACTTCACTTTTAATTGTCGGGCAGTATATTTCTACTATAGAAGTTAATCACTCTACAAAAATCAATTTCTTCCGCTCGAAACTAGCGAAGTTACCGCCAAAGTGTATTTCTCTCCGACCGCTCTCCGCTTTTAGCGTACTCTCTCGGCCGCAAAGATTGTTGAATATCTCGGCTTCGCCTTCAAAGCGCGAGCTAAAACTTTGAGGAATTGATATATAGTCTATGCCCAAAGTGTGTGCAAAATTTAAAGAAAATCTGATATTGTAAGAAAGTCCTTACAATATTTGTAAGGACAATAGGTAAAAGAATCATTCATCTCTGAACGACCTCTCAAAATTATGTAGCCCAATTTTAATTCGGGTTTAAAACACCCAAAACTCACCATTCTCGCAGAATTTTTTGCACTCCACTTCCCTCAACAAACTACAGTGATCATACACCCAAAGTAACGCACTGGCACTGTTCAAAGCGAAATCAAGTCGTTGATTATTTATTGTAAGGGCGACTGAAAGAGGCGTTTGGATGACTCAGACACTAATCATATGAGGCATTGGCTTCCGACCACATTAACGATTTTAATCAGTTTAAAAACTATCCTCTTACCTCTAGGCGGATATCCGACTCCTCCACTAAACTCCAGAAAGATGTTTGAAGAGCATTGCGAAGCCAGTAACACGCCGATTACCACCACTTTAAAGCCTAACATTTGAAAAAAAGGGAATGCCGCAATTAATCCTCAGCATATCGATTGTTTCCTCCACAAAAAACGGAAGGCTTGAAGCGGCGCCTTGTCGAATGATAAGGCCCCGGCCTCTGCATGTGAACTCACCAAGAACTAATCTTTAGATAGCAGACAAGAAAACGAGATTGGACATGTTCTTGTAGAGAAATGGGAAACAAAACGAAAGAGCGTCAGAATGACGATTGAGATGGAAAGTGACGTGCAGGCTAGATAATTTCGTCAAAGTGTAAATCTTGATCACATTAAAATGCATTTTTTTAAATGACAGTTTGTTAGTGAGTCAGCCGAGGAAATGGGAAAAAATCGATTTTGAGTTTTTTTGCACTAAAATGACTGTTGGTGGACAGGGGTGGCCACGTTTAGTCCCGTTCAGGCCCTTTTCGGCTCATCTTACTTTCACCGCAATTGCGATATCTCGTTTTGGAGAAGAGATATCAAAAATCTGATAACATTTTGAAGGGTCAGCACCCCTCTAAACCTTGGGCTAACCGCAGTTTCAAAGCCATCCATTTGCTCAGCGGAGACGGGCCTAAACGGGCCCGGGTGGCCACCCCTGTTGACGGATGCTAAGCAAAAGCCACAAATACAGTGGAGGACCTGATCCAGTGGCAAAAACGTACCATTTTGTCCGCTCTATTGTGAGGGCACCCTTCAAAACGGAGTATTTTCACTTGGAGAGGGAAACACTTTGCCACATTTTTGATGCTTCCCGGATGCAAAATGGTACGTTTTTGCCATGGGATCGGGTCCGATACTGCATTTTTCCCCAAGGCCTTCCTGAAGACACCATTTTTGTTCAATTCATGTTTTTGAAGTAAGTGGCTACAAGTGTCGTATCTTATCCACCAAAAGTTATTTTAGTGAAAAAATCCCAAAATCGATTTTTTTTCTATGTCTACGCCTAACTGGCGGCTGATTCGCTGACTCAGAAATCGTCTTTTAAAGTTCCTAACCTTCACATTGTAAATAATTTTGCATCAAACAAGTAAACAATTAGCACCAACAGCAGTACTAAAAATTTCCCTGCATTTTCTCATTATTTTCCTCCAACTTCGTATTCTTTTTTTCTGTTATTGCAACTGTCTTCCCGTTGTTTTGATCAATAACCAGTAATTAACCCGCGACTGCCCTCCACAGTCACGGTCCATTATTCCCGTCGCTTTAACTGTTTTAATATGTTCTCGCCGCCGAAATAAACAAAAAACAGCGAAGCGTTGGCGGGGTGGAAGAATATTATGAATCATGTTGCTTCTACTTTTGTGTGTTCAGATCACCCAAGCTACGGGGATTTTCGATCTGTTCAAGGGGAGTCGATGCGCGGACAAGCTGGATATCTCTCCGGGCAATTTCTTGATCAAAGTGGGCATTGGGGAGCCGGGTAAGTCGGGGAAAATGGAAGAAAAAAATCTTTTTTACTAGGGCAATTTCGAAAAAATGGTGCCTAGGCAGAGGTCGAGATTCTTACTTACAAGGGAAGTACCTCAAGTGCGACGCTCAGATTTTCTTTAAATTTTGCGCACACGTCAGGCATGAACTAAATATCAATTTCTGAAAGTTTTAGCTCTCGCTATGCAAACACCACCGAGATATTGAACTATCTTTGCCGCCGAGAGAGCATGCTAAACGCGGAAAGCGGTCAGAGAAAAAACACTCTTTGGCCATAATTTTGCTTGTTTCGTGAGGAAAGAAAGATTTTTTTAAAAAAACATTGCTCTCAGCAGTAGAATTAGGTATGAAACTTTTCGTTCGGAAAAAGTGTGAAATTTTTGCCGACTTTCGATCTAAAAATCTCGGTTTTTTCTGCAAAGCGCTGGCTAGGATTCTCGCATATTTTTTGCAAAAAACTATCCTAAATTTGTGCCAAGTTTCATTAAAATCTGAGCGTCGCACTTGGGGTACTTCCCTTGTTAGCACAATTTAAAAATTTAAAATTTTTGAGACGTTAGCAATATTTTTAGCAGAGGCTTTTCAAACGTCTTCCGGCTTTGAAAGAAAAAATTCACCCGAAATTCAAAATTCTCAAAGGAAAAGATCTCATAGATCTAAACGAAAAGCCTTTCTGTTTGACCGTGCCTCTACGTTTCACAGGGTGTTTTGCTCGCAAACTACAGCTGCAAATTTTCAGAAAACGTTATATAGTTTTAAATCTACGGCGTCGCGACACTTGCGGGCAACCACTTTGCGGGCAACCGGCACCTGAGGGTTACAGGGTGGAGGTGGAAATATTACTGCGATTTTTTGGAAATTTGCCGACATTTGCGGGCAACAGGAAAAAACAATCACACAGACTGTATAGGGACTTTTGGAACTGTTGCCCGCAAATGTCGGCTTCCCGCAAGTATTGCCTGCCCGCAAATGTCGGAAAACTTCCAAAATATCGAAGTAATTTTTCCACCTCTGCCTTGTTATCCTCAAGTGCCGGTTGCCCGCAAATGTCAGCAAATTTCCAAAATATAATATCATAGTAATTTTTCCACGTCCACCCTGTTACCCTAACAATCAGGTGTGGGTTGCCCGCAAATCTTCCAGGCTGCCCGCAACTGTCGACCCTGCCCGCAAATGTCCCAGGCTGCCCGCAAATGCCGGTGCTGGCCGCAAATGTCGGCTGCCCGCAAAGCGGCTGCCCGCAAAAAAAATTGCCCGCAAACTGGTTGCCCGCAAAGTGGTTGCCCGCAAGTGTGCGCCCGCCAAATCTACAGTGGGGGTAAAAAAAGTGGCAAAAAACGTACCATTTGCATCCGAGAAGCATCAAAAATGTGGCAAAACGCTTTCCTCTCCAAGTGGGAAAACTTCGTTTTGAAAGGCTCGTCCTTTCCCTCACAAAAAGAGCCACATTTTTGATACTTCTTGGATGCAAAATAGTACGTGTTTTTCCACTGGATAAGGTCCACCACTGTTTACTAGTCTGTTTGCAAAGTTGCTGGAGTGATTTCGGCATCGTGGATTTTGAGAAAATAAAAGTTGACTTTGCACTGTGCAATTTGTAGCTTTTTGCACCGTGCAATAGCCTTTTTTGGGCCGTCGCTCGCAGCTTGATTAAATAAAAAATTTTAACGAATTTTATGTAAATATTTATTATACCTTGGCCCTTCCTTTGTAAGCAATCAAAATAATATAATATGTACCAATAAGCCTTCTTTGACTTCAGGAAAGTACTACTACCTTCGTCTCGACTTCCAGACCAACTACACATTTATTATAAACCCCGATTGTCGAGAAGACCTGCCTTGTAACGGCGTCAAAACATACAGCGATCCCAGAGAGTCGGTCACTTTCAAGTTTCTGGATGACACGGTTGAACAAAACTTTAATGGATCAGCTATTTCCAGTGAACTGGCTGTGGATAAATTCCAAGTGAGCTCTTTCGCAGGGAAAACCGACAGTAGTTGTATGCTATTTTAAAAAAAAAGTTATTCTATGATTTCAGTATCGAAGTGTTCGTAAGTGTTCCACGGATTCAACTGCAGACTGGGACCATCTGGTCGCTCCGAAAGTCATCTACCCGGTAAGCTTGTGCTCAATTTCCTGATGACTCCCAATTTTGTAATGCTTCAAAAACTGGACCAGTGGCTTACAGGGGAAGTACCCCCAAGTGCGAAGCTCAGATTTTAATGAAACTTGGCACACATTTAGAATTATTTTTTCTAACATACATGCGAGAATCCTAGCTCGCGCTTTGCTGAAATCGCCGAGATTTTTGGATCGAAAGTCGGCCAAAATTTAGGACTTTTTGCCGAATTTCGGCACGAAAAGTTTTATACCTAATTCTACTGCTGAGAGCAATGTTTCCACAAAAAGTCGAAATTTTCCGCGCTAAACTAGCAAAGTTATGATCAAAAAGTGTTTTTCTCTCTGACCGCTCTCCGCATTTAGCATGCTCTCTCGGCCGCAAAGATGGTTCAATATCTCGGCGTCGCTTGTAAAGCGTGAGCTAAAACTTTTAGGAATTGACATAAAATCTATGCACAAAGCGTGTGCAAAATTTAAAGAAAATCTGAGCGTCGCACTTGGGGTACTTCCCTTCTTGGTACGACCAAAAAAAATTTGAAATTTTCCGCAAAAAACCGCTAAATTTTGACAGAAATCAAAACTCGATTTTTCTCCGACTTCCTCTCTTACTTTTCCATAGTTTCCTGTGTCAGAAAATCCGTTGTTTCAGCCCATGAATCACGCTGTCTTTGCTGACTTTGGTCTCATCAACCGCACCTACGATTTCATCACCGCCTTTCATTACGATGGCGCTCTTGGCCTAGCGCCGAGTGAGACGAGAAACTCGGCCATCTACTCTCTTCTCGGTGAATTCGCCGGCCCCGTTCTGCTGCTGGAGCCCAAGTCCAGTCGAGGGAAATTTAAATACGCTCCGAATGTCTTGGTTGGGACAACAAGATCGGATTTGTGCTTCAACGACTGGAATTTGGTGCAAAACGTGGATTTGAATTCGTGGCGAGTCAATTTGACAAAGTAAGCGGATTTTTTGACCGTCGAAAGTTGCATGCTAAAGTCGAAAATTCCCCGATTTAGAGTTGAAGTCCACTTTCAAAGTGTGAATGGAAATTTCATTGCCCAAGTTGACCCATTCTCAACAGGATTGGGTTTGAAAAAGTCGATTTACGACAAAATCCTGCAATTTTTGTCAGCGTCGACCAACGAAAATGGAACTACAATGGTGCGATGCAACGAGGAAGATAGCCTTCATTCTGTCAGCTTGAGTCTTGACGACGTTGTGCTGAACTTGAATCCGGCTGTCTATCTCAAAGAGGTAAGTGGAATAAGTCTTGGTGTCCTTGGGGGATATTTTGGGAAGCAATGAGGTCATATGATACAGTGGCGGACCTGATCCAGTGGCAAAAAACGTATCATTTTGCATCCGGGAAGTATCACAACATGTGGCAAAATGCTTCCCTTTCCAAGTGAAAAAACTTCGTTTTGAAGGGCTAGCCCGGGCTCCCTCAAAAAAAAAGCGGGCGCGCTTTTGAAATCGGAGTTTTTCGCTTGGAGAGGGAGGTATTTCGCCGCATTTTTGATACTTCCCGGGCGCCATTGTTTTCTCGGCAGAGTGATAACCAAAAATGGGGTTTTGGGGTCTGCGTGTAGTTTGTCATTTTGCGTTTCTGAACCCTTGTTTGGCGACTCTCTCGCTTGTGTTCCCAAAAAGAGCGGGCTCTTTTGAAATCGAAGTTTTTTTACTTGGAAAGGGAAGCATTTTGCCATATTTTTGATACTTCCCGGATGCAAATGGTACGTTTTCTGCCGCTAGATCAGGTCCCCTACTGTACGTGGAATAAGGCTTCCCAAAGATATTTTGGGAAGCGGCGAGGTCAGATATGATGATTGGCCTTTTTAAGCCACTGTTTCAAACACAAGCTCGCTTTTTCAGCGACTCGAAATCGACGGTCAAAATTACTGCACATTAAAGTTTACTGAACTGGAAGAGAATCTGGGTTATGATGTGTTTTTCGGAGAGGAGGTCCTGAACGAGCACTGCTTGCTCTTCGATTACAATCGGCCTCAGATTGGGCTGGTTCGGGCCAGGAAAACATTTTCGACGGATTTTTGGAAGAGAGAAAAGGAGACGGAGACCGACAGACAGATCAGAGAGCTGCTGAGGAAGAGCTGAAGAGGTGGAATGTACATAATTTGAAGCGGAAAGGTGCTGAGAATAATAATGATAATTATTATGGCTTTACAAGGTGGATACTGTAATAAAATTTGATAAAAACATGATTTTAAGGAGATTTTGGGGAGAAAATCTTTATCGTATAAAATGACGGCTTTGGGGGTGCAAAGTCAAGAAAAATGTACAAGGATTACTGTGGATTCTTTAAGAACAAGCAAGATTTTAATTACACCACAAAAAGACCTTCTCGAAGAAGGTCGGCTCGTATGGCGGTAGTTTTCTCTCAATAAAGATGACTTTTGCACCGCATTTTTCGGCGTTGATCTCGTCCTCAAAATGATAGGGCTTGATTCGAGCAATGCGGGGGTTCACTTCGGCCAGAACAGTGTTCTCTTTGATCTGCTCGAGCTTCTCGGCTAAAATATCAACATCATGGCGAATTGCAAAAAATGAAAAGCTCACAGGGAAAGTACCCCAAGTGCGACGCTCTGATTTTCTTTACATTTTGCACACACTTCGGGCATAGACTAAGTATCAATTCCTGAAAATTTTAGCTCGCGCTTTGAAGGCGAAGCCGAAATATTCAACGATCTTTGCGGCCGAGAGAGTACGCTAAACGCGGAGAGCGGTCAGAGAGAAAAACACTTTTTAGCCATAACTTTGCTAGTTTCGTGCGGAAAAAGTTCGGTTTTTGTGGAAACATTAACTTTTACGTTAGAAACAGGGATGTACATTTTCGTGCCGAAATTCGAAAAAAAGTCTCAAATTTTTGTCGCCTTTCGACCGAAAAATCTCGATTGTTTCTGCAAAGCGCGAGCTAGGATTCTCGCATATATTTTAGAAAAAATTATTCTAAACTTGTGCCAAGTTTCATCAAAATCTGAGCGTCACACTTGGGGTACTTTCCCTATAAGTTCCAGACGTAAAATAGTCCCCCTAGTCCGTAAGCAATCAAAAACTCACTTTTATCCGGCTTCCCCTCCTTCTGAACGCTTGGCCTTCGGCTGTAGCTCAGGCTAGAGGAACGAGAAACATTTTCGGAAGAGGACTTGGAGCTGCTGGAGGAATCATAAGAAGACGATGAAGCCGAGCTTCCATAAAGCGAATCCAATGCGTGAGCTCCGAGTTTGTAATAATTCTGACGAGTCTCTCGTTCCTTCCGCTTTTGGCCGTAGTAATCATCAAAGTCACCCTCCCGGTCTTTGATCCAATCGTTGGTCTCGTCCTCCCAACAAGAACCGACTTTCGTGTCGAAGGAGAAGTCGTTGTAGCCGGCAAAGGCTGAGCTAGAATCGAGGGGGAATTACAAAATCGAGAGGGGATTATGTGGTTGTGGTCATGCCAAGTTTTTCAGAGATTTACAGCGCTCTTGCAACTTACAAGGGATGTAATGCCCCAAGTGCGACGCACTGATTTTGATGAAGCTTGGCACAAACTTAGAACAATTTTTTATAAGATACATGTGAGAATCCCAGCTCACGCTTTGCAGAAAAAGCCGAGATTTTTAGATCGAAAGTCGGCGAAAATGTGAGACTTTTTTCCGAATTTTGACACGAAAAGTTTCGTGCCTATTTCTACCGTATAGTGCAATATGTCTACAAAAAATCTATTTCTTTCGCACGAAACTGGCAGAGTTATGGCCAAAAAACGGGTTTCTCTCTGACCGCTCTCCGCTTTGAGAGTACTCTCTTGGCTGCAAAGATTGTTGAATATCTCGGCTGCGGCTGCAAAGCGCGAGCTAAAACTTTCAGGAATTAATGCTTAGTCTATGCCCGAATTGTGTGCAAAATTTAAAGAAAATCTGAGCGTTGCACTTGGGGTACTTCCCCTGTTAACTCTTTTAAATTTTAAGCATTTTATCAACGATTTATCTTGCAAAAAAGACTGTTCAAAGTTAAAACTGTTACCTGTTGTTGCAATCATCGTCGTAGCTTGAGCTAAACATCATGAGAATCGAGACAAAATTCAAATTCTGAAAAGATTGCGACGTTAAACGTGTCTTTAAAAACCACAAGAATAAAATCAATCACCACGAATCTCAATGGATGCAGAATAAAAGCTTAAAATATCCAGAATTACCTTCTAAACTTTTGGTTATAACCTGCATTTTCTTGACAAAAACAGCACAATCTGGCCAAGGATTAAAAAGAAATTTAAATTCCATTTGAATCCTTGGCCGTACAGCCTTATTTGCAAAGTTTTTTGCCTCAAAATTTGCAAAAAAAGTAACAAAATTTGAAAGCTTATTCATCACCCAATTTTCCACAAATTCCATCACTTTTTAAACGCCCGAAACTCATTTTAAACCCCTAATAAACTGATTTCGAACGTTCCAGACGGATCTAAACTGTTGTACCCTCCCTTTATCTCTCTCAGATTGATCTCTCTATCAAATCAGCTCGTTCTTTGAGAACAGAAATGAATAAAGAGCAAAAAACGGAATTCATTCCCTTTAGAAAACAGATCGCTAACCACAACCGCGGATTTTGTAAATACCGTCTTTCAAAACAGTCTTAAGAATTCTTGGCACACTTTGTAAAAATCACGGGTCGTTGTTTTCGGCGGGCTATTTTGAAAGGACGAAATCTCGAGACCGGAAGTAAGAAGAGCAATACGGGATGATCCGGGCTGGATCAGCAACGGAATTGTAATACTTTGCAGTTACTTCTACAACAGAAGTAATGTTGCGTTTTATCGAAAAATACGATAATGGACCTCTGTAGAAGGAATGATAGAAGAAAGGTGGGTTTATTTTGCAACAACACTGGATCGCATTAGTTTGCAAAGAAGGTAGGTAGGTGCGATCAGGGCCGTAGCTACAGTGAAGGACCTGATCCAGTGGCAAAAAACGTATAATTTTGCATCCGGGAAGTATCAAAAATGTGGCGAAATGCCTCACTCTCCAATAATAAAAAAAAAACTCCGTTTTGAACTGCGCGCATTTTCTCTCGCAAAAAGAGCGGGCGTGATTTTGAAATCGGAGTTTTTTTACATGGATAGAGAGGTATCTTGCTACATTTTTTTATGTTTCGCGGATCCAAAACTGTACGTTTTTGGCCAATGGGTCAGTTCCGCCATGTAGGTAGGTGCGACCAGAGGCGTAGTTAGAGGGATCAAGATAAAATTTCCAGAGGTACTAGCTAACTACGGTTAAAAAAACACCCGCCTCCCTTCAGACCAAGTTCCCTGGGACCCTCAGATTTTAATGAAATTTGACACAAATTTTTGAAACAAACCATCCCGAAGGCAAGTACCACATGTCTGGCTTGCAGTTTGCAAAATCATCGGATTTTACAAGCTAGAAGCTGTCGGAAGTTTTATACATTTTTGATTATTTTGCATTTAAAAACTTCAGCTCCTGTTCATAACCAAATCTGATCGTGAGTTTTTTTGCGCAAAAAGAAAACTGGTCATATGCAATGGAAATTACTCTATGTCGGCTGAGAACTTTCCAGCAACTGATTTTGTACATAGCTTACATTGGAACTGCGACGAAACCTTAAAGAAATCTATTCGTTGCAGAAGCCGTACCCCTTGACAAAAATTGCCTACGAAATAGCCCTACAAAATAAAATCAAAAATCTTTTTAGACCTTTAAAAAATGGACTAAAAATTCTGTGCCAATTCCGATTCAAAATGCGATAGCAACTTTCTTTAAATACAGCCTCTACATTCCAATCTTCTGCACAGTGCAGTCAGCGCTAAAATTAGTCACAGGATTCTAAAAATAGTCACCGCCCCCAAAAAACCGTCTTCCTGTTCCGTCACGATGCAAAAAGTCGAAAAAAATGGAAAGGTGTTTACGAAATTCCAGGAATCTTTTTTGGCCCAAAAATCGCGGAATTTTTTCGGAGCTAATTAGCATATGGTTCGAAAATATCGAGCACGATAACTGACACGGATGTCAACGACACTTTTTCGGACTCCTTTGTGCGCTCAATTTGAATAGAAAACGAAAAAAGCGGAACGCAAAAAAACATCCGCCGACTTTGAATGGAATGGAGCCAAGAGGAAGGCCGAATGAGCCGCACGTGAGCAAAGAATGGGCCCCGATCAGATGGTTGGCGCGCAAGATAAAAAAAAGTACAAAGTTTAGGATGGAACGAGCCGATACAGAGATCGGAATCAGGATGGAGGGAAGGAAACTCGTGCTTACCGTAGGAAGATACAGGGCCGTAGAAAAAACGCGGAGGAAAGTCGGAGGCTATAACTTCCGGCGGAGACGGCGCAGAGACTTCGTTTTTGGAATATGTATTTTTAAGCGACAGCAATTTTTGTCTACGAAATAACAAGACTTTAAAGTGCAAACTGCGGTCTCTGCGACCTTCTGAAGTAGAAGCATTCCTACCCCGAACGCAGAATCCATACTTTTTTAGGCAAGACTCCAGAAATTTGCAATTTTCGAGCAAAAATTTGCTCGAATTTATAGCGTGGGTTGAGCCGAATACAGTGGGGCCTGATCCAATGGAAAAAATGTGCGATTTTGCATCCGAGAAGTATCAAAAATGTGGCAAAATGCTTCCATCACCAAGTGAAAAAACCTAGTTTTGAAGGGCGCGCTCTTTCCCTCACGAAAAGACGTTTTTTGCCACTGGATCAGGTTCCCTACTGTAGGTATAAAAACTCGAGAAACTTCAACTTTTCATTTTGCAATGAAAAAAACTTCACAAAATTCCCATTTCCCAGTATTCCAGTTCAAAAGGCTCCTTAATTCTTTCAAAAATCAGCCAAATGACCCTTCAACTGATATTCAAACTTTTGGCAAGACTCCCTCAACCCGTTACAGCTCTTACCGACTACATTTTTTATTACAGTTTATCAATTACTACCTAAATAACAAGTATGGGATACAATGAGAGTGGTAAGTGCACAGGGAAAGGGAACGTTTAGAACTTCTTGGCCTCGGCGACAATGTGTTTGGCGGAGATGCCGTAACGGTCGAGGAGAGCGTCGGGGGCGCCGGAACGGGGGACTTCCTTTACATTGAGGCGGCGGATAACAATGTTGGGGACGTCGGAGAGGGCAGCAGCAACCTGGAAGCAAAAATTTTTGTAAATTTATATTATCCATGAGATCAAGGTGGGACGTATTTTTAATATGATCAAAAACAAATAACCGAACTAAAGCGTCCTGAAACAGTCTAAACAGGCATTTCCATCCCAACAAACATCAAAAAACCACATATTCCGTCAAAAATTATATTATCCATGAGTCCAAACTGACAAAAATTATCTTATTCATGAGTCCAAACTAATTTTTGCCTCATAATTTTATTCTAAAACCTAATTAAATTCTCTTAAACAGCCCTCAAAAACATCTTCTCCTTCAACTTACAGCTTCTCCAATGCCACCTGGTTGATAGTGGTCTTCGACAGTCAGGACCTTGCCTTCGGACTTCTGGGCGGTCTCCAAGAGTGTCTGTCTGTCAATGGGTTGGACGGAGAAGATGTCAATCACAGCCGCGTTGACGCCCTCCTTCTCCAATTGCTCGGCTGCCTTCAGGGCCTCGTTCAAGGTGACTCCTCCAGCGACAATGACCAGCTTGTCAGATCCCGACTTCTTGACGACCTTGGACTGTCCAATGGCAAATTTCTCATTGTTTTCGTAGACGACTGGAAGAGCTGGACGTCCGGTTCTGATGAAGACGATTCCCCGGTGGTTGGCGGCCAACTCCGTCGCATATTCCGTGGAAACAGCGTCGGACGGGTACAGAACAACAGAATTTGGGACCGCGCGGAACAGGGCCAGGTCCTCCAACGCCATCTGGGATGGGCCGTCTTCTCCGATGGAGATTCCACAATGCGAACCGACGAATTTCACGTTCGCGAAGCACACCGCGCCCATTCGGATCTGATCCGCGGCTCTGGTCAAGAAGGCGGCGAAGGTGCTGACGAATGGGATGGAACGGTCGCGGCACGAGAGTCCAATCGCGGCGCCAACCATCTGCTGTTCGGCAATGTAGCACTCCACGTACTGGGTGGGGCTCTTTTTCCAGAGTTGCTCGGAGAATGTGGAGTTTCTCATGTCTCCATCGAGGCCAAGAATGCGCGGGTTCTGGTCGGCCAACTTGACGAGGGCGGTTCCGTAGGCGGCACGAGTGGCGACCTTTTCACCGAGCTTGTAGTTGGGGGTGGTGATCTGAAAATTGCGAAAAAATAAAATATTTTAAAAATATATTTTCTTTGCACATGTTTGAAACCCAAAATAAAATCAAAAAAATATATTTCAAAAAAAGATTTGCAAAATAAATTTACCTTATTTTCTCCTATTTTCAGATCAATCTTTGGAACGTCATAAGCCGGCTTGGGGATGTCCCATTTCAATGGAGTCTGGGATTGAAGCTTGGCCTTGATGGCTTCAGTCTTCTCAACCGGGACAGGCTTTCCATGGAATCCCTCCAGATCCTCGACTCCTTCAATTCCGCGTCCCTTGTAGGTCTGAGCGAGGACAACAACGGGTTGTCCCTTGACTTGGCGGGCTTCGGCCCACGCCTTCAGGAGTTGTTCGACGTTGTGTCCGTCGACTTGGATGGCGTGCCATCCGAACGCTTCGAAGCGGCGGGCATAGGCTCCCAGGTCGTGGGCGAGTTGAGTTGGCTGCGACTGACCGAGGCGGTTGATATCAACGACCGCCACCAAGTTGTCGAGCTTGTTGTGGCTGGCAAATGCTAAAAAAATCCAGGTCATACAAACATTTAGATCTATGATCTATCTCACTATGTACTTTCAATATATTATCTGTCCAAAAAATTCATGTCAAATCTGATTTCCCCCACTTTCTCCAAACTATTGCATACTACAGCGACGGACCTGATCCACTGACAAAAACCGTACCATCTTGCATTCGGGAAGCATCAAAAATGTGGCAAAATGCTTCCCTCTCCAAGTGAAAAACCTTGCGTTTTGAATGCTTTTGAAATCAGAGCTTTTTCACATGGAGAGGGAAGCATTTTGCCACATTTTTGATATTTCCCGGATTCAAAATGGTACGTTTATTGTCACTGGATCACGTCCCCTACTACAATATCCGAACCCTTTCAAATCCAAAACCCGACTTACCAGCAGCTTCCCAGATGGCTCCTTCGGCGGTTTCACCGTCACCGAGCAGGCAGTAGGTTCTGTAGGTGGCCTTGTCCAAGTATTTTCCGGCATAGGCCAATCCAGTGGCCATGGAAAGTCCTTGGCCGAGGGATCCGGTGGCCACATCGATAAAGTTCAAACGCTGAAAATGGCTGGATAACAATCTATTTTCTCAATTTTCATCATACAATCATCTTCAAACAAAAATTTTGGTTCTTCTCAGAATTTTTATATTATCCATGTCTAATATAATTCACAAAATTTTTGGTAATTCCAGAGGCAAACCCATACATCATTGATGAAAATAAGGCTCAGTAGGACAACTTACAGGAGTGGGATGACCCTCCAAGTCGGAGTCAATGTGTCTGACCTTCAAATATTCGTCGCGAGTGATCAGGCCGGCCTCATGCCACGCGGCGTACAAGATGGGGCACGCATGGCCCTTGGAGAGGACGAATCTGTCGGCGTTGATGTCCTTCGGTTTGCTGACATCGTATTTCATTTCATCGAAGAACAGAGTGGACACAATCTCAGCCGCGGACACCGATGAGGAGGGGTGACCGGACTTGGCGGCCGCCGTCATCTCGATGGCCGAGACGCGCAGACGGTTGGCGGCATCAGCCAGCTTCGCAACTTTGTCGGCGGACATGATTTCGAAAGGACAAACACAAGTTGAAACTGAAAACGGGAAAATTTTAATTGCTCCATGGAGAAATTTGGTTGAAAAAACGGATTATTCACGATAAAAGTGAGTGGAAAAAAATGATTCATATGGCTATAAATGACTTTAGAGCTTATGGAACTTTATACAACCTCACAAACCGCATTTATAGCCAAAATACATCAAAACTTATATTGTTTTAGACATTTTTTCCAATTTTTTAAAATTTTTGGGACAGACACAACCTGTACAGTGACGGACCTGATACAGTGGCAAAAAACGTACCATTTTGCACCCGAGAAGCATAAAAAATGTGGCAAAATGCTTCCCTCTCCAAATGAAAAAACTTCGTTTTGAAGGGCCTTTTTCCTCACAATTCGAAACCGAAGTTTTTTCACTTGGAGAGGGAAGCATTTTGCCACATTTTTTACGCCTCCCGGATGCAAAACGGTACGTTTATTGACACTGGACCAGGTCCCCCACTGTACAATTCTCAAACAGAATCCAATTCACTTATAAAACCTTCAGGTTCGCCTTCGGTTATTTTAATAAACAAAAAGACCTCCGAAACAATCAAAAAACCGACACACACAGGGTCGTCGCGATAACAGTGGCCACTCACGCCAGGGAACCCATTTTAAGACGGGCTGTATCAGAGTGGAACAACAAAAAAAGTGAAAACCCCCGGCATGCGTAACCTTTATCAAACAGGGAGGAGGAGTCACAAGAATTGACAAGCATTCACGCCACCATGGGAAGGTAAAATAATGTGAAATTACGCAAAGTTTCATAAAAATTTGATTGAAAATTAAAGAATAAGTCCTAAACTTGTAAAAAGAAAAGTTGCTCTAGCCATTCGAATGACACAAAAATCGCATCATAAAGTTACCAAAATCGCCCTGAATAAGGTGTTTTAGATCGGAGTTGGACGATTAGGGAAATCGAAAATTATTACTTTTCTTCGATGCAAGTGTGAAACTAGGATAATCGAGGGCGCTGATTTCGAAAATGATATTCATTTTTTTTTGATAGTTACTTTTTTCCTTAAGTAGTAAAGCAATTTTTTAATTTTTTTCATAAATACTCGATTTAGGGATCCTCGATGGTGCTGATTTCGAAAATCTTATTCATTTTTTCTGGTTTGAAAGCAGCACCAGCGTAAAACCCCCAAATCGAGCATTCATAGAAAAAATTTAAAAAATTTTCTACTTTACAATACTACTTAAGGAAAAAAGTAAAGATCTAAAAAATGAATGTCATTTTCGAAATCACCACCCTCGATTATCCTAATTTCGACACTTGCATCGAAGAAAAATAATACTTTTCAGTTCCCCAATCGTCCCAGTTCCGTTTTAGATATATCTTTGACGATTGCATCACGAAACCCCCACCATTTTTCCATACACAATTTCAAAACACCTTCAATACAACATCTTCCCTACGTAAACTGCAGCTCCGATCCCAAAAAGTGCTAATTTATCCATCATCTCCACAAAATTTACAAAAACACTGGAAAATCAAAAATATCGACCCTTGCACACATTCAAAAGATAGTTTGGATCCGTATGTGATTGTCCGGGACAGAAAGAGCAAAAAGGGAGTTTAGAAAGGGCAAAAAGAACGCTGTGGAACGTTCGTTTTTCCCGTCCGAAACAAAATAAGACTCTTTTCAAAAGGTTCTCCCAGGTATGTGCAAAAAACCCTTGAAAATAACAAACAATTAATGGGAGTCTGAAGTTTTTGGAATTAGCAAGCATTTTCGAATGCTTCTATAAGCAAAAAATGCAGAAATTGAAAGAAAAAACTCTGGAACTATATTATCTATGGCGTGATCTTGAATAATAAAATAAACGATTTTTTAAGCGCTGTCTGTACTCAAAACTAGCAAGAAACCAAAGAATAGGCCCCATTTCAAGTTTCAAGTACAAAGAACCAAACGATTTCAGCACAAATACTCTTCAAAAATTATATAATCCATGAGAAGAACATCACATAATCGAACACTCAAACTCCCCCAAAACGTCAACTTATAAACAACCAATTTTTGGAATCACGCCCATTGCACAACTTTCCAGCTAAACGTCTTTCAAAAACCTTCATGATTTCGCTAAATCCGGCACCTTTTCCGGCATTATCCGTCAACTTGGTCCTAAAAACAGAAAAAAAGCAAAACATAAAACATTTACCGGCGAAACCACAATCTGTAGATAGCAAAACAGAGCTAGAGGAAATTGTGATCGAGTTCACAGCGTTTTCCTTGCGGCAATCGGCGAGAAAATTGGAATAAAAACATCTTTTTGGCCAGTTTTTGCGCAATAAAAAACATGCCACAGAATGCCAAAAAGCGTCTAAAGTTGCGAATTTTTTGGGATTTGAAAATTTAAATCGCAAATTTATGTGAAATCGAGGTCATTGATTAGTTAGTTTCGACGTATTTTGCTATCATTCTCGTAAAATTTATAATTATTTTTAATTTTATCATAGTCTTGGGTTAGGAAATTGGAATTCTCAGATTTCACACAAAAAAAATAAAATTTTTCGTTGTTACAGGGCATAGAGGTCCAAAGGACTGCCCTCTCCTGATTAAATCCAAAAGATCAACATTCCCTTGTCCAAAGGCTACAAACTTTTTGATCTTAGCATTGTGTAACACTCCGATTGGAAATTAATTAGTTCTGTTTCGGCGATAACGATCTTCTATCTACAACATTCTGCTGATTTTTAAAAACCCCTTGATAAGATAGATGGCAGGTCTACAACCAAAAGGTCATCGGACAAATCACACATGGGTTTGGTATGGTGTAACATTCCTGGCTGCAAATAAATTACTTTGGAAGTGAAGACGATTCGTTTAAGAATAGTTGCAACAGTCTATGATGATGATCACTGTTTACGTTTCTGAGCGGTTTCAAAAGAAAATGGTCTAAAAAACTGTGATCACATCATGGATAATAAATTTCGTGCGCAAGCCTGCCAAATTATCACCTAAATTTCGTCTAAAATCAACTCCAGACTAACAGGGGAAGTACACCAAGTGTGACGCTCAGATTTTGATGAAACTTGGTACAAATTTAGAATAATTTTTTCTAATATATAAGCGAGAATCCTAGCTCGCGCTTTGCAGAAACAACCGAGATTTTTAGAACAAAAGTCGGCCAAAATTTTGGACTTTTTGGCGAATTTCGGCTCGAAAAGTTTCATGTCTATTTCTACCATAGAGGGTAATATTTCCACAAAAAATCTATTTTTTCCGCGCGAAACTAGCGAAGTTATGGCCAAAAAGTGTTTCTTTTCTCTGACCGCTCTCCGCGTTTATTGTACTCTCTCGAGGGCAAAAATCGTTCAATATCTCGGCGGCGCCTGGAAAGCGCGAGCTAAAACTTTCAGGGATTGATATCTAGTCTATTCATGACGTGTGTGGAAAATTTAAAGAAAACCTGAGCGCCGCACTTGGGGTACTTCCCTTGTAAATTATGTCATCTTTTCCGCTCTAAGCCCTCCACTTAGATCCTTAATTTAACAAATTTTAAGTTCACCCGCAAACAATTTATTCTTCTTTTCTAGTTTGTCCATGCGACTAATCGTGTTTATTGTAACAATCGAAAAAATGGTCCGATAATCGAATTGATAAAACGTTTGCTCTGTGTTTCTTGACGGTTGTAAATTTGAGAGTAGTATAGAGAAAAACGGTTGGTCAGGGATTTACTTTCTCTGACGCAGTAATCAAAAAAGAGTAATGGGTTCGGGAAAAAGGTTATAACAAACGTTGCCTTAAACTTTTTAAAGTAAAAGGTGAAAAGGGTAAGTTGCAAATGACAGGAATAAATTTTAAGACTTTATGATGTCATTATGACTACTTTTAAAAGAAATATAGCTATAACATGTCTTAAATAGTATTCGAAGGCTGAGAATTTGCATGGATCACTATCATTGCATGCTATTAACATTATGGTTGACCTCCGGGATTACTGTAACAGTGTTTCCGAAAATTTTTATTTCTTTTGTTTTTTTCAAGGTCCCAAGTGCGACGCTCAGATTTTCTTCAAATTTTGCACACATGTCGGTCATGAACTAAGTATCAATTCCAGAAAGTTTTAGCCCGCGCTTTTCAGGCGCCGCCGAGATATTGAAGCATCTTTGCCGCCGAGAGAGCACGCTAAACATGGAGAGCGATCAGAGAGAAAAGCGCTTTTTGGCCACAACTTTGCCAGTTTTGAGCGAAAAAAAATTGATTTTTTGAAGAAAAATTACCCTTTACGGTAGGAATAGGTATGAAACTTTTCGCTCCGAAATTCGACAGAAAGTCTTAAATTTTCGCCGACTTTCGATCTAAAAATCTCGATTGTTTCTGCAAAGCGCGAGCTAGGATTCTCGCATATATTTTAGAAAAAATTATTCTAAATTTGTGCCAAGTTTCATCAAAATCTGAACGTCGCACTTGGGGTAGTTCCCCTGTTAAAACAACATAATTAATGACCAAAAACTTACAAAATAATCTCCACCATCCACACTAACCTTTCAAAACCTCTAGTCTAGTCTCTGCGAATATTATCTTAACCCAGTAAACATCTTTTAAAGATCACTCTGCAATTTCCCGTGCCTTCACCGATTCCCACCGTGTTTATTACAAAAAGTACCCTTGAAAATTCTGATAACACATCGATAACAACGAATTTATTATCAATGAAGTAAAGCACGAGGGTAATCAAAAACGTAATAACAACTTCAACAAAAATAATGAGTAAACATACATTTTTTAGCGTAAATAAGGTCCGTATTTTGTTCGGGATGATCATTGGAGGGTCCATAATTTCTGAAAAGACATTCATTTACACAAATCCACCAAAATTATGAGCAAATTTATATTACTTTAGGTTGAAATTTCATGGAGAATATAAAAATTCTTTTCAAACCTCCGGAAAACCCCTACTATTGCAAAATTCAACGGCTTTAACCCTAAAACTTACCGTGCTCAGGCCAGCAGAGGCCATAATATGATAGAATGGATTATATAAACAATGCAGGACTGGATCTCTTTGATCCGAATTAAATTGATGAACAATCGTGCCATCTTCTCTGCTCCAAACGGTAATCCTTCCATCAGTCCCACCACAAAAAATAAATTGAGAATCTGGCGAAAAACAGGCATCCAGAACAGCTCCACTATGATTGGTGTGGCCAGTCAAGGAATGAGTGATACCCCCATTGAACGCGTCAATAAGTCGATGATAATTGCCAGAGGTCATGATTAAAATTGACTTTCCATCTTCCGAGAATTTGATGTTCGTCCATTGGGTATCTTTGATGACGCCGAGATCAAACGAGATGAATGGACCCTAAAGTAATATAAAGTCAACGCTTGGTCATAAAGCGGCGGAAATTTGTCAAAAATTGTTCGCAAAGTGAGGAAAGTCCACACACCAACTACTCTATCAATTCCAAGACAATAAGTTCACCTACATTCTCGTACGAACGCTTGTCGTACAAACGGATCTGCTCGGAACCAATAGCAACTGCAATAACCAATCCTTCCGGGTCAAAAGCCACGGCTCCGGCTTCTGGCAGGTTCATGACACCCTAAAATGCCAACCGTGTCATACTGAATCTCCTAATAACCGAAAAAATTTATTAAAACTCTTACCGCGCACACTTCTTGTTTCGCATCCCAAAATCGGATCGTACGATCTTTAGAAGACGTGATAAACATGTCGTCAATTGGTGAGACGGAAAGACCAGTCACTCTGAAAGGTAAAATACGTTATGTTATCTGGAAACTCAAAAGCGAGGTGAAAATGACAAGAATCTTACGTTTCTTTGTGGCCTTGGAAATATCTGATGTACTTTTGATCGTAAAGTGAAAGCAGCCGGATTGTATCTAAAAAAAAACAATGCAAAAAAATTAACAGGCTTACCATCTCGCTTCGTGGAAGCATGAACAACATGCTGATCGGAATGAAGGTACCTGGCACAAGAACATCCATACTTCTTGCTTGTTATCTAAAATAATATAAAATTGTAGCAAAATCGCCGTGCATTTCAAACGAAGGTTATTATAAGCTAAATAAAGTTGTAATCTAGCTATTACTTGCATTATAAAAAGGACTTAATTCTGAGGCCGCAAGCGATATTACACTTGACCCTCAAGTTTGAGAGAGAAATCGAAAACTCGTTGAATTTCTCAAATCCTTGTTCTAAATTCAAAGAAAGAAATCAAACACTTACAGCTCGAAAGAAATCCCCGGTCATAATGTTGTACAACATCAACTGGTCATCATCCCCCGCAGACAACAAAAACTTTCCAGAGTCGTCAAAATCCAACGAATTTATAAAGCGATTGGATTGAGTGGGAAAGGATCGAGATGGAACAAGTTGTCGGACAATATCCACAGTTACCGGATACGTATCGGTGGCATTGAACTGCATTTCGCTGAAAAGGAGAAACGTAAAGCGAAAATAAAGGAAATTGTTGCCTAAAAAGCGAAGAAGAAGGAGAAATGCGATCTGCTGATTCGTTTTTTATTGTTATTTGGTCCATTTTATGCGCCGATCATCCGCAAAATCAGCCATTTTATGTGGAAATTTGTGTTGGAAAGGCGCGGATTTGTTTGTTGCGGAATGCCACAAATTATTGGAAAATGTTGCAAAGTGTCAACAATTTATCGGATTTTTTTAAATCACCAGAAATCTCCGTTATTTCAGGGAAAAGTTTGTAATTAAAGTACAGCCTTTCAGACAGCGATTCCTCTTATCTTAAGCAGTTTATTAAGCCCTATTAAATTATTATATTATCTACACAAGCGGCAATATTAGATCAAAAACCCTATTTCTTTCCATAGTAATAGTAGCCATATGGGCTGTAGTAGTAGTACGGGTAGGCTGCGGCGCTTCCACAGTAGCCACACGTTTTTGGGCATTCCTCTCGCATTATAGTGATGTAAGTAGGAGAGCGGCAAAGATAGCCTTTTCCGGGACAATCTGATCTTCCGTCTTTTGTCTTGTCCTCGCAAGCTCCCGTATTGGAAACCGACTGACCTAAAAAATGAGCTATTTATAAATGCGTATTCTTACTATTTTGTGTATTTGTATTATTCACACATAATCCACAGGTTGCCGGGCATTGTTCGGCCATAAGCGCCTTATACCTCGTATCTTGACACAAATATTTCGTCTCAGCGCAGTTCGACCTTCCATCGGGCCCGGCTTTGTCAGCACAACTTGTGTTGGAAGCGATTGGATAGGCAATAGGCTGATAGATGATTTGCGGCTGTCCATTGGCATTTCCAGTCCCGCTGCTGCTCAGCTTCCCTTGATCGATGAGGTTCTCAACCATGGTGACCAGTTTGAGGAAGAGGACTGCGGGATCCCCGGGAGAGCGACGCTCTCCGCATAAGTTGCAGGCTTTTCGACAGACTTCGTACATCAGCTCGCCGTACTCACTGTCCGTGCAAAGATCTGTCGTGGACGGGCACACTTTGGGGAGGGAGTCTTTACATTCTGGAAATAGTGGTTTAGAGAGTTTTGAGAGAGAATTTTTAACGCCCGGCACTCTTTTGTGCGGTTACATATAGTTACTGTGTACTTAACAAAGATTTTTAAAGGGGAAGAACTGAAAACTTGTAGGCTTTTTCAAGGTCATAACATACAGTGGCGGACCTGATCCAGTGCCAAAAAAACGTACCATTTTGTATCCAGAAAGTAACAAAAAGTGTGGCAAAATACCTCCCTCTCCAAATGAAAAAAGTCAGATTTCAAAACGCGCCCGCTCTTTTTGTGAGGAAAAAGGTCGCGCCCTTCAAAACGAAGTGTTTTCACTTCGAGAGGGAAGCATTTCGCCACATTTTTGATACTTCCCGGATGCAAAATGGTACGTTTTTTAGCCATTGGATCAGATCTCCAACTATAGATACTATGTACATAACAAAGATTTTTAAGGAGGAGGAACTGAAAACTTGTAGGTTTTTTTGATGTCATATCAGTCTGTCGGAAAAATAACGGCGAATCGCCCGTCATCGCTTTACGCCGGCTTCCGAAGCTGGAGATTTGGTGCGCGATGGAGGCCAGGCGAGACATTTTGCTGCTACGATCCGCCGGTATTTTTCCGACAGACTGATATCATACATAGTTCCTTCAGGGTTTAGAAGTTCCAATAAACGAGCTCAAATTTACGGCTAAAAAGCCAAGGCCAATTTTAGGAAAAAAAGACAACAACACCCTTACCTTGCGCTCTAACGTAAACAAAATCTAATAGAAAAATTAGTAAAGTTAACACAATCATCTTCATTTTACAGGCAATGTAATTTTGCAGAAGACGGACTGGAAATTACAGAAAATGATCTGAATCCCCCTTCGAATCCAACATTATATATAAATGCGGACATTCGGATACTGTTTGACCCATTGTTTTGGAATGTTTGACAGTCCATGTTCACAAGCTTGTGTTCTAAATTTACCAGCCCTTCTTTGTCTTCCGTTGAATTCGGTGGATGTGGGCTCGGAAAACGATAAAAAAGAGTCATGTCCATTGTGTCGAAAAGAGTGTTTGACCAGCAGAAAGTGGGTCGGTGATGCATCTATGTAGCTTATGGGCGGATAAAAACAGGACAACGGGAGCAAGCAATGGAATTGGCGTATCATCAATTTGGCAAAGGGATGGAACAAACTGAAAAAAGGAAGCGTTCGAAATGCGGCTTACGAATTTTGTAAAAATTTTGAACACTCTAGATGACACAGCAATTGCTTATATGCAGGGCTACAAGAGCAAAATACAGTGACGGACCTGATCCAGTTGCAAAAAACGTACCATTTTGCATCCGGGAAGTATCAAAAAATGTGGCAAAATGCTTCCATCGCCAAGTGAAAAAACATTTTTTTTGAAGGGCTCCCTCACAAAAAGAGCGGGCGCACTTTTGAAATCGGAGTTTTTTCACTTATAGAGGGAGCTATTTTGCCGCATTTGTGATACTTCCCGGATGCAAAATGGTACTTTTTTGCCACTGGATCAGGTCCCACACTGTATGCATTTTATGCCTTCTCGTAAGTTCTATAGACTTCTTCTTGTTTACATGTACAGTTGGTGTTTTTCTTCAATCGGATTGAAGCATAAGTTTCAGTCTTCACCCCGATAAGGTCTGGCTTATAATCGCTTGTTTGTACACTACGATTAGCGGGCTGACATTCTTGCGAAACAAAGGCATGCTTTGCTTGTGACTTATCAATTATGTGATTTGCAATAAAATGGTGCGTCATCTTTGATGCTTAAAGCGGAGTACGGCCGGAAGGCGGCAATAAACGAGCTAATAATGTGCCTTTAGATGCAAACAAAAATTGTGGTCTTATGTAAGGAGTAAGAAAATTGGAAATTATTGGAGAAAATACGCAATGTAGCCTGTAGAAACAGCGGAGCAATGATTTTGCAACTTTGCCAGAAATTTTACACGGATTGGCATTCTGTTTCATGTGTGTGTTTGGCGGGCGCACACTTGCGGGCAACTACTTTGCGGGCAACAAGTTTGCGGGCAAATTTTTTGCGGGCAGCCACTTTGCGGGCAGCCGACATTTGCGGCCAGCACCGGCATTTGCGGGCAGCCTGGGACATTTGCGGGCAGGGTCGACAGTTGCGGGCAGCCTGGAACATTTGCGGGCAGCCGACATTTGCGGGCAACAGTTCCAAAAGTTCTAATACACTCTGCGTGCTTGTTTTTTCCTGTTGCCCGCAAATGTCGGTTGCCCGCAAGTGTCGGCTGCCCGCAAATGTCGGCAAATTTCCAACATATCGCAGTAATATTTCCAGCTCCACCCTGTTACCCTCAGATGCCGGTTGCCCGCAAATGTCGGCTGCCCGCAAGTGTCCCAGGCTGCCCGCAAGTGTCTCAGCTGCCCGCAAATGTTTCAGCTGCCCGCAAATGTGACCCCCCAAATTTTGCCCGCAAAGTGGTTGTCCGCAAAAAATTTGCCCGCAAACTGGTTGCCCGCAAAGTGGTTGCCCGCAAGTGTCGCGACGCCGTGTGTTTTCCAAGTTTTCTACGAGTTTTTATCCTTTTTCCACGCAGAAAAGATAAAAAGGATAGAGCCAAAAATCCTCGTTTTCTCATAATTTTTACATTGGTAAAGATCTACAATGGTGGACCTGATACAGTGGCCAAAAACTTGTCATTTTGCACCCGGGAAGTGTCAAAAATATAGCAAAATGTCTCCCCCTCCAACTAAAAAAACTCACGTTCGAAGGGCGCGCGCGCGCTTTCAAAATCGGAGTTTTTTCACTTGGAGAGGGAGGTATTTTGCTACATTTTTGATACTTCTCGGATGCAAAATGACACGTTTTTTGCCGCTGGATCAGATACGGCACTTTATGAATATCTTGGTGATTCCCGTCGTGGAGCCTCAAAGGTCTCCACAATTCCCATAGAAATTATATAGCATAAAGCAGCTCATATAAAAGTAACGTCTTGCCACCAATTATGGAACATAATCTCATTTGTCTTTTCTCGGTGTGGTTTAAACAAATCTTATGTCTAATCTTGTGTCTATTCTCTATAGAGCGGTGCACCGCGGTGGTCCAAGCGCCCCCTCTACTCATCTACGTTTGACTCATCATTTCGATTCCAAAAAAAAAACTTTGGGTCGAATTTTTAGGAATTATACAGTGGCTTGTGCAAGAAAGATTTGAAGAAGATCCAAGAGATATACCTCGATCAATTAAGTTGTGAAGTTGATCCGTATGCTACAAGCTTTATACTCAATTTGCCATTAATTTTTGTCACAAGTCTTGAACAAACCCTTTTGAGTCATTAGTCATCATATTGCCTTGTTAGGCAACCAATCGAACACGTTCTTACGCAAACTACAAAGCCATTCTGAGCTTCCTTTTCTAAGGATGATGCAAGTCTTTCATTGCGTGCCCTTTTGCTCCCGCCGAATTTAGAATTTCGATATGATAATTCGGCGAAATTTCGACCATCGAACATTCACAAACTGTGGACCTTTCGTCTTTGATTCCCTAGACTTACGTGATAACACGTGGCGCCATTTTGGTTTCCCTCATCTAACCTTTGGTCCGACAAAAACTGCTGCTTGTTTTCCAAAAACTTCCACACGTGGGACCGTCAGATGAACGAGGATGATAACAGAACCAAGTGATCAACTGCTAAGGTCATGTCCAATTATGTAGTCTGGTAAAGGAGTGGGTGATATTTGATTATAACAAAAAATAACAATGAAATGGGTACCTGATCCAGTGGCAAAAAACGTCTTGCATCTAGGAGGTATCACAAATGTGGCAAAATGCTTCCCTCTTCAAGTGAAAAAACTCCGATTTCAAAAGCGCTGTGGAAGTTTGACATTCAACGAGCAGTACGAAAATGACTTTATTGCCTTTTTTCCTCAACGACCTGAAAATTTGTCAACGGCTTAAAACATTTTATTTTAGGTCCAACAACTTGCACTGACCATAAAAATTTGCTGGTTACGAAAGACAGCTGGCAATCTGCCTCATCAGCTGGAAAATTTGATAAGCTTTTAATTTCGGGTTTAGGATTGACATCCACTTTTTATGATTGCAGTACTTTGATCATAAAACTACATCGATGATTATCAATAAACCGGTTTTTCAGCACTTGAGATTTATAGGTTTAGGACATGTCTATAAGTCCTATATGTCATCTGCTTTTAACTCTTCAACCTTTGTCATTTTCCAAATAAAATTCCAACAAATTTCCTGCGGGTTGTGACAAAAAACCCTCCAAAACTATCCTCCAGTCATCAAAACATTATACATACAATTCTCATCTCCCGCTCTCCGCACGTCATCATCCGTTCCTCGTGATCTCTTCATCGACAACGCCTTCCGTCTCGCTACAGCGAATTGTCACGAGCAGACACAAATGTGGACAGCGTCATGAGAAATGGAGGGTCAAGAGTGTTGATAAGGATCCGATCCCACCCTCACAGCAAATTTCCTTTTTTCCCTTCGACTGTCAGTCAATGAAACGTGAGTGAACGTGACGGAATTGCTATTTGATAATAGTAATGAGCATTTCGGGTTTGTTTTGCATGTGTTTTGTAGGGATTAGTGGGGGTAGACATGTCGTCGAAAATTAGGGCTCGTTCAATTGAAAAATTTTTTCTTTGTCGCCTAAATTACAAGGCAAAAATATAGCTGTATCATCTACAGTGGCGGACCTGATCCATTGGCCAAAAACGTACCATTTTGCATCCGGGAAGTATCACAAAAGCAGCAAAATATCCCCTCTCCAAGGGAAAAACTCAAATTTCAAAAGCGCGCCCGCTCTTTTTGTGAGAGAAAGGGCGCGCAGTCCAAAACGGAGTTTTTTAGTTTGAGAGGGAGGCATTTTGCCACATTTTTGAAACTTCCCGGATGCAAAAAAATGATGATGTTTTATGCCATTGGATCCGGTTCCTCACTGTAGGAAGAGCGCAAAACTTAGAGCGCTTGAACGTCCTACCTTAAGGTCTTGGCTTATAAAAACTACCGTGTTGAGTCTAGTTTGATGACAAAAAGTTTTTTTGCTTATGTGTCATTTGCTATACACATACCTCTCTTATTCAAGAACGTTATTTCTCCCACTTCTCTGCGTCATCGACCTTGGAAGTCCAGCACCGACTGAGCCAAGAGTTGAATCCCTTGTTTTCGAGTAAATTCCACTCTTCGGGATCTTATCTCTCTAATCAATTCCTCTCGTATGTCCAAACACCGCGATCAGATTCTTTAAAAGTTGCGCCCCAATAAAACTTGGTTATCATTGGCGGGGCGCGGTTTTATCAGCAGACTTTAGACTCCGGTCATTTCGCATCACGTAGGCCAGTATCAGGCAGACTGATTGCGGGTTTGGCGGTCGTTTTTTGTGGGCTTAGAGCAACGTTTTTTTATTAGTCGCAAACAAAGAGGAAACAAGTTGTTAATTAATTAGTAATGGCGCTAAAGGGAGGGCTGTGTGAACGAGGGATAGGAAATAAAAAGTAGTACTTGTCCTAGGTGTTATACCGGTCGAAAGAATATCAAGTGTAAGGCCGAGTGTAGGTCATAGAGTATAGCTGGGACACAAAATCTATTCTACAGTGACGGACCTGATCCAGTGGGAAAAAACGTACCATTTTGCATCCGGGAAGCATCAAAAATGTGGCAAATGCTTCCAAGTGAAAAAAAAACTTCATTTTGAGGGGCCCTTTTCCTCACAAAAAGAACGGGCGCGCTTTTGAAATCGGAGTTTTCTCACTTGGAGAGGGAAGCATTTTGACACATTTTTGATACTTTCGATGCAAAATGGTACTTTTTTTGGCGCTGGATCAGGTCCACCACTGTAGTGGACTGTGACATATATTTATTGCGCGATTCGGCAAGGACATGTCTATAAAAAAGCGTTTTTTTTTCTCTGCCCGCTCTCCGCATTTCACATAATCTCTTGGTTGCAAAGACCATCAAATATCTCGGCTGCCCCTGCAAAGCGCGCGCTACAAACTTTAGGAATTGATGTCAACTCTAGACAGATTAAGCCAGCAAAATTTGAAGGCTCAAAGAGCGTTGCCTCTGGAGAACCTCCCAATCAAAAAACGTTGACTTAAGAAATGACCCCTTCCCAGAAGTTCCATTCTTTTCTTATCAAAACTTGCACGAGTATTCAAACTTTGTTCTGACATCTCATTTACGTGCCTAATTGAACTATTGTCCTTTCAGCCCCTCCCAAGGTGCAAAAATTCCTCATTTTAAACGAGTCTTCTTTCGGCGGATGGGTTTGGTTTCCGTTGAAGTTCCAGGGAAAATCGAAATTGCATTCAGCTGAAAGCCATCCGGAAAGTTGTCATTATTGTTAAGAAGTTGTGAAAGGTAAGAAAAGACCGTGTTGATGCAGTGGCATACAAAATATGTTAACTTTTTTTTAATTTTGATTAAAAATGGGAGGATGATGTAACTTTTCGTCCAAAACCATAGTCCTAGGTGTCGAAAAGATAAAAAAATAGATTTATAAAATACCTGTTGTCAAGAATACACACATTTTCGATATTTTAGGGAGCTTTCCGAAACTTGAAACGGAATGCCATAAATGGCGGGAAAATCAAATTTCAAATTTTATGTCATCCTACCGAAACTATCTTTGTGCACATCATTTACAACTGGGTCATATTGCAGAAATGCAATCGGATTTTCGTTTTTTCAACAACTTTAGGTCCTATATCTGCTACAATACCAAAATCAACCCAAAAAACAATTTCAACCCGAAAATTTTCAGTGAAATCTAAATGCTGCGAAGCGCTCGTCTTGTGAACGTGCCGAAGCCACCAGTCAGTCTTCGCCGATATGCGGTCAGCTACGTCGGGAAGCATCCGCCGATTCTGGGCATTCGAAGAGAGACGATCAATGCCTGGGAAAGAAGGGCCCCTCTGGCACCAAGCCATGTCCAGAAGTTGACGAGACAAGGCGTCAAAGTGCTGATTCAGCCGAGTAACAGAAGGGCATATCCGTTAATTGTAGGTTTCGAAAGGGTTGTTGGGGAAAATGCGTCATGATGACGGCTTTTCTGGAAAAATATGAAATTTGATGACATTTTTTTGTAGAGTTTGGAGGGGCATACCTGGCTCAAAACTTCATATATTGAAGTTTGAGCTCTAAAAATTTAATGCAAAAAAGGTGTCATCATGACGGATTTTTTAGAAAAAGTTACAGTCAAATGACTTTTCAGGACTATATGACGGCCGGCGCTCAAGTCCAAGAAGACCTGTCACCGGCCAACCTGATCATGTCTGTAAAACAAGTCCCAGTGGAACAACTGATCCCCAACAAAACCTATGCCTTCTTTTCACACACCATTAAAGCACAACCCGACAACATGGAGATGCTGGATACGATCCTGCATCGCAAAATTCGTCTGATTGATTACGAAAAGATCACGGACGAAAATGGAAAACGATTGGTCATGTTCGGGAAGTGGGCCGGATATGCGGGATTCATCGACATTTTGCACGGCCTGGGGCTGCGATTGCTGGCCTTGGGACATCACACACCGTTCTTGCACATAGCCTTGGCTCATAATTACAGCGACTCGCATATGGCGATCAACGCGATCAGAGATGCGGGATATGAGATTGCGCTGAACCGACTGCCACGGTGAGTTGGGGACACTGTAGGAAATTAAGGGCCTTATTTCATTTTAAGCCAAAAATTTGTAGAAAAATTTTTGGATGACGCGGCGTATTTTACAAAGCAAAAATAGTTATTAAATATGCATAAGTTGGTGGTTAATTTTCAGGTCACTTGGCCCCCTGATTTTCGTCTTTACCGGCTCCGGGAATGTCTCCCAAGGAGCTCAAGAACTCTTCCGCCATCTTCCCCACGAATTTGTCGACCCCTCAACTTTGCCTCAGGTAATTTACAAGGTGTTCAACCACGATTTGGGTCGTATTTTGTCATCAAATTTTCTAATAAAAAAGTGATTTTCTTAGGTCGCGAAGAAAGGTCAGATGAACAAGGTTTACGGGTGCGTAGTGTCCCGTAACGATTACCTCATGCGCAAAGAGGGTGGGAAAATTGATTTAGAGGAGTTCAACGCCCATCCAGAAAGATACGTTTCAAAATTTGCGTCGGAAGTAAGAGTTTTGAAGATTTTTGGCCTACTTTGTCATGGATAACATAATTTTCGTTAAAATTTTATCATTTTTCCTTTCAGATAGCCCCGTATGCCTCGGTAATTCTGCATGGCATCTACTGGGATGTAAACACGCCTCGGCTGATCACCATTCCGGATGCTAAGCATCTGCTTACACCTACCGCCAACAAGGCGTTGGATGTTCCGGGTTGCCCGTCGCTGCCTCATCGCCTGATTGCAATTTGCGACATCTCGGCGGATCCCGGAGGCTCTATTGAGTTTATGACGGAATGCACCACCATCGACAAGCCGTTCATGATCTATGACGCCGATTTTAATATGGCTTATGACTCGTTTGATACCCCAAGTGGATGCCTGGTCTGTTCGATCGACAATATGCCGGCGCAGATGCCGTTGGAAGCTACAGAAGCTTTTGGAAACCTGCTGTATCCATACATCTTCGATTTGGTAGGTTTTAGAGGTTTTTATAAATTTGAATTTTGAAATTCCCGCCAAAATTGGCATTGTGCCCAAGAGCTCGGAAAAGCTTTGAAAAAGGTTGTAAACTGTTTTTCTTGTATTTCTAGCTCAACTGTGCTGCCGAACAGCCCTTCGAGCGGCTGGAGTGCCGCCCTGACGTCAAGAATGCGATCATTACCAGCGATGGAGAACTGACCCCCAATTACAAGTACATTGAGACTCTGCGAGAGGAACAGACGTATGTTTGAGCATGTTTACTCGGCTTGTTATCAAGTTTATGTCCTTGGAAAAGTCATAAAATTGACAATCGAGTTTATTTTCGTTGAAAATCTTATCATTTTTGACTGTTTTCGAGGGGATTTTCGGTCAGCTTTTTTATAATTTTAGTTGGAAATTAGGCTAAATTTAAGCACGTTTTTGATTAAATACGATATTAAATATTTTTTTTAAAAAGTTTTTTCCGAATTTACAGTAAAGTACCACGTAAATTGCGCCATTTTTCAGAGTCCGCTCCTCCCACAAGGCGAAGGCAATGGCGGGCCGGGAAGACGCGAAAAGAGTTCTTTTGCTGGGCGCTGGAATGGTCTCCGATCCGCTGGCCCATTACTACTCCCAACAACAACGCGTAGTCCTTACGGTGGCGTCGGATTCGGCCAAAGACGGGAAACGGTTGGCCACGTTGGGCGACAACATTCAGTCCCAGGTGGTGGATCTGAACAAGGAGCCGGAAGTGATCGATGGCCTGGTGGAACAGAATGATTTGGTCATCTCTCTGTTGCCCTATGTCTACCACACGGGGATTGCAAAGATGTGCATCAAACATCGGCGGAATATGGTGACTAGCAGCTACATTTCGCCCGAACTTCAGGCGTTGGATGAACAGTAAGTGGATGATGATTTGAGGGGATTGGGGGGAGTTTGGATGGGAAATTGAACTCGCCAATTGTCTTAATTGTAATTTCTCAGAATTTGATTTAATTTGGTTTAAATTTTAGTCAGAGTTTTATAAAATTTTAACCCCATTTAAGAATCTAAAACAATGTATAACCTTTCAAAAATTCCCCGAAGTGCGACGCTCAGATTTTGATGAAACTTGGCACAAATTTAGAATAATTTTTTCTAAAATATATGCGAGAATCCTAGCTCGCGCTTTGCAGAAACAACCGAGATTTTTAGATCGAAAGTCGGCCAAAATTTGAGACTTTTTGCCGAATTTCGGCACGAAAAGCTTCATGCCTATTTCTGCCATAGAGGGTAATATTTCCACAAAAAATCAACTTTTTCCGCGCAAAACTGGCAAAGTCATGGCCAAAAAGTGTTTTTCTCTTTGACCGCTCTCTACGTTTGGTGTGCTCTCTCGGCTGCCAAGATCATTCAATATCTCGGCGGCGCTTGTAAAGCGCGAGCCATAACTTTCAGGGATTGATATTTAGTCTATTCCTGAAGTGTGTGGGAAATTTTAAAAAAATCTGAGCGTCGCACTTGGGGTACTTCCCTTGTTAATTTAATTCAAATTTTAGTCACAATTTTATAAAGTTTTAACCACATTTAAGAATCTTAAAATATGTCATATCCTTTCAAAAATTTCATTAAATTTCAACCCCAATTTCCCCCGAATTTCAGAGCTAAAGCCGCCGAAATCACGATTATGAACGAAGCGGGTCTGGACCCGGGAATCGACCACATGTTGGCCATGGAGTGCTTCGACCGCGTGCACGAGATGGGCGGCAAAATCAAGTCGTTTGTCAGCTTCTGCGGCGGTCTGCCGGCCCCGGAAGCGTCGGACAATGCGCTGCGGTACAAGTTCAGCTGGTCCCCGAAGGGCATGCTGTTGGCGCTGATGAATCCGGCCCGATATTTGATGAAGGGGCAGGTCGTGGAGGTGCCGGGGAACGGCGGAGTTATTGATGACTTGTATCCGATCGATTTTATGCCCGGATTCTCGTTGATTGGGTATGCGAATCGGGATTCGACCAAATATTTGGATATTTATGGGATCCAGGACGAATGCAAGACGTTGTTGAGGGGAACTTTGAGATATCAGGTAGGAAAAGAGAGATTTTTTTTAGAAATAAAAAAAAAATGATGATTTTTTTGAAGAAATATTTGAGATTTTTTTGCTCATTTTTAGCTCCACTTTAGGCAAAATTCTGATTTTTTCATTTTTTTACAAAAATGAGATTTAATTTTAAACACAATTTCTCCACTTTCAGGGATTTGTTGAAGCCATCCGCGCCCTGAAGAAGGTCGGTCTTCTCTCCACGCAAACCCACGACGTCTTCAACCCGATGCAAGGCCCGGACATGACTTGGCAGCAGATTATGGCCGTCATGATGAACCAGCAGCCCGACATTTTCCCCGATCAGCTTCGCAAAATTGTGGCCGACAGATTGGGCGATAAACGAGAGTTTTTGGCGTTGGAAGAGCTGGGGTTGTTCAGCGACAACGCACCGGAGAGACATTTGAACCCATTGGACACACTGGTCCCCCATTTGGCCAAAGCGTTGGCTTACAATGAAGGCGAGAGGGATCTGGTGATTTTGAATCACGATATTGAAGCTCAACTGCCTGCGGGTTCGACGGTAAGGAAAATTTTAGAGCTAGGTTGAGTCGAATTATGAGACTTTGAAAAATCAGAAAAAAATTACAATAGTAAAATTGGTATTATAGGAGCATCACCGGATCAGCTTGGTCGCTTATGGAGACCCGCATGGATATTCGGCAATGGCAAGAACTGTTGGGTACACTACTGCCATCGTATCTCACATGTTGCTGAATGGTAAGAAACATTTTTTCGTATAAAATGTCCCCTTTTATCTACCAAAATTTTTTGTCGTATAAAATGTCTCTCCTTTTCCCAATTTTTTCTTTTTTCGTATAAAATGTCCCCTTTTCCCTACCAAAATGTTTTGTCGTATAAAATGTCTTTCCTTTTTCAATTTTTTTTTCGTATAAAAGTCCCCTTTTCCCTACCAAAATGTTTTGTCGTATAAAATGTCTCTCCTTTCCCCAATTTTTTCTTTTTTTCGTATAAAAAGTCCCCTTTTATATACCAAAATGTTTTGTCGTATAAAATGTCACCTAAACCCCCATTTAAATTTCAACTTTTTTTCAGGCGAAATCCAACGCAAGGGAATGATCCGCCCCACCACCAAGGAGATCTACCGTCCCGCCTTAAAACGCCTCCAGGACTTTGGAATCCGAGCCACGACGAAGGTGACGCATGTTTGATTACTGTACAAAATGATTCTCGAAAAAAGTATTTATCGTCCATGTTTGTAATTTTTTGTAACGTTTCTTCTAGAGTGAAATAAATATTGAGTAAAACTGTCGATTGTAATTTTTTTTCTTTGCTTTGAGATACCGTCTTTTTATATAATAGTACTGATATTTGTCATCGTGAAAAAATGTGACTAGGGCCTTGCAAACGCCATCAGAATATCCAATTTCAGCGCAAGAAGTATTGCACGGGGCGTAGGTGGGACCACGACAAGCTCTGTCATTTCCGTTGGGGAAGTCTGAAGTCTCAACGTCTTTTTAGTCAAGTAAATTTTTGAGCAAGAGCAAAGAAATGTTGATGGCAAATATAACATCTTCAAGACTTGGAAGTGGATCCACAAGCAATGGCATTGAATATAACAGCATTCTTTACCTGGTTTCTTGTCTTTTTCACCATCTCTTTGAGTAGGCAATGAGAAGGCTATAGCCAAGACAAGAGCGACAACAAACAGGAACTTTGAATTCATTCTGAAACTGTTGAACTTTTGACTCTTATTATCTTATTTATATGGAATGATAAGACAAGCTTTAATTACATCCCCCTTGAAATTCAAGGCAATTGACGCATATCTTTTGCATGACTATCCCTTACCGACTCCTTTGTCGGCTTTTCTCAACAAATCACCGGCCAAGCCCTTGGAGGTAGGGCAGCTGAGAAGTAATAGTTAGTATGACAAGAACAAAGTTGATTTCATAAAGACTTCAGAAAAGAATCTTTGAGGAATTCTTTTCAATCGGGGAAATGGATGGAGAAGAAAATCAATTCGATGACACAAACCATCGACTTAACCGTAAATTTACTTACGAAATTTAGAACTTAACCTCTTTAATTATACGAACCCCAAAACCAAAAAGTCAAAGACTGATTGATGATTGATGTTTATTGCTTGCAATACTATAATAAATTGGTTTTTTTTCACGTTTACCACTTATCAGTACAGACGCACTTCTTTTCGCCATCGATGATCTTGCAATGCCCTGTGGCATAGCCTAGGTCTTGGCAGGATGTTGAACATGCGTAGAAAGTTGGTCGACGGCAATCCTTGTGGTTTCCGATTGGTGCGTCTAGAGAAAGAGTAATGATGTTATAATATAATACATTCTCGGCGAATAAACTTTGGGGTTAAAGGTGGTGACTTGGGGTGACAATCCAGCCGGCTCTGAGCTTCTGAAAGAGTCCAGGTTGCCACCTCGACAGTAGCTATGTCGAAGTCTGGGAAATAACCGTTTCAGCTCGACTTGTTTTGGGCCGGGCTTAAAAAACGTCGAGCAAATGCCCCGCTGCAAAAGAAATCGTACTGGACGTGTCGCTTTCCAGATTTCCCCGTTCCAGGTGGCCGGGAGCGGCCCAAAAGGCAGCGCTAGCCGTGTCCATAAACCTGAGGCTTACGGTCAGCCGTGAGATCCCTGCCGCTCGCTTTAAACACCTCTTTTGTTGCGAATCTATTAGCTCAAATATGTAATACTCACCAGGTTTAATGGGTGAAGCGGTGGTTGTTGCAGTGGTCTCACCGTCATGCGACACCATTTTTGGAGCAGCCAGAGCAACACTAACCAAAAGCGACGTCATGAACACAACCTTGAACTCCATTGTCTGTCAAATTTTTTAATATGATTGTAAAGCATACAACCTTTTATGCTTATTCATTTGTTCTGCAAGGCAAAGATATCGCTATGTTTTCTAGCTTAATTCCTTCAAAATTTGGATCGTCTTTATATATTATACATATAGTTTCAGCAAACGCCTCATTATCAAGAATTAGCAAAATTTGGAGTGATATTATTAGGCGTGGATGTACGTTTTATTCAAGACAACCCGAGCTCAGTAGGCTTTACGAAACAATGTATATAAATTGATTCACAGTCTTTCATCCGCATCTGTCACATATTTCTTCTTTCCCTTGCAGATGCAATTCAGCTGTCGGCAGTAGCCCCATTTGAACCCACGTGCCTTACAATCGTCATCACAAGTGCAGTAGGTCGCAGCGTCGCAAAGGTGGCCGGTGTTATGGCCTATAATATGTTTACATAAAACATGTATGTGTAGAAATTCTGGAAAATCAAAAGCACACACAATATGCGGAGAGCGGATAGAGAAAAAAGACGTTTTTGATGATTTCTTTTGAAGGCTTGGGTGAAAAAAATTTTTTTAGAAAAAGTTGTTCACAAGGCAAGGAATAGAGTGAAGCTTTCAACACTACATATGTATAATATCCTTTAATGTATAAAAACCAAAGGGAGCTAGTTGTATAATACAAAGTGCAAGCAGAAGCATTTTACATTTAATGACGACATTCCCATCAGTTGTTGTCGAGATGGTATCCGGAAAGCCGAACACAGAAGCCACAAAGATAGCTAGAATTAAGGACAGTTTTACTTGCATTTAGAACGATGCTGTCTTTCTATTCTCTTTCGTTTATATACAGTAGTTGACAGCGAATTGTCAATTTTTTTATTTCGTGTGTAACTTCACTCAGACTCAACAGAATTTGATGAGACCAAGAGCGTTTAAGAGGCTGGGAGACACGCTTCAACCTTATGAAATTGTTTTATTTCATATCGGCCACAGGCGTGGTAAAAATTTCAAAACAAATTTTTTGGGGGACAACGAATTGTCAATTTTTACATTTTGAGACATAAGATCTCAATAAACCAGCATATAAAGACTAGAATGGAGAGTAATCAGTTGCCAGCAATCACAGAACAGCATACAACGGGTTTCAGCCATTAGTAGAATCTCCTTCGCTTTCTATAGGTCGGGCACTTGGGGGTGGACCATGTACAATATAATGTCAGCCTGGGGGCTTCCTAGGCCGAAATTATCTTATATTCCGGTTTTTTATGGGCGGCTACATCTTACTACGCTAGGGCATGTCAAAAAATTACACCCAACGGGTTACACTTGCGCCTTGTTACCTCGAATATGTTAATCATGGCCTTTCATACTGTTGGTCAGAGTATCAAAAATCGAAAAATGTCGCGCATGAAGATCGTTGGAGAAACCTTTTATATTTGAAAACAAACTACACTAAAAGACAAATATTCAGTGCCTTTCACATGTCAGTACCAGCACTCATGGAAGAGGTATGCAGAGGGAAATATTTGGATTTACATGAATTTTCACGTCGGGTTTGCGACACCCAGAAAAATTCTTATTTCTTCAAGCCTGCAACTTCCAAGACATTTTATTAGCATATTAGAGATTTTTACAAGCATTAAAAATATTAGTTTTAACGTTTAAAAACGCAGAAGACGCGCAATAAAATGATTAATATACTCACCACCCTAGTGTGGCACAAGAATTAATTGAACCGTCAGAATCTCACCCGGAAATTTCAGGGCGTCGAGACAGGTAATGAAATAATTTGTAGAATGTCGTTAGTTTGGCCGTAAAGGAGGATTAAATGAACCTATGCCCCCTGTCGGCAAAAAAATTATCGATTTTTGGGCGAAACACAGAGTTTAAATGACCAAAAATAATATTATCTGACGAATTTTTGACCCGTAGCCCCTCCAAGTTGTAATCCGGTGCAAGTGTGTTAAATATATGCAATAATCTTCCATAAAAAACCGGAATATAAGATAATTTCGGCCTAGGAAGCCCCCAGGCTGACATTATATTGTACATGGTCCACCCCCAAGTGCCCGACCTATAGAAAGCGAAGGAGATTCTACTAATGGCTGAAACCCGTTGTATGCTGTTCTGTGATTGCTGGCAACTGATTACTCTCCATTCTAGTCTTTATATGCTGGTTTATTGAGATCTTATGTCTCAAAATGTAAAAATTCACAATTCGTTGTCCCCCAAAAAAATTTGTTTTGAAATTTTTACCACGCCTGTGGCCGATATGAAATAAAACAATTTCATAAGGTTAAAGCGTGTCTCCCAGCCTCTTAAACGCTCTTGGTCTCATCAAATTCTGTTGAGTCTGAGTGAAGTTACACACGAAATAAAAAAATTGACAATTCGCTGTCAACTACTGTATATACTTTGTAAATATTAATCATTTTGTCTTTTTTCAGATACCAGAACAAAGTTAAGGGCTTTCTAAGCAGTGATGCTGTAGAGAACAAAGACATTCCTTTTATGCCACTCCTGTAAACCTAAGTATTCTTTGTTTGGTTTACGAGAACCAAAACAAAGAGTGATGAGAGCGGTCACATCATTTTAAATTTCTTATAGTGATCTTGAGGTTTGGAGTTGTAGGCTTTTTTGTAATTAATTTTAACTCTAAAGACAAAAAATGTATTTAGATGACTACAAAGGCAACAGCAAAAAATTGCAACATAATACTAAATGGCTTCAAAGAAACTTTTAAATCTCGAAAACATGTCGTCCTTGCGGTTGAATTGGTGTTAAATCTCTAAATCATACCCCAAGTGCGACACACAGATTTTGATGAAACTTTGACAAAAACTTTGAAAATTCATTCCGTAGGCATTCAAACGTTGAAAAGAATGGGACACTTTCCTTGCGAATTTTGGCACAAAAAAGTATCAATATAACTTTTACAGTACAGTCTAACGTCTCCTCCAAAAAAATCGCACGAGAATGACAAAGGCAAGGCAAACAGTGTTTTTTATATGACAGCTCTCCGCATTTCATGTACTCTCTCGGCCGAAAAGAACGTTGAATATCTGGGCTGCACCTGCAAAGCGCGCGCTAAAATTTCCAGGAATTAATGTGCGGTCTTTGTTCAAAATATGTGTAAAATTTTAAAAAATCTGACCGTTACACTTGCCGTGCTTTCTATATTCGGGCTTTTCCACCTATAATATAAATATATATCCATATTTATGTCTGCCCTCAATTATGCATATCAGCCTCCAAAGAAGAGGATCGTATAGCCCTGCATGTTTTTTCACCTTTTTCCCCATTCTTTTTCGCCTTCAATATTCCGAAAAAACGGTCGAAACAAAAGACGCAGACGGAGAACCCTCTACTCCACATGGCTGCAAACCTTTTTGAACCCGTTTGAACCTGTGGGCCACAACATTTTTTTTTGCTCTTTCCTCTTTTTTTAGCATTTTATCGAGTCGGATGTGAGGGTCTCTAAAATGGCAGAGAGGTTTGGGGATATTTGCGGGAGCATTATAAATGAAAAGGGCAGGGAATTTGATAACTTACGGGGGTATTTTGGAACTAAATCATGCTTTTTTTGGGCCATTGTATTTCTTGTTTTGTACAGAACTGTCTGATTTCCTGGGTAATGATAAATTCCGTCAAAATTCCTAATCTCCCAAAATTTTATTCTCTCCAAAATTGCAAAACATTTGCAATCCGCTTCCCGGAAGGTGCGTAGATTCGATGATTAGCCGAGATTTCGCCGCAGGACTTATCCTCATCGGGGTAAACAAAAATTCATTGTCCCATTTTTTTCTGCAGAAGCGGAGTAATCCGGCCTGAGGGGATTACAGAGTGAAGATCGCGAAAATAAATTCGCATTAATCCCGGTACTGTAACAGCGCGAAGTTTCCCTGCAATTTTGATGGATAATCTAACTAATTTGGCATAATTAGCGAAGACTCGGAAGGGAGATTTTGCCCGATTGTTATTGAACTCTGATGTGGAAGTTTATGGCTTTTTTCTGACTTGATTTGGGCTTGTGACGTAGAATTTGTAGGATTTGGAGGTTTATGAAAAGCTTTGTTTTACAGTGACGAACCCGATCCAGTGGCAAAAAAACGTACCATTCTGCATCCGGGAGGCATCAAAAATGTGGAAAAATGCTTCCCTCTGCAAAACTTCGTTTTGAAGGGCGCGCCCTTTCCCTTGCGAAAAGAGCGAGCGCGCTTTTGAAATCGGGAGTTTTTTCGCTTCGAGAGTGAAGCATTTTGCCACATTTTTGATACTTCTCGGATGCATAATGGTACGTTTTTTCTGCTGGATCAGGTCTCACACTGTACAATAGCCTTAAATACTTAGCCACAAGTGCTGCGCTGACTTGATACGAATTGAAACTATGGTTTCTTAAAGCATGTTTAGGATAGTGCCTTGTTCTGATATATCTGTCTGTCGGGAATGAACACAATGTCACTGCGCCGATCGCGTCGCTAAAATGAAAAGCAGTTCGATTTTTTCACGACACAACTCGTTTTCTAGGTTTTCGAAGCGAGATTACATAACAGAGACCGGTAGAAACTGTCAGCGCAGTTTACCAAGAGTTACACTGGGGGACATGATCCAGTGAAAAAAAACGTACCATTTTGCTTCCAGGAAGCATCCAAAAATATGGCTTGGAGAGGGAAGCATTTTGTCACATTTTTTTTACTTCCCGGATGCAAAATGATACGTTTTTTGCCACTGGATCAGGTCCTCCACTGTAGAAGGTAAAAATTACTGTAAGCAAAAAATTAGATATGCTTTTCTGACATGAAAATTTTACAAGATCCTTAGCTTGCGTTTTTTTGGGTAGATTTTTGATGTAAAACTTTCGTATGCATATTAATTTCTACCACTGAATGTTTGCAAATTTCTCTCCATAAAATTTTCCATTCATAATTTTGGTACTTGTCACGTACTTCCATCCTTTCAGCCCTACAAATAATGCATTACAAATTGGCCAAATCTCAAGTCCTATATTTTTATTTCCCCCTTCTCCGCTTTTTACTTTAAGTGTGGCATTCGAAATAATAAAAACTTTTTTGCAAAGAAATCAGCGTTTTGCACGGCAGCGGCTCGTTATGTGAACAATTAAAGAACCTGTCAAACGCGGCTGTGTCTCGGCTATGAAGACGTTCAGAGGGGGAGGAGAGACTACAAGATGACAAAGAGATGTGATACGTTACGTTAAAAAGTGTGTAATGAGTAGAAGATTTACTATTTGTAATGATTTTGCAAATTAACCATTTAATTTTTTTTAAATTTTTTTGACAGATGACCATATACATATACGGTCAACTACAAGTTAAAATAGAAAATTATGATTTTCGAAATTTTTACAACACATTTTTACACATCTCACGTGTCTTTCAACCTCCAATTTTAGGGCTTCTGCCTTCTACCTCCAATTTTAGGGCTTCCAAAAGAACTTCAAAAAACCACAATTACATCATGCCATATGACTTTATTTGGCGTGTGTGGAAATTGCTGAATTATTTATTCTGTCATAAGACAATTGGAATTGGACGTAAATACATACAAGCGGGAGAGTCGGCAAACAAGGGTTCAGAAACGCAAAATGACAAATTACACGCAGAACGCAAAACTCATTTTTGGTTAAGATTTTGTCGAGAAAATAATGGGCACACTGTCGCATCGAAAATCGCGTCGCCGCCTTGAAAATGATAATTTTTTTGCGGCTATATCAAATTGCTTTTCATTTCAGCGACTCGAGTGAAAGTTTATGGAACTTCTGTATAACTAACTGACTAACAACGAAAACTCTTCATAATGAAAAAATTCAGAGCCCGTAACACTCATTTTTAAGTGGCGGTGAACCTCTCTACAACAAAACCCTTTCAAAATTATACAGTGGAGGACCTGATCCAGTGGCAAAAAACGTACCATTTTGCATCCGGGAAGTATCAAAAATGCAGCAAAATACCTCCCTCTTCAAGTTAAAAAACTCCGATTTCAAATACGCGAACACTCTTTTTTGTGAGTAAAGGACGCGGTTTTGAAATCGGAGTTTTTTCACTGGGAGAGAGAGGCATTTTGCCACATTTTTGATACTTCCCGGATGCAAAATGATACGTTTTTTGCCACTGGATCAGAGGTCCCTCTCTTATTTCCTCTCCACAGACACGCGTTTCGGCCAAATTGACTTTTTTCTTGCAACGTGCAGAGTCCAAGACAGGATAAAACTTGTTCCGAACGGTAGAGTGGAAAATGGGGGACCAGTGGCAAAAAAACGAGCCATTTTGCATCCGGGAAGTATCAAAAATGCGGCAAAATGCTTCCCTCTTCAAATGAAAAAAACTCCGATTTGAAAAGCGCCACTCTTTTTTATGAGGGTAAGGGCGCGTTGTTTAAAACGGAGTTTTTTTAGTTGGAGAAGGAGGCATTTTGCCACATTTTTGACACTTCCCGGATGCAAAATGATACGTTTTTAACCACTGGATCAGGCCCCTCATTGTTCGTTTTGTAGTCGCTTGCCATTCGTTTACACACTCGATTCACTTTGGTTGGCTGTGTTTTCGACAGTCTCACCTTCTTAAACTTTTGCCAATGTCACTTGGCAATTTCCGAACTCCGCATGCAAATTTGTCGCGACACCGCCCTCCCAACATTTCCCCACAACACTTCACGTACCCGTCTCTCGCTGTAATGTACTTGCGTAACCATGGGGAAATTTGCGGTAGTTTTTGGAACACCCATATTCGTCTCGGCCCTGAATGGGTACGCGAAAAGGAGGGGAAATTAGGATGGTAAGTGAAGCGTGAGAAATTTAAATGTGGGAAGAGTGTATTCCCCGCCATTTTCCGCCGGGATATACATCTCCCAACATCCTGCGAGATGGATGACATAACATATGGGTACATTACATGTCTGAATACCCGATCACGACGGGCTGTGTGACGAGGGGAATTGGTAAATGGGGTAAATAAATAATTGTTTTTTCCGATTTTTCTGAAATTTTGCGTGCATATTTCTACATGGCCCAGATTTTTAGTACTGTAAATTTTAGCTCTTGCTTTGCATTCAAGGATGTTTGATCTAAAGAAGACCGTTTTTGCGCTTGGAAATTTTTTTTGAAGAAGCATTGCACTTTGCACGCCACATTATTTGGCACGTCATGTTGATTTCGAATCTTCAATTTGCAAAAATTTTTTTTGTCTGTCGATTCTCTGCCTATTTTAACTTATTCGCACTAATCGCATGTAAAATATCCTGGGGTGTATCAGTTGGGATTCCATTGTCTGTTCAGTATTGGGTCTTTGCGTCACAGGTCATTTAAAATCGCCTTTTCAAAATTGCGGGTCCATCTATTGGGTTGTGCAATAAGTTCGTGCAATTTTTTTATTGCTTTGTTTTACAAGGATTGTTTGTTGTTTGGGAAAGGGCGTATATTTATTTGATACAGTTTTCTCTCCTCTACAAAACTGTGCTTTTAATTTTTTTCGAAAATTTAATTTTTTATTATTTTTTGGGCTTACAAATGAACCATCCAGGAAAAAATTGCACGAACTTACTGGACGACCCAATATATGAGAATGGGGCGTGCAAGTGGTCGTTTGTAGGGCCATTTTAGTTGGTGATCCCATCTTTGTTCATCGCGTGTTAGCTTTTTCAACAGTAATCTTTAAAGTTGTTTTATTTGGCGCTCGCTCTGACACATTGATAGCCTCACATTGAACCCTCCAATTTATTTTGTACATGATTACAGTTTTATTCGCCAAAAAAATTCGACAATTCTTTCATTACTCTTCTCAAAGAAACCGTCTCGCCTTTTTAATTGTAACGCAATACCATTCATTTTTACGACCGTGAATGCAAAAACGCATTTCGTGCAAAAAACAAAACAATTCTCCGTTTTCTCCGACCAAAGGTTCGTGTTTTTTACGTGGTGTCTGAATTGGAATTTTAAAAATTAATGTTAATGTTCTGTTCAAAAAAAACAAGATTTTTTGAATTTTTATTCTCAGAAGTTTTTTTGTGGGGTCATTTGCAAGACATTCTCCCAGACGGAGATCTCAAGAATCTGGATAAAATTTTCCAAAATTTTGCCCGCTAATCCACAAATTGCAAATGATATCAAATCCCGGTCGCCATGGCGAATGCAGCTTACATTTGCGATGTAATCATGTGCCAAATATTTTAATCCAATTGCAGAAGAGATGAAAAAAAATTGAAATGTGTGTGGATGAGTAATAAGAATACTGTAACTTTAATTGAATGTGCGTTTCGGGATTACTACTGTTCTTTTATAAATGTGACCGGAATAGCATGTGATTTTATAGGAAATTCTGGAAAAAAGAGTTAAATTTTACTTGGCGTTTAGTGCTAGAGGAAAGTCAGGTCTTAAAAATTCTTTTCAGAAGAGAGAGTACATGAAATAAAGAGCGCAGGTGAGAGAAAGCTCGTTTTTGGCCATTTATTTTCGATTTTTTGCGCAGCAATTTCTTTGTTTATGAGCCATTTCTCGCCTCAAAATTCCCGCCATTTTCTGCAAAACGCGATCCTGGGATATAAAAAAAGATGCAGTTTTCTCATCAACATCAATTTTTAGTCATCTCCAGATGCATATTTAACACCATTTGAGCCTTATCCCTCCAATTTGCCGCTCTGACGTATCTCCTCAATCTTCTTCAATTTCCATTCTTCTTTGCCCTTTTATCCTTGCAAAATCTGCGCCTACTTCAAGGTTCATGTCTTCCAGCAATTTCCCCCCGCTCCACCCAACTTCTCGTATTGCGCGAAAGAAGCGGCGGACGCGGGCGTATGTATAATGAACACCGGGGCCTGCAATCCATAATGAGTGGAAGGCGTGAAATTAGAAGGCATGGGCCCGGAGGGCACGTCGCGAAAAAAGAGTGTGAAAATATTTCTCCTCGGGGCCAAATCTCCTTCACACTCGGGCGGCTTTTTCCTCCTGCGAGGCCTTACCTCGCCGGCAGCAAAGGCCTTGGCTTCGGCCGCCTTCGGCGGGGAGCAAGCGGCCCGGATACGTTGGAAAGGAGACGAACGGAGGTCCCAGTTTTTGCATAATTCGGTTAGATTCTTGCTGGAGAACGCTCGAATCTGCACGGAAAGAGGAGAGGGATATGGTAGGGCGGGATGACAGGAAATTGATGGTTTCAGATTTTTTCGGTGCTTTAGGCTATTCAAAAAGCTGTTGTGGAATCGGCAACGGCTTGTTAATAAAGCATGGCCCTTAATTGTTATCGTAATTATCCAAAACGTCTTTATTTTTGACTTTTAGCCAAAACTTGAACAACTTTTTTATTTAACTCCGCATGTTGCCCCCTAGATTTATATCTGCCTATTTCTTAGTATTCTGGCAGTAATTTTGTTCATTGGCTATGGTAGACGTAAATTCTAAGGCCTGTTCTTTATTACGCACTATTTCAACCACTCCGTTAGCCCTCAACTTCAGCAACATACAGTAGCTGCCAAAAAACTGTCAATTTTTTTGTTTTTTGTGTAACTCTGCTCAACGTGGACGGATTTTAACGAAACAAATACCATTCTGTAGAGAATTACTGCTGTTATCTAATGGTGTAGCGGTTGGAGCGATTTTACATCTTAGTGTGTAACAACTGTCGATGTAAAATTTTCGGAAAGACAAAAAACTGTCAATTTTTCCAAAAAAATTTTACCGCTTGCATACGTCGCGGCAAGTCATGGGTTTATACATTTCGATTTTTAAATAAAGTCCCACTGTACATAATTAACCATCAAAGGGAGCCAAGAAAGTTAATTTAGTAGACCTTTTGGTGGTCCCAAGTTCGATACCCCAAAACATGACGTTTAAGAAAAAATCGATTTTTTTCTTTGACTTAGCATTAATGCAATGCCTTGCAGTAGAAGTTAGACAACCTACAATTAAAATATAACAATGATCGGAGCCTAAATGTAAGTCTACGGACTCCATTTGACATTCAAGTTTTTCTGGCAGTAGATGTACCGTGGAACTTCAGCCCGGGTGCTTCCGCACACACCTCTAATCGTAGTTCCAAAGCGGCAGAAGGCACCCATGTTAACAGTGAACAGTTTAGAACCGCTACCGCGCCAGGCCCGTACTTTGCGCGTAAAATAACAAGCTCCTAAATGGAATTTTTGAAGAAAAATTGTTGTCTCGATTTTCACTCTCCATAGGATGGAAATAACCCAGCGTAAGGACAAGCAAGATGTTGTCCCATACATTTACAGCCATTCCTGACATTTCTAACGTAATTTCACTCCCTCTAACGTGTTTCTAAAGTCTTAAGCTGACTTGCAAGTTTCCTCAAAAAATTTTTTTTGTTAATGACAACATAACCCTCCGTAATTCTTGTGTGACTTGCATCGCCGTCCTACAAATGCCCATAAAATGCTTCTAGAACATCTGTGATCATGTATTGATAAAACATTAGCAAGTTGTTACAAAGGCGGGGGCAACAAGGCCAAGTCTCTACAGAAACTCGATTACCGGAGAAACTTGAATGTCAAGTGGAGTCCGTAGACTTACATTCAGGCTCCCAATCATTGTTATATTTTAATTGTAGGTTGTCTAACTTCTACTGCAAGGCATTGCATTAATGCTAAGTCAAAGAAAAAAATCGATTTTTTCTTAAACGTCATGTTTTGGGGTATCGAACTTGGGACCACCAAAAGGTCTACTAAATTAACTTTCTTGGCTCCCTTTGATGGTTAATTATGTACAGTGGGACTTTATTTAAAAATCGAAATGTATAAACCCATGACTTGCCGCGACGTATGCAAGCGGTAAAAAAATTGACAGTTTTTTGTCTTTCCGAAAATTTTACATCGACAGTTGTTACACACTAAGATGTAAAATCGCTCCAACCGCTACACCATTAGATAACAGAAGTAATTCTCTACAGAATGGTATTTGTTTCGTTGAAATCCGTCCACGTTGAACAGAGTTACACAAAAAACAAAAAAATTGACAGTTTTTTGGCAGCTACTGTATTCACCAAGTCACTTCCACCCTTCGAAAGACAATTTATAAAATTTTCGTGACGTTCTGAACGAACTACGCCGCAAAAACAAACTATTGATACATTTAGTGCAATTTGCTTTTAGTTTTAGTGAAAAACTTGTTTCCGGGTTTGGAGTATTTGCCTTAATTTGACCTTTATATTCTACATGCCAAAAAGCAAATTTTTTTTTATTTTTTGGATAGAAGTGATGATGGAGGGGAAATTAAGGCAATAAGGGCATTTTTGAAATTACTTTAGTGCTATTAGGTTATTTAGAAAACATGAATTAGAGGCTAGTTTATTTGGTGTTGCAAAAATCGCAAAAATTTACATTGCACTTGGTTCTTAGTGCAAGGATTTGAGATTTTTCATCCAATTGGCTGGATTTTCAATTTTTTTCGGTTTTATAACATGCCTCGCGTTTTGCCATTACTGTCAGCCGTATATATCAGCATTTGTATCTTCCAAAATTTTTGAATTTCCTGTTTTCCAACCAAAAATTTCCAAAAATCCAGAATTTAATCCCCATTTCAAACAAAATTTCACTCCCAACTTCCTCATAAGCCGACTTACATTCAACAATGACTTTTTATTTATCACAACAACAAAGTACTTTCGTCCAAACTGCAGATTTCCCGCCGGCTTTATGTTTTTTCGGGGTTTGCAGAACTTTTTTTGCATTAAGTGGGCTAATTAGGGGGCAGTTTGAGTCGAAACTAAAAATTCTTTTGCAGTTTTTTGCAGAGAAAAGGTCGGGGATCTATTAGCGGGACATTTCGTTATTCCCTGTGCTGTTTTTGGCGTATTTTTGGGGCAGAATTTTTTGCACGTTTTATTGAAATTTCTTGAAAGCTTTTGGCAGCATTACATAGCTTGGATTGGCATGAGATTTTGTATGCAGTGTCTGCATCGGAGACATATTGATTGTCAAAAATTTCAGCCCGTGCTTTGCAGACATAGCTGGAATATTTAGCCAAATTTATACCATTCTGTTCGCAAACAGAACTGTATAAATTTGTCTTTTTTTGTGAGAATCACTAGCCAATTTGTCATCATTTTTTAATCTTGCGGCAAAAAATTAAACTTCATGATTTTTTCGATTTTTTTGTCATTTCCAACAGCCTACCGTTATAGCATGTTATAGCATTTTTGTATTCTAATTCACCCTATGACATGGCCAAGTTATGTCACTATAACGATCCCGCAACAACATCATCCTACAAAGTAAATAACCTGCACTTTTTATTGCTAATTTTTTCGTTTTTTCGTAGTCCCGCCAGTTCTTGCATTCACATCGTGCCGCCGTTTATTGTTCACCTGAAAGAGAGACATTACATTTTGTGTAAAAATCCCTCCGATTTGTGGGTATGTAGAGGGATAAGGGATAAGATGGGATTTGAAGAGGATATGGTAGTCATGTTTCTGCACAGATATTGTAGTATGGACTGGGGTGAAAGACAATGAGGTCCAATGGAAACGATGAAAGATGCTGGCCATTCTGACCGTATTTTAAAAAGAAACTATAAAACATTTTTGCAAAAACTGGCATAGAAGGAAAGGAAATGATGTTGCTGAGATTACAGCGTTTTGTCTTCCTCTATGACTCATTTTATTGTCAGGAGAAAGTTCTTTGTTTGGAAAGGAGTGATTTCCCATTTAAAAAGTTTCTTTGATTTCTCAAACAGATCGGAAAAGTAATCCAAATCAGTTTTCACTAATTTAAATTACTTTTCCAAAGACATGGAGGATTTCTTGCACTTGCTTTGTAAAAACGACCTAGTTTTTTAGTATGAAAGTTAGTGATAATTAGAGTCTTTTGTTGCTAGTTTATTTATCAAACAACTCATAAAGGAAGTCCTCTAAGTGCAACGCTCAGATTGCTATATACAGGGTGACCCAAAATAACGGAGACAAAAGATTTCCCGTTTTTTCTGCGACTTATTAAGATTCATGAGTGACTCCTTATTTATATTACAGTACCACGTTAGGGTAGTTTTATTTACAGATAGTTTTGTTGTACGACGCTCTTCTGCCTTGAACGACATAAATATATCCGGTTGACTCGGACCCTTCTGCCCGTGGGGTCTTTTTACAAGAAAGCTGCCTTACTCAAAAAAGAAAACTCGGAATAGTTTGAGATGTGCAGTGATTAATTATCGTAATAAGACCTTTAAAATGAGCTATCATACTAAGCTTAACTATCGATGGTTCAAAAGTTACAGCCGAGTATTTTCAGGCAGTTGAAGTGCAAAAATCGGCCTTTTTTGAAAATGTAAGCGCAACAAGGAGTTTAAATGTTAAATAAGGCAAAATGTAATATGAGTTACTAGAACATGATTAAAGGAACACCACAAAAGCAAAAGAGAAAGATTTTGCAACCGATACGGAATGCTATTTGGTAATCACTAGAATTCTGCCTTATTTTTGCCTTAGGCGGAATACCGGTCGAGTCGGTGACACATAAAGACCGAAAGTGCCATAGGCTGATTCTCAAGAGTCGTATTCATAAGTGTACAGGAGCATAATGCGCCATTTTTATCTATCATGTCATTCTGTTATTGATAACCCATCTTTCTCAAAGCCGCGTGCCACGGGGAAGTTCTGGGCAATAAACTTGTTAAGGAAAAGCTGTTGCAACCAGCAAGCAATCACAGATTTTTTCAGAATCATTGTATTTATGAATAGAACACGTACTAGCGGTTTTAGCTTTATTCGAAAAAAACTGAATTTTTTATGGAAAAAATTTGGGAAAAATGGCGATCTTCAATGTTGACATCGGTATCACCGTAGAAATAAAAACCGTAGTCCAAAAGCCTACGTAACTGCTTTCTTAGGGACTTAGTAGTCTAACAAAACAAAAGATCTTGCCATTTCTGCGGCTGTAGTAATGCCAGGCTTTACAAAACACAAGGGAACCAAACTTGAGGGCCAAAAAAACGGCGCAAGGCATATTTGTTAAGCTGTAACTTTTTACTGCAACATGATGATTCCACCAAACTTTCGTGGATTATAGAGAAGGTGTTATAGAATATTTCCCGCTGTCGCTTATGTTTCTCTAACGCCCGGTTTTCGCGGTGGGACCTTCAAAAATTTGTCTCCGTTATTTTGGGTCACCCTGTATAATAGTTAAACTAGC